TATGATAAAATGTGAGCATTTATTTCTTTATGCATGATAGATTCTTTGAAATCTATTATTCTTGTCAGGTTCCTTCTTTATATTTCATTACTCTTCCTTGATATTAAAGTCTGAGAACTGAACACTTTCGACATAGTTGCTTATGAAATTTCAGTAGGGGTTTTGACTGGGTAAGAAACAGTGTGGGGATTATATAGAGGTAATATATTTCTTTTTAAACAAATGTTTGAGAACTTTACTGTTTTTCCTTGCCTCTACAAATAGAAATTTAAGAAGTTTTTTTCTAAAAATGTATTGAAAGCATACCTAGCTTTCCAATGGTCCTTAAATAATGGGTTTTATGGAAACATAATAAGCATTCAGCCACAGCACTTGTGGACCTGTAGTCTGAATTTTCAATCCTTTTCTTTGCTTTATACTGCCCTTTGTTTTATACTGCCTGTCACAGCCAGTTTCTCCTGCCTCCCTCTTGCCTTTGAGTGATGGAAGAAATAAATGGCAGCCCTTGTATCCACATCCATTTCTGTTCAACATGTGCACATCTACTTCTGATATATAACCTAGGCATGTGAGAAGTAGTTCTAAACCAAGGAGAACATACTGCTTACTTTGTCCTATAACTGGGGACATTTCCCAAGCAGCTGACTGTTAAGCATCTTGGAAGCACTTCCACTGAAATACTGAGGGTACTTCTGTTTTCTTCTTTTACTCTTTGCTTTATACAGAGGTTATGATAAACTTTATGCCAGCAACCTCTCTTGTTATTGCATGCTGAACTTCGTTTGATCTAATGGATGATTTTTTTCCTCCTTTGCAGATTTTTCAGAGGATAAATCCATTCCTTGCTCTTTGCAGGGGGAAAATGAATGTATTACCACTTTTCTTCTGGCTGTGGATGAACAGGGCAAGACAGTCATTCACAGCATAAAGCAAAAAGGTAAGCAGTTGTGTTACCTTTTCTACATGACATCTAATTTGAAAACACAGATGGGAGAGACAACCAGTTCCAGCAACACAAGAAGCTGAACTTTTTTAAACAGCACTGCACCTCCTTGTGTTTGCAGCTCTGCTCTGCTCAGGCAAAAATACCTCCTTTAATGCTACTACAGTAAAATAAATGCTTGGTCTGCCTTGGAAAATGGGCAGAATGTTCCACTGGATTAATCAGACTTTGCTGAACTCTGCACCCAGGCTCTCTCAATGGCACGAAACAAGCCACTTCACCTCTCCTCAAGTTTCCTACCAATAAACCCTTTATCACCCTCAGATCTGCAAGAGTTTGTTAACTTTTCTAAAGTCCTGTGCAGATGATGATAACAAATGTCCCTTGATTATATGAGAAAATGATAACACATTTTGAAATAATATACATTTTACAGACTGGCAAACACTCAAAAGACAGTATCTGACTGCATCACCAACCTTTGTATTTTATCTTTGTAATTTATCTTTGTAATTATCTTTAATGCTGTATTATTCAATTTTGAATGTGATACCTATATGACAGATATTCAATAGATAATACATCCTATTTTTTTTCTTTTCTTTCTTTATTTTTTTTTACTATTATTTCACTACTTTTACTATTTCAGTAAAGCACCTGATCTTGTGGGACAGGAGAGAACACAGGCATCACTTTTCAGCTGCCAAACAATTTGGTTTCCAGGCAATAAAATGCATTTTTTTTCTGACACACCCAGTGTCTCAGTGCCAAATATTGATTATATTTTATGGAAAGCCATGCAGATTTGTAACTTAGTTTAGTACAAATGGCATATAATTTGTTAACCCTGTGTGTAGCTTTTCTCTAGCAAACATGTGATAATGATGGTGATTTCATTGCACAAAATACTGCTTCTATAATCTGGTTTTATATTGCTTATGATTGAAGAAAAAAATTTATAACAAACATTTAAATTAAAGAAACACATTTGTTTGTAAACTATACCTCTAATGCGTAAGGGTAAGCTACTGAAAGATTTTCTCTTTATTAAATCCATTCACTACTTTCTTTTTACTTTTAGTTTAGCTCTCTCTTTGCCCCTTGTCATCTGTGGTACTTCTTAGAAGCCTAACTCAGGTGTCTTTGTTTGAAATCATGCTTTCTGTTTAAAATATTTACCTATTTAGTACTTCGTTTGGTTCCCATTCTAACACAGCTTATCAAATTCAAGTTGCCCATAGTGAAGTACTTTACCCCTTCAGCTGTGTGAACACAACTCCCTCCAGCCTCCCTCTGCATCACTGAAGAAGTGGACGGTCTTCCTATATGCTATTTTAATTGAATCAAACATCTTCTTCTGTTGAAGCAAAAGCTTTTTTTTTTTTTTTTTTTTTTTTTTTTTTTTTTTTTTTTTAATCTTTGCAATGATGTATAATAAAACTTAATGGAAAACTTGAAATGTGAAATTCCATCAAATTGAAGAACTGAACTTGTCACTCTGGCAGTGTTACAGGACAAACTTCTTTTTCCCTACTGTTACTTTGACACTGAATTTCTAGAAGATTGTCACAGATGAACTAAGCATTTCAGATGCAGTAGAACCATGTGCTCCTGAACATGGGAGTTCAAGACTTCTGCTCAGCTGCTGTGAGATTCAACAGAATTTGGTGAAGTTCAGTACTTTTTGCTTTTCAGCAAATCTAATGTTTTTCCTCCTTGTTTTCTTAACAGAAATGCGGTTTCTTCCTTTTTTGCAGTATCACTGGTACCTTTACACTGATATGTATATACCTAGGACTGTTTCCTCTACATCAGTCTGAATATGAGTCAGTTGAAGTAAAACTTCAGTTGTATGTTTTAAAATTCATGATTTTGTCAAAATAGTCCTATTTTTTAGAATTATGATGACATACATTTGAAAATAATGTTCTAACTTCCCTCCTCAAAATCTGAGTCTGTGTTCAGACATGACAGCTGCCAAAATAGCAGTGCAAGTAGTCAGCGAGAAATTTTTTTTACATTTCAAGGCAATATTTTTCAGCTTATCAAGCTGATAAGAGTAAAATAATATGGACTTGAAGGAAAAGGCATGCTCAGCTTCCAGCAAATGAGAACAGAATACTTCTTGGCTGTCTTTAATTGCCTGAAACTTATTGATTGGATATCCATACTCATAATTGTTTGTCTTTCCACAGATTGCCCAGAGCTTCCAAATATTCCAATGATAATGCTGGGTGTCACCCTTGCTATCCTTCTGATTGGCATTGTGTTACTTTGTATATGGAAATTGATGGTGTCAGTTCAAGACCGAAAAGAAGTGGCCAAGTTTGAAGCAGAAAAATCAAAAGTTAAATGGCAAACGGTAATGTTAAATGCACTAATTTTACACAAGGTTCCTTATTCTTGTTTCATGAGGCACAAATGCCCTTAAAAAGTCTGAGTCTTGGTTGTGTTCTTTTAAACAGATAGATTTTACTGGTAGATTTTCATTACTTTTAATTCAGGGATGAAAAATATCCAGATTTCAATCTCCTGGTTTAATTTCTTCCACATGTAACTTGAGTAGATAACATTTTATTAGGTTTTTTTTTTTTTTTTTTTTTTTAATTAGTACCTCACTTCTGATTAATCTGAGCATAGTTGTTCACTGTCTATGCAACTGTCAGAAGCATACTCCTCAGATGCAAAGCCTGCTGTACAAAAGAGAGGTTACCAGTGCCCTCTGTAGCAGCTTACACAGCAGTATACTCTGTCCAAAATGTATATAAAAGGACAGAATGTTCTACCCTTAGCTTCTATCTATAGCTTGCATAGGTCTAATGCAAGCTGATACCACGTTCCTTTTTCCTATTTCCCCTTTGTCCTTTGCTTTCTTGTTCTTCTGTAATACTTCTACAGCTTTTCAGCCTTTCTGAAGAAAAAAAAATGGTGTTGAGTAAGCATTTCTGATGGGTACCAGGAGGATATGCAATATGCTACAGTTTACTTAGTTGCACTCCTCTACAAAACCCAAGGATTGCAACATTTCTGCAAGAAGGGACACTGCCTGCCTTTCAGTTTCTGTGACAAGAAAAATTAGTTTGTTACAGGCAAGGCCTCTTGAGAATGTTTTCCTAATCCTTCAGTAGGGTCACACATGGTAAGAGGAAAGGGAAGGCTACAGTAGATAGAAATATTTTATTTTCTGACACAAAAGGAAATGATACAAAGGGAATGGTGAGAAGCCAGTACAAGGAGCCCAGGTAGGACTTGTCCTTCTCCCAGTAGTTGGCATGGCTCACACAAGAAGGTCGTGACAAGTTGTGCCTCCCATCTCACAGCTGTTTTCTCAGTGTTTGTGTATTCTTTGTGTTTTTAGAATGGTTCGGTTACGTTTAATACACAAAAATCAGATCTAATTGGTAAGGCGTTGTGTGTGTGCATTACTTTAATCTGGGAAGCAGTCTAGGGCCTTCCTGCCCATATGCTGACTTGCACTGCCTCAGGCTGGGCTCATTTTTAGTGGCTTGGAATATCAGAACGCCAATAAAGTCTATACAGAAATGATGAAAAGTACAAAATAACTTCTGTACAAAGAAAGACCAGAACACTTTGCAATGCGGAAGTAACAGTGGGAGGAGGATGTGATACTATAAAATTATGACTGGGGTATTGAATATAGGATGTTTTTCCACTGCACCAAAATGGTAAGACAGGAAACAAAGGACATTGTTGTACAGTGCCTTCTTGAGGTCACACAATTTATTTCCAAAGTATTTCATATGATAAAACTTAGGATAGATACAAAACAGAGAAACCTGTAGAAGAAAGGCACCCTCTCTGCTCTAGCAAAATTAAAGGTCATGGTTTGCAGCAACACAAGCTTGCAGCCAAAGACAGTTAAACTCTGAATGATTTGCTTTTCTTTTTTTTCCTTTTTTTTTTTTTTTTTTTAGGAAACAAACCCACTGTACAGAGGTTCAACAAGCACTTTCAAAAATGTAACTTACAAGAACCAAGAAAAGCAAAAAGGGACCATGGCTGCAGATTTCTCTTAGCACTTTGAACCCTACAAACTTAGTTTTACTGTCAGAAAATCTAAAAACACTAATTTTTGACTCTTCTCCGTTGATTATGTGCTCTTTATTTGCACACTGCAGTAGTATAATCATTCTGTTAGATAAAATATATCTTGTGGTGAGAGAACTATAGATAATAATAGTAGCAAAAGTTAATAGAAACATATTTTTTAAAAACTTTATATTAAACCACCTTCATTTCAGAAAAATGGTATCACCTAATATTTGTAATTAGCTCATTAATACTGAGCTGTATATGACTTTGTTCATCCACTGAATCTTATATGTTTGTGTTTAGGAATGTATTTATACCAGTCTGTTTGGTGGGCTGGCTTACATTTAACAAGGTAAATTTTTCATAAATGCTGCTTAAACTAAGGAGGTCAATGGTTTCTCATATTGACTCTGTAACTTAACAGGTTTTCATCGGAAACGAGTGATGTGTGTTATGGCATAACTTCCATGTACCTAAGGTATATGGAAATACTTCTCTCCAGCTCTTCCTTCTTCTCCCACTTCCCTCTTTCCTTGACCTTGAATTGGTTGCTGTTTGATGTGGTTTAAGAATCAAACCCCTAAGATTATCTCAGGGAAAGCTAAATCAAGCCCTAGTTCACTCACATAATTGCTTTCTGTCCAGGTATGAAAGACTATTCCCCTCTTTCCTTTAAATTTCAGTAGAGAGGATCAAGAGCAAAAGAGAAATATTTACAAATTAGAGACCGCAATAGAGAAATTTTAGATCAGAGGATTTTGACCATTCACATCCTGTTTAGGTATTCAGAATAAACTTCTCATGCCAGACCATTACATGAACTCCTGCATGAGCTCTTTACATGCATGGAAAGCTGATGCACAAAGGCTTAGTATCACAAAGATAGTAGTTTTTTTGTTGAGAAACCCTAAACTGAGAGGTTTCAATGCCCACCAGCCAAACCATGTACTGATGTGTGAAATAATATACATTCAACTCTTTGGGGCATTTTTTTTTTCAAACTAAGCAATAAATAGATCAGTGAATTCCACCTGCTATTAATTTTCATGCCACTACTGAGGATTTTTAAATCTCACTTTTAACTTAGTATTAATGACTCACCATAACTTCTTAAATTGTAATGCTGGTGTCTTGACATTAAGAAAAGAAGCCTCAACAACGTCAGCTAACCCAATGGATTAAAAAGCTATAGTTCTGGGCTATTTTAGACTAACAATAGTGTAGTTTACTTTTCAATATCACTTTCTTTTTATGCTCTGGAATAGATGGTCAAAATACATGTACTTAGAAGAGAAGACTTAGAAAACAAAGATACACTGGCACAGTCACAGATGGTAAGGTACATTCCCTGTGGTAAATTATGCATTTGATCTAAAAACTTGTTGTCCATTTTGTAATGAATATTTACAAAGTCTGTGCAACTTCAGTCTCTGTATCATCTACAACCACTGGATGTGAGACTGATGCTATCATGCCTGTTTTAGGGCCTGATCCAAAGCCTATTGGAGTCAGTGGCTACAGATGAGAATCTAGTTTCAGTGAAACTATTAGTTTTGGTTTACAATGATTGTTTTGTTTAAACAAACCAGTTAATACTGTCTATTAGTGGATTAGAACCTATGGTATATATTTCTGTGCGAAGAGAAATAAACAGTATCTGATGCCTTTGGGAAGAAGGTGCTCTGATGAGCACGTAAGAAATACAAAATGATTGCAGTGTGAAGGGAATGATGGCTGTCATTAACCTGGAACAGATTAATTACAGATTATATCTTTATTCATCAGTACTCTTGTGTAGCGCAAAATGAAAATGTACATAGACAAATTTTCCTTGTTTTCTCCTTATTACCTCTGTTTCCCCTTGCTTTCTCCTGTTTCCAACCACTAAACTGCCAAAGATGTCAGTGCAAGTTGCTAAATCCTGCTTCCCTGGTACACAGATAAACCCCTCGAGGCAAAGCTGGCCACTGGGCTGTCTCAGGTTCCACTTGGGCAAGGATTGCCCAGAGGAGTAGGGAAATCCAGATTTAGCCCACGTGAATAATCTGTTACTCTTCTGTTTTTCAAGTAAAGACATTGAATGTCAATATTTTTCTGAAAGAAACTGACCTAGTTTTGTTGTTGTTGTTGTTTTCGGTTTTTTACTTTTTAAAGTTTAACAAAATCTTCACAGTTTATTGAATATCTTTTAAATTCTGTTTCTGATAAAGCTCATTTTGCAGCTCAGTGTGAGTGTTGAAAGCTCTTCTTCTGTAGGTCACCCATTTCAACACTGAACTACTTTTCCATATTCAAACATTGTTATCGAAGTAGTGTTCACATTTCACATGAAATGTTTGTTGGTCTGCATTCTGTGTTTCTATAGGAGATTTCATTTCTCTAAACTCTGCAGTCTGTTCCCATCACTTACGTCTTCTGATTGTCAGTAAAAATCCAATTTGGGAGGGAGACAATATTTACACTCCAGTTAAACCTCCTAGCAATCTCTCTGCAAATTATCAGAGATGTACAGAAATCGGGCAGCATCTTCTGCAGTTTTCCTGCTGTGACCAAGAGTACTACAACTGTGCTGTGCCACCTTCAAAGCTGTCAGGAAGAAAATAACTACAATTAGAAGAGAGTGAATAGAATAGTTTGGTGAGAAACCCCTCTGCTATTGAGGGATGAACCAAGCTTTTAACAGCATTAATTTAGATCATAAATTTTTACAAAAAAACAAAAAACAAAAAAAAACCCCAAAAACTAGATCTCAAGACCATAATTGGCATTCACTGTAGAAATATAGTGGTGTTCATGTCTTTTTATTAATTATATTACTTTTATCTTGTATAAAAGTTCACTTTTCTTTTTTTCCTTTTTAACTCCACCAAATAAATTATGAGTGGGTTGGTGTGTGGTGAATGGGATGAAAATGTCTTTCTGCTGTTTTTACAAATACTGTTTTGACCTGGGGCTGGACCTTGAGAGTGGCCAAAACATTTTTAATAGGAATTTTATTAACTGAAGAGTTAAACTAAATAATAACAACAACAATAATAATAATAAAAATCATTAGCAATTTTATGGTATTTGTGTGTCTTTTACATCATGTAGAATGATATTTTCAGTAATGTGCATTGAATTGATGATTTTTTATTTGATTTGTATGTTAACCTGTATTGTATGTGCCCAGACTGCATTTAACCTGGGTCTATAATTACAGCCAGTGGGTAATGAGCCTGGGATACAAGAGTGAGGTGTTAGCATGTGGTACACTTTGTGTTGCTCACCATTATGCAGAAGTCCAGGTTTCTTTTGCAGTGGCCATAAGGAAGTTACTGTCTGACAAAATGTAACACACACAATCTGAAAGTAAAAAGGAGATAATTCTTATCTTGTTCTGTTTGCAAGAAACAGGTAAATACCTCAATTTTCTGTAAAAGAAGGATTATTGAACCTTCAATAAAGATTACAAAATTGAATGCATATTTTAATATGCTTTTTTATTCTTTTTTCATTTTCCATTTCAGCATGTGTTTGTTTGTCTGTTTTTTCTTCACATGATTTGATTAAACTCAGCAAATTTCTCATGTTTTGGCATGTAGTAGCTAATTTTATAAATCCTCCTCCACCTTTCTTGAGATGCTATGTGAGAAAGAAGATGTCTGGATATTCTTTTACTTGTGATTCTTTCACTTTCAAGGAAGCCAGTTAATGGGTGAATCATGTAAGCAACGCATTTCTGAAAGTCCAATTGATAACATATGGCATTCTTTACATACAGTGACACCTAAAGCACACAACTTGTTTAAAGCTGAAGATACATTAATTTTTTAAGTGTAATAACAGTAGTATCTTTGGAACCACATAGCAAAGTGAATAATTTCTGTTCTGTATGAATATTACCTCTCCTTTTCTTCCCTTTTTTTTTTTTTTTTAATCTCTAATGAAGAGTGATTTATTTTGATGTCTGCTGGTTTCCTGCTCTGGGTGAAGGGCATTCCTCTGCATCCTTGATAGAGCTGTATTTTAAAGCCTATTGTATTCTACAGACACACATTAAGATCATGTTCTTTTGAATTTCAGAGTACATTGTATCTATTGATATCGATACAATTGCATAATGTATACTTGTGGGATGTAATTTAGAAGGCATTATACCCTGAAGGCTTGTATACATTTTTATTTTGTTTGGTTCCTAAGAATGGTTCATGCTTTGAAACTTTTCTTCTGTTTTCACTGAGGTACTTATCAGCTAACACTGACAGCCACAAAAGCACAATAATTACACACTGGAAAGCTAAATGACAAAGCTTTGGCTTTTAGAAGATGCTGGTAGAACTTTGTTTCTTTGTTTCTAATTCAGGCACTTTGTTCTGCCTATCACTATGTAAACAGCAGAGAGGACCAAAAGCTGATTTTCACTGTAACTTCTTCCTGCTCCTATTACTCACACTGCAGCGTAGCCTTCTTTTTTAATTGTAATATAAAATTGTTTCAAGACATTCTTGTATTTAGATAGATAAAGTTCTCAAGTTATTCTATATTTTTTAAAATGCTGTTTTTCCATAGGCCAACTATACTCAACAGTGGCTTTTTCATTACTGCTTCCACATTTAGATGAGGTAGGAGTATAAATAAAAGCAAGTTCCTTATGTATGAAGAAACAGGAAATTTCTATTCAGTGTTCAGCAGTTGGATGTTAACTGTGTTTGGAAAACTTCAGGCTTCAAAATTCTAGTTGCTGTTGGTCCTCTTAGGTGAGAGGTTAAGACTTACTTCCTCCAAAACTAAATTAAAAATCAAACCTATAATATAATATAATTACCATGTAACTCTCAGTGGCTTCTATTTTAGGTTATGGTTGATTTGAAAAAAGATAGATGTAAAAAACAAACAAAAGCAACTCAAGCCAAACAGAAGAAAATAAATAAATAAATAAAATCCCCACACTGTTACAAGTGCAAGAGAAATGAATACTGAGAATATATCAAATGAGGAAAAATAACTGTTCAAATTAAGGATCCTCAAAAAACAGATCATCATGTTGGTTTTACCAAGCCCTATGCCCACCGTGATCTTTTATTACTGCTACACAGAATAGCTCAGCTGGAAATACCCAGAGCAGTGCAACTGCAGCTGCACTAGTAGGAATTTACTGGTTTAGTAAGAACAGAACAGTTCCTGGATGATACAGATTTTTTATTTTATTTATTTACTATTTTATTTTATATTTTGTCAAGAAGGAAAACCTGAAGAATGAAGAAAAAGAAAAGAGGAAGTAAAGCTGCTCAGAATAAGCAAGTTGCTAATTTATCATTTATGCAAATATATTTGGTCTAGGTTGAAAAATCCCTCTGTGCTGATGCTCCCATAGCAGCCCTGGTTTTGCCCAGTGGCACCTCTGCCTTCATAGGCAGGAAAGTAAATCTGCTGTGTGTTCTGGAGTCCATGAGCCTGTTTGAAGCTCTGGATTCAAAGTGGTCACCAAATACTCCTGAAGAATCTGAGACAGGCCAGAGGGGCCAAATTCTCAAAACCTGCTTGCTAATGAGCTTCTCTCCTAAAATCTGAGCTCCTCTGAAAGCTGCTGCTCTCAGAGGCCAATTGCAGCAGCTGAGGGCTGGCAGCCTCCCACCTTCTGAAGGCAGGATGCCTTTTACACGGGGAGCAAGCCCTTCTGCCCTCGAGCTGCTTTGAGTTGCTCAGCTCCTTCTCACACACCACTCAAGCCCAGCGGTTGGTTTCCAGCCCCGCACCAAGACTGAGGTGGGCATGGAGGGACCCAGGCTATGTCAGGTGCGGGTGTCCCAGCAGGGAGTGTTTGTGTTTACACATCGATGTATATGTTTCTATACCAATTTGCCTGCTGTGAATGCAGAACCACGCAGAAACCAGCCTATGCTGATGACAGCTGAGTTGTGAGCAGGTTCCAGTAAAGCCATCTTCAGCCCCGAGCTTCTGCTTTCGCCTTTCCCCCACTGCTCATAGCTTCTGTAAGACTGAACCTCTCCTCAAATAGGGGATTCCCGAGAGTGTTCCACTCAAGGACAGCTAGGTAGAAAATGGAACTAGGAAATTACTTTTCCCCACGTCAAAAATGCCTTGAGTTGACAAGCTGGCCAAGCTGAAACCAAGCCTGAGTAAAGTTTGCATCCGTGGAGATGTGCTGCAGCAGAGCGGCACGTTGATGAAGGCGAACTGCGCTCTCAGCGGTTTCCCTCCCCAGTGTCCTGGTGCCACATGGCTCCCTCTAGGATAAGTGAACCGGAGCGCGGGGAGCGAAAGCTTTGACAGCCTACAAGAGGGACACGCGCGGCTCTGCTCGTGTGCGACCCGGTTCTCCCGTCCGTCCCTCCCCCCCCCCGAGCGACCCGAAGCGGCAGTGCCCCGCGGCCCCTCCGCGCACCCCCGCCCCGCACCTCTCCCGCCTTCCGCGGGGTGGGATCGCTGCTCTGCCCTCCCCGGGGCAGGGCTCTGCGGGGCCGGTCGCCCGGCGTGGAGTGGAGCGGCTGGGCGCCGCGCCGCACCGGGCCGAGCCGAGTCGTGCCGTGCCGTGCCAAGCTGCGGCGATGCTGGGCGCGCTGCTCCTGGCGTGCTGCCTGCTGCTGGGCGGCCGCAGCCTGCCGCGGGGCGACGCCGCCCTCGGCCGAGACGAGCTGCCCTCCCTTCGGAGTGAGTGACGGCCAAGGGGCGACGCTTCGGGAGGGGCGGCCGCTTCTCCGGCCCGCGGCCGTGCGTGGGGTGCGCGTCCCTGCTGCGGGGTGGGGGCGGCCGGGCTTTCCGCGTGGGGTCCTACGGGTCTAGCCGCGGGGGTTCGGCAGGGAGAGGGGCCGAGGGAGCCCCGGAGCCGTGCCGCGCCGCCCGGTGCTCGGCGGCGGTGCCGCTGCTCATTGTTTTCCCGGCAGCTGGTCCAGAAGCTCACGCGGTTACGTTTTCCGCCTCCCAATAAATTTCCGTTGTTTTCCTTATTGCCACACCAACAATTTTCTCTGCTTTTTGGGTGGAAGGATGTGGGAGGTGAGGAGGAAGGAAGTGGAGATAACTTGTTCTCCTAGCTGTATTATGTATTCGTGATAGTAAACACAAGTACCCAGAACTTAGAGGTGCGTGCTCAGCTCCCAGCTCGGTGCTCACAGATTCTGGCACTCAGCACTTGTTTGCTGTCACCTGGTCTTCGTATGGATTGTAGGAGGAAGGCGTTTTCAAAGGCATATGTCATGTGCTGAAGTGCAGGATTCTCTCCTTGGGACATCTGGGGGTTGCAACCTCACCTCCTGATCCCTGGCCACAGGGTTGCTCCAGTTGTCTCCTTGCCGTATTTCAGTTGGTTTTTTTGTGAGGTCTTTATAAAACTTATCTTCTGCCAGCAGCCGCTGCAGCTCTTGAGAATCTTGCCGATAAGGGCATGCAGATGTTTTCTTGAGGGCTCTCTAATTGTCACAGAGTCATAGAATGCTTTCAGTTGTAAGGCACCTCAATGAACATTCACTTCCAACTACCCCTGCCATGGGCTGGTTGCCACCCACCAGATCAGGCTGCCCAGGGCCACATCCAGCCTGGCCTTGAGTGCTTCCAGGGATGGGGCATCTGCAGCTTCCTGGTGCCGCCTGCACCAGTGCCTCGCCACCCTCTGCGTAAAGAATTCCCTCCTAACATCTAACCTAAATCATCATTCTTTTTGTCCCCCTCCCCCTTTGTTCTATCACCATATGATCATTGAAAAAGTTGGTCTCCCTCTGTTCAAAAGCTCCCCTCAGTACTGGAAGACTGCAGTGAGTTTTCCCCAGAGTCTTCACTTCTCCAGACTGAACAAGCCCAACTCCCTCAGCCTTTCTTCATAGGAGGAGGCACTCCAGCCTTCTGATCATCTTCATGGCCCTCCTCTGGACCATCCCTGAGCAGATCTGTGTTTCTTAACCTGGGGGCCCCAGGCCTGGCTGCAGTATCACAGATGGGACTCATGAGAGCAGAGCAGAGAGGGACAATTACCTCCCTTGCCCTGCTGCCACCCCTCTGTTGAGGCAGCCCAGGCTTCTCTTGGCCTTCAGAGCTGTGAGAGCACATTGTTGGCTCTTGTACAGCTTTTTGTCCACCAGGACCCCCAAGTCCTTCTCTGCAGGTCTGCTCTCAATGAGTTCTTCTGCCAGCCTGTGCACATATCTGGGATTGCCCAGACTCCAGTGCAACACCCTGTACTTAGCCTTGCTGAACCTCATTAGGTTCACATAAGTACACTTTTCAAGCTTGTCCAAGTCCTTCTGGATGACATCCCTTCCTTCTGTTGTATCAACTGCACCACTCAGCTTGGTGTCATCAGCAAACTTACTCAGGATGTAGCTGATCTCAATGTCCATACAATTGGTAAAGAAGTTAAGAGCACTGGTCCCAAAATAGACCCCTAGTGGGCACCACTTGTCAGTGGCCTCCACCTGTACATAGAGTTGTTGACCACAGCTCTCTGGCTGCAGCTGTCCAGACAGTTCCTTACGCACTAAGTAGGCTAACCTTCAAATCTACCCCTCTCCAATTTAGAGATTAGGATGTGGTGTGGAACCATGTCAAAGGCCTTACAGAAATATGAATAAATGACATCAGCTGATTTTCTTTTGTCATCTGATGCTGTCGCTCCATTATAGGAGGCCACCAGATTGGTTAGGTACAATCTTGTTGAAGCCACGCTAGTTGTCTTGGATCACTTGTGTTGCAGGCTCTTCACCTCTGGATTGTTTGTTGCTGTTTTTCCTCACACACTCAGGATGCTGTTACATGGGAATTTGTATAAGAGCTTTTTTTGTATGTGAATTCCAGTATCATGATGAGTTAACCTCATTAATCAGTGTTTACTGGTGTTAACGACTTCCACTTTTCTAGCAAATTAACTGTAATTTTCTTGGTTGGTGAAAATGAGGCTGCTGTAGGAACCTATCACAAAAAACAGTAGCCCTCTCTGATATTATTTTCTGTTTGTGGATAGAGGTTGTGTCACCTGTGTGGCCTGTGGAAGATTGGGTTGGACAAGAAGTATGAAGCACAAGCTGTACAATGCCACTGAAAACGCAAAAGCAAAGGCCCACCTTGGGTATCTGCCACAGTGTCACAGATACCAGTGACAGAGCTGGCAGAATGACCTCTCCTCTCTGTATATCTGAGTGCTCACGGGCTCTGTGCAGAATCTGCAACCAAACACCGTGCTGTAACCTATATCCTGCTTGTTGCATGCACTGTATGCTGGTGAGCTCTCTTCTGTCTGTCATACAGCACTGTCCTGCTGCTGGCTGAGGCCTTTCTTTTGGTGAGCTGCACCCAAACTATAGGGGCTGAAAACAGGCAGAGCATCTGGCTGGGCTTCTTCTTCTCAGGCTCCAGATGTGGAATATCTTTTGTTATTACTGCTTCAGGACATGAGGGGTAGTAAATTACAGCAAATTGAAAGCACACATGGTAGAAATAATTACTGCAAAATTTCATGGCAAAATGGAAATGCTACTCAGATTTTCAAGGCATAATCTCCTGTAGCATAAAATCTCTCCTGTAATGGGAGAGGAACTCCATGGGTTAACTGTCATTGGATTTCAGTACAAACCAAATCGCTGAGCTGTTACAGAGTTGTATTTTGCTGATTTCCAGTTCCTCAGTTCTTCTCCTTTTCAGTCTATATGCTCAGCTAGGCATTTCTTCAGAAGACCTTAAATAGCTGACTCTTCACATGCTTACAACATGATGTCACAGAGTTCAGTGAGTTTCTATTTGATTCCAAGAAAGCTGAGATGTCAGGCTAACCCTGCATGTGTGCTGTGGTCCCAAGCGGTCATGTGCAGATGAACAGCATGCACGGGCTGTTGTGATTGAGATAAATCCTGCCTTTTCTATATCACATTTACAACGCAGTGTATGTTTTATGCCTCTGTTGTTGCAAACAGTGAGGAATTAGTACAGCAATTTCCCCTTAAATTTTTTAACCTTTACCTTAATTGGAATCTCAAGTCCACCACAGAGAACTATTTTGCAGCTCACAGCATAACTTGCCATGATACTTAAACCTGTTCTGCATTACTGACTATTTCTTGGCAAATTGCATTTTAATTCCTCAAACCATGTATTTTTGGATGAACAACTTGAGATATATTGTCCAAACCTCACACATGTGATCTGGCAAATGGTCCACATGTTTGTAAATGGCAGTAAATTTAGATCAGTATTGTTATGTTTTGAAGTGTCAGTTATTCTGGCAGATATTTTCTGCTTTCTTCATAAATAACAAAAGGATCTTCCAGTACTATTTGATCATCTGCAGCATTCTACAGACTGAGATGTTGTTGCTATTTTTTTTTTCCCCTGTACAGATAAAGGGATATTTATTATCCAAAGTTCAGACACCAACTTGTGCATCAAAGTGGACACAGCTGGCCTGGTTCTGGAAGACTGCAGTCAGCTCTCCAAAAACATGCTGTGGAAATGGGTATCCAATCGTCGTCTTTTCAACATAGGCAGAAGTACCTGTCTAGGACTGAACATCAGTAGACCAGAACAGCCATTGACTATGCTTGAATGTGATTCAAATCAGTACTCATTATGGTGGAATTGTGATGGCAGAGCGCTGGTTGGTGTATCAGAGTACAAATTAGCTGTTGAGAACAGCAAACGTATTGTAGCAAAAAAACAATCTAATTATCAGTGGATCCAGTACATGTCCTATGATGAAGACCTTTGTGAACATCCTTTCCAAGGTAAAAATAAAATATTATCATAAATTATCAAAAAAAAATTATCATAAATGTGTATGGGAAAATTTTCAGAAGTAATTCTGAAGGAACACCAGGTTAATATGCAATATTGAATTGAATTGAATTGAATTGAATTGAATTGAATTGAATTGAGTTAATTTTTCCCCTCTTCTATGACATGGTTCCTCCCGACCCTCCCCAAAGCACTCATGCCTTTGCAAACCAGGAAACACCTATTTCAAATGCTCAAGCTGAACTAAGGATTTTCTGTTCGTTTGCTCTCATTATCAATTAAACCCAAAGAGAGATACAGGGTTTGGAATTCAGATCTCTGATGGTCACCTGCGGTTGCAGTGTGCATTAATCAAAGGTTTGCGACATTCAGCACCTGGACTCTGAACATGTCAAACTCTGCAACAGAAATCAGGCTTGTGATGAATCATCTTGTACAGCTAGTGAAGGCACAGAAGTGTAAGTCAGGATCCAGACCTGCAGACCTTAGCAGTGTTCCAGGAACAAGGACTAAGATAAGCTCATTTTCCATGAACTGCCTCAGACAGGCAGACCCTGACCCCTTCCTCAACTTCTCCTACAGCATTTCTTCAGAAGAATGACCTAATGTTTGCACAGCATGTCTCTGACTGGAGCTGTTGATTCTTACCACTTGAACATGGCTTTGGGATTGTGGAGTTCTGGGTCTCAGTGGTTTCACCTTCAGGTGCAGCTGGGCTTGGCTGGTGCTCCCTGCCAGGCAGCTCCTTTGGGAGCTGTGATGCCTGAGGAAGCATGGTAGCATCTAACTTCTTCTCTAAAACCTAGCAGAGTCTGTGCTTAAGACCAGATAGAAAACATTTGAAACCATGACGAGCCCTACACATTTGCTATGTACACTCAGCAAGATGGAAGTAGATCTGATCTAATCCTAGGTCTGCAACATCCAGGAGTTTAGGATCAAAATAAAGGAGAGTCTTGGCAAAGCCTCTCTCGCTTCCATTTCCTGTTTTCTTCCTTCCACTTCAGCACTTACAGATAAGTACAAGGCAGCCTGTTAGTCCACCAGGCTGAGGAGATTCCATGCCTTCAAAACACAATGCATTAACTATGGTGAGAGGACTGGGGCTGACAAATTTTATTTTCTTGCCAGGAAGGAGATAATTTCTTGCAGCTAGCAGAGTGATAGCAGACATAGGTGCAAGCCTCGTTTCTTGTAATCCATTTTCTTTCTATGATCTGTTATATCAGAAGGCTTTGAAGGAGATTTACAATCCATGAACTGCATTTTTCGTGTGTGTGCAGCCAGGCATTAACTCTGGAAACCTCTGGGAAGCTGGGAGCATGTCCATCCTCTGTAGTCAGAGGACTTCGATCTTTAGTGTATCAACATGGAATCTTTGGCAAACAATTTTGTTCCAAGTGTGGCTGTGGTCCTCTGACCTTTCCTAGAAGCACGTGCTCTGGGGTTAAGGAGATACGGAGGTAATGCTGTTACAGCTTGCAGTTGCACTTGATTCTCTCAGAACTCAAAATGCAGTAGGGCGATGTTTAAAATAGTTAATAAGGCATTAACTGAAGTGACAACAAAAGCATGTAAGATTAGTGCTTTAGTTAGATTATTTTTCTCGCTGGTATAAAGATTTATTTTAAACGGTTTATTTAATATTACTTTGTCTTTCAGATTTTCTTTCCCATAGGATGACAGTAAGAATGGAAAAAAATGTTAGAAATCTATTTAAATAAGAGGGAGCAGGGGAAATTATACTAGATTGTTTATCTGTCATATACTAGGAAATAAAAAATAAACAGAGCCTGCATCCAAGCACGTCCAGATTATGGTACCTACAGATTTAAATGCAGATTTTATATGATAATTGCTCTGTTGTTTTCTTTGATTGTAGTAAGTTATGAGAATGTGCCTTGTTTCATGGTAATAAATTTAATCAACATAACATTTCCAAATTCTGCTTACCGAAGTTATGCTGCTTATTATTATACTTGTAATAATGTGGTATCATTTATAAATTCAAATTAGAAAATAATCGAAGATATTTACATTTAATTATTGCTGTTATAAACAGAAATAATGAAATATGGGAAAAAAGAAATTTCTGTGGATGTGTTCTTTTAATCTCTGTTTCATTTGTTACAGAAACGTATACCTTGCTGGGAAATTCCTTTGGTTTCCCATGCGTTTTTCCATTTAAGTATAACAACAAGTGGTATTATGAATGTACCAGAGATGGAAAGGAATTTGAGTGGTGTGCCACAACAAGTCACTATGAACAAGATGAAAAATGGGGGTTTTGTCCTGGTGCTGGTAAGGCATTGCTTGTTTTCACTTTTATCTTTTTTTTTTTTTTTTTTTTTTTTTCCAAACTCCTAGAGTATTTGTATCTGTTTTAATAAATGTAGGACATGCTTTTTTGTGGATTACAAGGTTACTTCCTTTCTGTGAGGGGGGAATGAATGTCCTTTTTAAAAAAGTAGGAGGAGACTGTAGCAGACTATCATTATTTGCCTTGTTTGGCCTTTGGAGACCCAAGTCCTTGTCCCAAAAGCACAATTCCAGGGGGAAGCAAAAAGATGCCAGGTGCTCACTACTTTGTCCACTGACTGTGCCCTGCAGCTGAGCTGCATCTCTCTCTAACATCACTATACAGAGGAAGGATTGCTCCTGCAAAAGGACATTCTGCTCTGGACTTCATCACATCTTTTACCTTCCTATTAATCCATGCACTCTTTGCATACTTATGTTTTGGGTCTAAAACACTTGGAAGCAGATTTTTGAAGATATTTGCTCTATGAAAAATTTTGGATGTATAGTGCTCATGAATGTTAAATATTACACATAGCAGCTTGTAGATTCTTTCATAAATAAGCAAAATATTATCTTCTGTCAATAGAGTGGTTTGGAAAAGCCCTCCCAGCTCAGCCTGTGTCTCAGATCTCTGTTCCAAAGCATGCTGTAAACATCTGGAAATGTGATTTCATAATGGGAATTTCCAGGGAACTTGTATCAGAGGGCATTTTGAGCCCTGCTTACGTTTTGTAATTATAGTAGATTTAATCTCTTGAGTACCAGATAGAAGGAGACTGCTTCATCACAAATAGGGTGAGGCACTCATTGCTTATTGCTTGTCAGCTCAAGGAAGCAAGGATCAGCTGGTGTGAATTAAAATGTGGCTCTGCTGGCATCATGGGAGCTGTGAAAATCACCACCAGCTACAGAGCAGCTCCCAAGGAATTGTCAACCACCTGGGCAATGGAGTGGTATTTTATTCAGTTAATGCCCTATTTCTGTACGTACTTTTACAAAGGGATACTGGAGGGGTTGAGTATCATGCTTCTGTTGTGATGCTACTGTCATTAATTAAATAAATTGCTGACAGTGCTATACTTCTTATAGTCTTGTTGTTATTGGTGATGAGCCTGTTTCTTAGCAGAACATGGCTGTGGCACATTTTGGAAGGAGAACCCGGCCACGCACGTGTGCTACCAGTTCAACCCATCAGCCGTGCTGTCATGGCACGAGGCGCGGGCAGCCTGCCAGGCACAGGGAGGAGACCTGCTCAGCATCACCAGCCCAGAGGAGCAGAGCTACATCAGTGACTTGAGCCGTGAGTAGGCCCCAGGTGCTGCTAGCACAAGGTGTAAGTGCGTGCTTGGTGTGCACAGGTGGGACTGGCTGGCTGTTCTGTTTGGTGGTAGTCTGGAAGTAAATCAACCTTTATGGGGGGAAAAAAAGACAAAGCTGTTTTTATAATCAATTGGAGTTCCATCTTGGATAAGGTCTCTGTGCAGAATGAATCTCAGGCTGGTTCTGGGCAGTCTTCAAATGCTGCTTCAGTGCTGGCAAAGAGGACAAAGTGAAAGAACACTTGAACTGTGTTGCGAAAGGTGGCTTCAGGTTACTTCCCATTATTGCTGGTTTTCAATGGCAGGATATAAGCTGACAGGATGTTTTTAAAATCATTTTGTTAGCTTTTTGATATATATATAGGCTGCAGAGAGAGTGAAAATTGTTTGGTCTGTGTCTGATGGCAAGTTGAGTCAAGTTAGCATTTCTGCAGCTGTTTGAGGCAGATTTAACTTCTAAGGTCAGTAACAGCTTACACAGAATGGGCGGCTTTTGAAGGGATGCAGACCTTTGAGTTTATTCCTCCTCAGGTCTGTGTTGATTAACAAAGTGATAAGACAGAAAGAACAGCATGAGCTTTCTGGAAACCAATGTGAAATTTTGTTCTATTTCTACTATAGCAAGAAGCATATCTATACCTGTAGATATTTAAAGATGGGGAATGTATGGAGAATAATTTTGCCTACTTTGTCTGTCCTAGGACAGTTAAACATCACAGATACTGTGCTGTGGACAGGCCTGAATCAGCTAGAGGAAGGCGCTGGCTGGCAGTGGTCAGATGGAGCACCACTGGTGTTTGTCAACTGGAGAGCAGGTATGGATTTGTTTTAGCTGTGTCATTGTGTGCTCCCTGTAACTGCAGCTTGGGAGTGCTGTTCCTACAGCTACATTTGAAAAGGGTATAACTTTCTGTTGAAATATTTGTTCAGCTCATAAACTAAAGCTTCTTCTAGGGATGGGGCATCCACTGGGATGCATCTGTTCAGTGTTAATGATCTAGGCATTCTGTCACCTGCTTTAAGGGTGTTTTGAGATTCGAGTTGCATATTTAATAAAGATGTTCTACCTTGTTATGAGGAGTTTTAGTTTGCTTACAGTAACATGCAATTAAGGCGAGCTTTGAGACTTGGTTTGCTGCATTTTGAGGTCTGTCCTCCAGCATGTGTAACACTGACACTAAAACTTGTTTCAGCCTCACATGTGACAGCAGCAGCCAACACTTGTGGAAAGATTGCCACATGTGTAAGTGGTGGTTAATGTTAAGTTAAGTTGTCTGTAGCATTAGTTTAACACTGCTGGAAGTTTGAGTGTGCAGGGCTGCTTACACATTCATTCAGTAAGAGTACTGCACTGTTTTTCAGTAATGGACTTTTTGTAATTGCATGCTTCTCAAAAAATGTGTTTGCAGATGTTTCTGAGGACCATTCTAGTGAAAATCATTGTGCAGTGATGAGTTCAAAATTGAAATATGGCTGGAAAAGTTACTTATGTGAATCTGGATTTCCTTTTGTATGCAAGAAATATTTAAATAAGACAGAGCATGAAACACTGGGTAAGTCTTTCAGTTTAATGCATCCGTTCTGTGAATATGGAAAGAGAGCAAGAGGAAGTCACCTGAATATAAAGTCATCAGAAGAGAATGTTAGTTGCAGTAAATGTGTGGGTTTGCTAGTTTAAGTTGAATGCCATTTAATTTAACTGAAGTGGTGACAGTTTCTTCTGCTCAAACACAGTCCTGGACAACACCTTGAGAGTTTGGAAACTGACACATCATTTCAATATACATAGCATTTAACAGATTTCTTACGTTATCAGATGCTTACAAAATGCTCAGTCTCTTTATATTTCAATACAGCCACAATTTTGAATTTAAAAGTAGCCTTAGAATGGAAAATAAAAATGGAAGCTGAAAGTTAAGCTTAGAATGGACTTAACCAATTGTCTGCAGAGGATAAAATTGCATAAATGCAGCTCTAAATTTGCAGTTATTTTTATGACATGCCATTCTTATACTGAAAAAGAATTGTGCATGTATTTTTAAAATTGTTAATATTAGTGTATAGAATGCCTCAGATTCCCATTCTGTGGGAAACTTAAACAAAGAATTGTGTTTATTAGGATATTAAACACTGTTTTTATAAAACCAGATAGGTTCAACTTTTTCCTGATAAATCAGAAGTTTCCCAGCCTGTTTCAGACAATGAAATGGGACTTACCCACACTCTTCACAGGTATTCTATCTGAAAAATTTCAGCTGGTTTTGGATCAGGCCCAAAGGTAATAAGGAAATGCAACAAGTTTTAAACTGAATAACAGTTCTATTAGTGTGTTTGTACTAGTCTAGCAAACTAAATGGTTGAGTCATAAAATAAGGTGGGAAAAAATTCTGCAGGTGATATTCCATGGAGCATGTGTTTTGCCCTTCTGTTGATGGCTCTGTTTTCAGCATTTGAAGTTAAGAAAATAGTTCTGCATGCATTATAAACACAATACAACCTTGCTAATTCTATCTAATATTCTAATATACTCTAACTTTGTATGATTAATTAAAAGATACATGGAAGTATTATGCCACTCGTTGTGATGCTGGCTGGTACCCATACAATCGCAACTGCTACAGACTTCATAAAGAGGGGAAGAGCTGGAATGATGCTTTGATCTCATGCCAAAGTGACAGCAGTGGGCTCATTAGTATATCCTCCATGGCAGATGCAGAGCTGCTCCATAACTTGCTTCAACGCGGTGAGTTTTAGGAGTTAAATTGCGCAGTTTCTTCAAGTGTTTTGCTATGCTCTTCTTTGCAGCCATAGAACATCGTTAGCCTACGTTATGTGACACACCCAAATGTTGTTTACAGAAGGGGGAAGTGTGATATGTGCTCCTTCTAGGAGTCTTAAAAATGTAAAGCTTCACCTTCTCCAATAAAGACAATAAAGTAATGAATAGACATACTGGAACACAGCAAGAAACTGTGTGCTGTCCTTGGTGTTTCAGGAGTACATCACACCCAGGCATCTGTAAGATTGCTGCTTGTACTTTATTTGAGAGTATGGCATTTGCATTGGACCATGCTGGGCAAATGGCAGGCAGCAATTATAGCAAAAGCAAATTTCCCTCATGGAATTGATGTTACCACCCTAATCATGAACCTTCAGCAGTCTGGCTTTTGTCTTTTTCTGTTGTTGACTGCTTCTGTGTGAACTGCTGCAAAGTACTCAATGATTTCCCTTATGCAAGAATTGTGATTAGAAGTAACAACAATTCAGAACATCTTTTGCTTTGCATATTGACCTTGTCTGTGCTGCAAAGTTTGTGCTGTGGCTAATTGTTGGTAGATTCCTCTTTGAAGGGTGCCAGATGTACAAAAGCAGTTGTTGGTCCCTGTTGTCTAAAGAATGCATAATTAGAGTAATTCTTACTGAAATCTGATTAGTAATTTTAATAGTAGCATTGATATTACAGGAATAATGGGCATATTTTCTTCCTCATTAAAATGTATTTTATTATTTTACAGAAAACGTAACTGAAACATGGATTGGATTATATAGTAGTAACATCTCAGATGTTTTTGAGTGGTCAGATGGCATCCCAGTGAAATTTTCCTACTGGCACAGCCAAGAACCTAATACCTTTCAAAGAATAGGACAACTGTGTGTTTCAGCACAAGGACCTGTAAGTTTCCTTTTCTTGTTGAAAGAACACGACAGTCACTTTTATTTCAGTTGATAATAAATTATTTTCTCACTATGCATATTTCTGTAAATCACAACCTATTGTATGACTTTGTCTTTTTATTCCTAATATATTCAAGTTGTGATAAATGTAACGTGGCTTTTAGGAACTAGTACACTTAGCAGTGCTGATACACAGAAAAATTAATCATCAATTTTGAGCTTATATTCAATAAAAGCATTACATATATAAAGCTTGCCAAATGGAAGCTAGCCAGTATTAGCAGGTATTTTGATAAAGACAAAGAAATGTAAAATCCAAGAAGCAGTGTGTATTACAGTTTATGACTCATCAGTTCAAGTCTTTAAGTCTTCAAATTCATATTCCAAAAAATGGTCAACCGTGTCAATTTCATGTTGCTGTTAGTATTTATAACTTCTGTGAGGTACCCTTCCAACCCAGGCAGTAGTCTAGACCTGCATAAAACTATGAATGTTAACAGTAGTAAGACTAACTCCAAATCAGTTAGGTGATGTAAGACTGGGAGTAATTTTCGGGTAAGCTTAGATTACGTCCTGTCAGTACATAACTCATGGCACTGACAATTTTATTTTCTTAATTTAGTCATAATATTACTTTACTTTTAAAATTTTCAGTACTTAAATTTGCTAAGACCTTTCTTAGATTAAGGGGCAATATAATCCAGTTTTTCAATGAAGTAAATTTCACCCAAGTGTAGAAGCTGTATCAGAAAGTTTTTGTTGTCTCTTCAGCAGTGAGTTACAGTGTGTAATTCATGGGAAAGATAAGACAACTACAGTGACCTGGAAAAGTCAGCTCCCATTGGAAGCACAAAATAAGACTATAGTAAAATTCTGGTTTCAGATGTACTAAACCATATTTGACTAATTTTGCAAATGTAAGCAAACAAAATCATTTAATAGGAAGTAGTGAAAAAGGAGATTCAAGATAAAAAGCTTCAAGCATTGTTTTCAGTACAAGTCCAATACTGATAGAAGCCTAAGAATATTGTACAAACTTTGTAGTTCTTTGAGTAAGGTCTGTTCAGACATAAAGATTAATTTTATAAAATACTGCAGTAGATAGGAAGAAGGTTCGTTATGTGATTCTGAAAGGTAAGCATCTGGCATGGTTTTAGTTAATTAAAATGCATTACATCCAGTGGAGTGATTTAAGAAGACAACCTCTTTTGTATGATTGTCAGCAGGACTTTTCAAATCATTGTTGTTAAAAAGAAGTGATCCATATAAGGGTAAATAAAGGAATAGAGCAAGAAAAACTAGTCTGCTACTTGCTTTTATTGAAAAGTTAAAAAGGAAGAGAAGTTGTGCAATCTAATTTATTTGTGTGTGTATATATATGTGTATATATATATATATATACATACATACGCACACAAACATATGTATATGCAGGAGAATATGAGTATGTATAGAATATAATACTTTTTTTCTTTTCTCTGCCTCCCTCTCCCCGTCCTTTAGGAGGGATACTGGAAAGTTAAAAAATGTGAAGACAAATCTTTCTACGTTTGTAAAAAAGCAGGAGAAATTAACACTGTTTCTTCTGATGCAGAATCGAGTTGTCCAGAGGTAAGAGATTTTGTGGGGTTTTTTTGTTTGTTTTGGAACCTTACTGATAAAATAATATCATATGGGAATTCTTTAAAAGTAGATGGATAATGTATGAATGTAAGTAGGTAGATAATTTAATTTTTTTTTTGTCTTGAAGATGTGCCTATTTTCCTAGAAAAATCTAATTGCCTTGAAAATATGTAAACAAAAATTTAAGGTAAGATTAAAAGCTTTCCTAAGATGCCTCTCATGGCTCGTTGTGTTGTCAGCAGTTGTGACCCATGTTCCTATTTTTTTCTAGATCAAAAGTGAAAATGCTTTTGTACACCATCTGTGCAAATAATGGCTGTTATATGATGCCTCAACCCACACATGGTTTTCATACATTTAAAAGGAATGTCAGGGTGAAAGACAATCAGTTTCATTGACATGGAGAATGAACTCTTCCACTCGTACATTAGCATTCCTTTTACTTTCAAACAGAAATGAGAAGGATTACAGCCAACTAAATTAGGGCATTACAATAAGTTTTCAGGCTTCTAGGCTTTGCATTTTGCTGGTACTAGGTAAGATACTAAAGTATGATTTTATTTATCCCGATTCCTTTCCACTGTGTATAAACAACAATTTTGTGTTCTTAGACTTTATTTAAAACTCTGGAGAAGTTTCATTTTTTCTATCAACAGAAATACATCCTATTTGGCTTGTTTATCTTTCTTTACCTTTAGATCTTTTTTCTCAGTTCAGTTGAATTGTAAGAATTTGGAAACTGACCTGTTCGAAGCTGGATGCAGTCTTTCCCCAGAAATACAGTGATCAGGTCCAACATTACTGCTTTTATTCAGGTTAAAATTTCCAAGAATTTAGGATGATTGGTTCATTTGGACCAATATATTTTATTGCTTGAGAATTCTACGTGTTACAAGTGTGAAGAACAATTTGTAGTCCTGACTCTGTGAAAAATGTGCCGAGCATCAGGATTTCCAGCTGTAGTTAGGAGCTGACAGCACTTGAACTTTTAGTACTTCACAGGAGTGAGACTTGAAAGCCATTGGTCTTAAGTAGCTTGGTGTGCTCTGGCAAGCTTCCTATTCAGGATAAATTTCTGCTTGTTGATGTTCCACACCCACTAAAAACATGTGCTGAACCCTCTTGATAGTCCCTTGATTTCTATAAATTTCTTTCTAATGTGAAAAGAGTCATGTTCATTTAATCAAAAGAGGTCAGTTCTAGCCTTACTGACAGTTCTGTTTTATTTCAAATGTTTTGTCTTGACAACTCTCTTTTAACATTCCATTTGTATGCTGTTGTAAGTTATTTGCCTAATTTTCCAGATCAGCTTCAGCTTTTTACTTCATGCAGTTATCCATTTTCTCTCTTTTTTTTTTTTTCTTGTTTCTCACATTTGATCCTTTGCTTTGTTAGCCTCTTACTGTCATTCATATTTAAGGACTGGTAGACTCAGGCCTCAGGGAGTTGTTTATTTTTATAAAGCTTTATAGTCTTATCTTTTATTACTGAGCTTTTATCTCATGTTGATTTTATAACTTGTGCATCACATGAACTAACTCTTAAAATTTTCTGTGGTTCTGCTGAGTGGAGTTTTTACAGTATATTCATATCAAGTTACAGCAGAAACCTACACTTCTGTCTTTCAAAGACAAAAGAGTACTAAGCACTTTCTACCCTTAGCAAGTCAACTATTCTTTTTTCTTAGCTGGCAGGCTATTAGTGCCAATAAATATTTCACTGCAAAGGTCAGATTATCTAGGCTCTTTTAGGCATTTTGTTTAAACCAGCTTTTGAAACAGACTGTGGAATTGTCAGCTGCTTGACAATCAAGTTGGGAGCTTCTATGTATAGAGCTGAATGTATTGGTGCTGGTGACTTTCTCTGATCTTCCATACTTTAACTGGTGCATCAAAAAATAACTTTAGAACTAAATCGTACATTGGTCTTTATGGCTGTGGTAGACAAATGGAACTGAATTTTTAAGAGAATTGCTAATAATGCTATAAAGCCTTGTACAGAGCAGGACTGTTGCTTAGACTAAGGGTCCATCAGCCTCATGTTCTGCTTTTCACCAGTGGCCATGAATGATGTCTGGGGAAGAGCAGAACAGGGTAAATGTGAATAATGTTTCTCTCAAGTTCCCTTGACCTGCAGCTTTTTGGGGATTTCCTGAGCCTTTCATGATTTGTGTATCTTACAGCATACACTGGATTTTCCCTCTGCAAATGCTTGTCCAATTTTTCCTTGAACTCATGGGAGTTCGTTACATTCACCACATTTGTGAAGAGGTCTGTAAATTTGCTACCCTTTGTGTGGAAAGTTGCTATCTTCCATGTTCTATCCATCTCCTGCTTGCTTAGCTTCCCTTATTGTCCCCAGAAACTCCCACTAGAGTAGTATTCCACCTTCACAGCACTCAGGATTTTTTACATGTCCCTAAGGCATCTCTTTTCTGCAGGCTGAAGGGCCAAAGCCTGCTCAGTTATTATGTGGAAACAAGTCCTTACATTTCATCATCCTTGTTGACCTTCTTTTCTAGTATGCCTTTTTAGCAACTGGGGGCTGTAACTCCAAAAAACAGCAAAAAGAACATGATTACTTTTTCTATTCTCTCTGCCCTTATAATTCTTCATGTTTGATTTTACTTATTGTCTAATCTGGTGCTTTCATGGAACATTACCCCCAGATCTCATTCCTGCAATGTAGGAGCAAGTTAGTTTGTTCCTCAAGACACATGTGAAACAATTCAGTGGAGGTAGAAGAGGTCTCCATAAGCATCGCTTCCTGTTTATTTGCACTGAATGCAATTTTAGTGACAGGTTACTCAGCCTTTAAAGTTTGGAATTTCTCAACTTGTGCTTGCCCTGAATGCAAGCTTCCCATCTTCCAGTCACACCACAATTATGGTTATTATTTTTAATAAAGATTAGTGTCAAATTTCTTTTCTCCAGAGTTGAGGCACCAAAAAAGCTTTTTGAGGAAGGTTATGCACTGCCATTTTTTTCTAATTTAAATTTCCAGGAGGTTAGGATGACTGTGTTTGCTTCATTTGATGCAACACACTTGTTCACTGGAGAACTTTAGTCAGAGGGAACAAAAGCTTGGCCGTTTCTCACCTACTCTCCTGCAGAGAACTTGGGTGGTTGCAGACCAGATGAGGTGATTTGTCGTTCTGACTGTTTGTACCACAATCTTTCCCACAGCTAATTCAATTTCTGACCTCTCTACCCTGCCAAAAGAGCAGGGCACAGGTTAATGAGAAGGGGAAACTTGTTCAAAGGCTAAGAATGTCGAGAGTTGAATGAGGAGAAAGCACACTCAGGCCATGAGTAGGCTGTGTGCAGGAGGGGCTTTTTTTGTCGATACTTGAACCTCTCCTTCTCCAGTACTCACTACCTTTACATCCTCATCAAAACACGAGCTGCTATGCTCTGTCTTGTCACCCTTGTAGAATCTACCACATGGAAGAGCCCTTCTCACCCACAGGTGCCTCTCTCTGTCAGGGAAACCCCAGCTTGTTGGTGTACAGACAGGGAAGATTTCCAATACAGGTTTGCTTATTTCTGTTGGCAAAGTGAGCATCTGAGCATGCATGTGTGGTATTCTCAGATGAATACACAGGAGCTGGTAGTACAGTGTCTGGTCATCTGCCAGGCACTGAAGGAGGATGACAGTAAAGGGTAGCAGAGCTGTGTTCAGGCTCCTCAGCATGCTCTTGACAGCAATTAAACACATTCCTAAGCAAAAGTTGTTGTCTTCTGGTGCTGGTTCCCTGTTGCTCCTCTTTGCAAGCTCCCTCATGGGAGAGGCAAAGCAAGGCTGGCTGGTTGTCTTTTCTGAGTGGCTTCGAGACAAGCTGCACAGAGGTGGTTTCTTATTTCCGTAGTCTGCTGGTTATTTAAAATGTGCAGGCAGGAGCACCAGGCAGATATGTCATGGGTGCTGGTGCAGGCAGAGCTCCCACTGGGTCTGGTGTGGTCTTCTGGACAACCAGAGGTGGATGATTAGAGATTAATAATGAGAAGTGAGACAAACTGCACTCTGACGCTGCGTTCTGGCTTATTGGATAAACCATGAGCATGCCTGATTTTAATTCTGTAGTATCAGAACACAATGGTTGCTGTTCTTTTAAAATTTTGAAAAGGAAGAAGATTGCTGAGGAAAAGTGAATAACTGTGAGGGACTGCTGCATGAAATGGCAGCATATTTCTGGAGTAAATATTTCCATTTTCATGTGAAGAGAAAGAGCAGCTGTAACTTTTTTTTTTTTTGCAACTTAACTGAATGTGACAGGGCAGTGTTTGCCTTGCACTTCAGGTGTTCAATATCAGTAGTGAGTTAACACAGCTATAAATCATTGAGTGCTACTACATACTTTGTGCCAAAGAGATGGCCGAGAGGCTTGGCATACACCCCTAAGTTAGTAAAGCAACGTTCAAAGTATAACATGCAAAAAAAAAAAAAAAAAAAAGCGTAGAGGAAGTGCCTTAAAGTTGCTCACATCTATATAAAGTTGCTATACCCATATACCCATTAAAGACACTGTCATGTATATCTTAAACTGTTTTGGGTTTTGTTGTTGTTGTTTTTCCATATTTTAAGGATTTAAACTTAATTTTGTTAAGTTCAGCTACCTCTTAGGACCTTGAGGGGAGCTGCTCTGGAGACATGGAAGAAGGCTGTAGGGTTGTGAGTGATGAACAGAGAGAAATGACAAATGGGGATCAAATTTTTAACATCTATATACTATATAATAATCTATAAAAAAAATGTTCATTTCTTTTAAGGGATGGGAAAGACATGGTGGATATTGTTACAAAATCGACAGTACCCCTCGAAGTTTTGAACATGCTTCCAGTGGTTATTTCTGCCCATCTGCACTTGTATCAGTAACAAACAGGTAGTTAATCATATCAGACAGCATGAAGATGCTTCTAACAAGAGCTGATCTAACTTCAGAGAGTGTTGCATGGCAAAAGATATTACCGTTATGAAATAATATTTGTGTGAGAATTTTATAATTACTAACATTAGCTAGAAAAAAAGGTGTGTTTTACTTTATTTTTAATTGACAATGATTTTAATAAAAAGCAATTTTAAGTCTAATTTAGATTTATAACAATGCCCACACATGAGCATGCAGGAATCTAAACAAAACACTTTATTATACAGAGGTATGTAACATCCTCAAGAAATTCTATTAGTTTACTTGAAAAACTATATTGAAAAATTACAGTATTTTTAACTTTTATAATCAAAATGCATAAAATTTTAATTCAGATCAGGTAATGTTGTAATGTTTTATGAATCTTTCTATTTAGTTTTGCATTTACGTGAATATTCAGCAAATAGGGGGAGAGAATAAGTGTTTGAAAAGCATCTGACCTCTGTCTACACTTGCTTTTTTTTTCTGTCTACCCGTATTCCAGCTTCAGCAAAGCTTTTCTTCTCTGCTTATGTCCAGCTGCTTGAATTTTCTCTAATCTGTTTATGATTTACCCTATATGTTGGATTTCCATTGCAGGTAGACTACATACATACTTAAACCTACGTGTATTTATTATTAAAAAAAAAAAAATACAAAACAACAGCAAAAAACAAACAAACAAGCAAAAAAACATTTTAATGGTAATGCTAAGTCATGGCTTGAAGCAGTGATTGAGCACCTGGTGGAAAGGCAGGGGAGCTCAGGTGCATGCAATGCACTGAATGACAACAAGGGGTGGGGCCAGGATCCACCCCTCCCCAGACCTCATTTAAGGGTTGGTAGTGGAGGTGAGGGGATCTCACTGGAGATCCCTGTGTAGCTAAGGCTGAAGGTAAGCAATTTCTTTCCTATGTGTCTGTTGTGTTTGAGCAAATCCTCATGTGCTGCAGCCTGGGACTTTGCTGTTCTGCTGTCATTGTTGTGCTTTCCAATGTATTACACCCATCCATTTAAGGGTGAGGTACTGTAACCACCATCAATCAGATACAGATAGCTGAAAAATTTAGGGAATGACAAGTTACCCAGCATGAAGATTTAAAGTGGTGGGAATTTGGCCTGCTAGGTGATTTCACAATTGTGCCCAATAAATGCAGTATTATACTGTGCTGCAGCAATAGTTGTTACAAGAAGGATAAAGAACAAATTCTGGGCAGCTAAGCATCTACAATTCAAAATTCGCAGTGAGCTAAGGGCATACTGCATATCACTGGAAGCATGTGTTCTCTATTTTTCTGTTTATTTGACTTCATTGTATTTTTGGTGGATGTAGCCATTACTGTTTATTACGTTAGTTTCCACTTCTATTGTTGGAGCAACAAGGGAAGCTTGTTGTTAGTTTTTTATTGTGTTATACCAATTACATCTGAATGCTTTACATTAAAGAGAAAAAGGGGTTACTGCGTGAGACATATATTACTTGAAAAACTCTAAATGTCTCACACAGCATTAATGAAGAAATTTGAGTGTGTAAAAGTTCCTTTTTGCTGGTAGTTGGAGTTTTTCAGCTCTGATTCCTTAGTGCTGTTTTTTGTGTCTAGCTCTAATAAGATACTTCTGTGCAAAGCTTTTGCTTTTCTGTATTCTGTTCCTTATTGTGACCCTACCACCTCTTCTTCTTCATACAAAGAATTTCTAATTTATATCTGTTCATCATGAATATATTGTATTTGAACATCTTACAGCATTAACATTGAAGTTAGGAGATCTCTATCTACTGTTCTTTGAATGTGCCCAAATTCAGGGGGGTAGAGGAGGAAGAAAAGGAAGGAAGGAAAAATTATGCTATATCATAAACTGATCTGTGAATTTTTCCACAGAGTTCTGTAAAGAAAATTAAGTAACTTCTAGATAATTTTCTTGGATATTTTAAGATGTTTCATGAGATCTACTCACCAAAATGCTAGCTGATCTTTTCTGTACTAATAAGCATTTTGTCTTGATTGTTTTATTAGGTTTGAGCAAGCTTTTATTACCAGCATGATCCGTAGTGTGGTAAAATCGGAGAGAACTTATTTTTGGATAGGACTGCAAGACCTTAACAACACAGGAGAATACTTTTGGCTAACAACAGATGGGAAAAACCACTCTGTAAGCTACACAAACTGGAACAAGCATCAGCCACGTGAGTCATGTGCTGAATTTAAAAAAAAAAAAAAAAAAAGCCTGTGGGGAGCAACATGCTCCCACTATGAGTGGTTTGCAGTTCTGTTTTTATGAAGAAGAGGGCAGAAATTGTCTTGAATACATTTCTGGCAATAAGAACACTGTGTAGTGTTTTAATTCTTCCTCTTTGCTGGTACTTGGTGTGCTGTTAGATTTTGTTTTATGATAATCCAAAGAAAACTTTCTAAGAATTGAAAAAATGAAATAGGTTGATAAGTAGGATGTTTGATAATTGATTCAAATGTGGCCAGTGATGTTATGGCCAAACATTTGAGTCTTAAGATGATTAGAATTTAAGTTCTTCATCCTTTGAAACGTGAACCACTTAAAGATACCTGAAGATCTAGGCGTAAATATAAGATGCTGTTTTGCTAATGGCTTCTAAGATTCTTTCTAAATTTGTTGCTTTACTGCTGCAGTTCACTGAATTACTGTTTTAAATCACATTTTCCTTTCTGATTTTCTGAAAGGAATCTTCTGTCGTTTCATTTTACATGCTCGTGTCAGCCAAAACATGTTTACAACCTGATCGCTGACCACAGAATTTACTACCTTTGTAACCTCATCAAGATTTTACCTTGCACTCTGCCTGTGAAACAGTCACTTCACCAAAAATTCACAAAATTCAAATGCTTTATTTGCTGTTTGCTTCCATGCTTTAGGTCATTCTGGAGGATGTGTGGCAATGCGAGGGCAGGACCCTGTTGGTTATTGGGAGGTAAAAAGCTGTAAGAACTTCAAAGCAATGTCATTGTGCAAGCAAAAAGTCAATTCTTATGAAGAACCTGAACTTACTTTTCAAAGACATTTGAGTTCCTGCTACTTTGGATGGGAGTCAGAAGGCAATCTACTCAACTGCTACAAGGTAATTGGCAAATGTGCTTTAAATTTTTCAGGTTCTATGTTGTTTCAGGAATACACTGTTTCTGAAGTATTTAGCTAAAGTACTGTTTTCTACTTAGCAAATAAAAATTGTTACCATCCTTTAATGGCATTTTAAAGTGAATGAAATTCTTAAGTCTTGAATCAGAATTGTACTTGAAATATAAACTTCATAGTAGGAAGAGCTGTGATATTTAGTTTTTATGGGCTTTTGAAACAATTGCTCTCTGAAATCAACCACATTTATGGCAGTATTTATTTTATTGCAGATATTTCACAGAGAGAAAGTTCTGATGAAAAGAACATGGAGTGAAGCAGAAGCATTATGTCAAGATTTTGGAGCACATCTTGCCAGTTTTTCCCATGTCTATGAAGAGACTTTTTTAAACAATTTATTATATACAATTTTTGATAGGTAAATAGGCTTTGGTAACATTTACAGATTAATATGCTTAAGATAAACCTTGTTAAAATAACTCACAATCTAAGGAATGTTCTTTAATAGTGTCTGAAGAGGACTACTACTGACTAACACAAACTTAGAAATGGGTGAAAAGAAGTGTAATAGCAACACTGTAATGTGACTCTTTTTGAAGATGATCTTTGCAGTAGGCGTCAAATGACTCTTAATGTCAGTGATGTTCTTATGAGTTAACATTCCCTATTGAACTGGAAATTCTGCAATTTGAATCCTATTTTAAACAAATTCCTCTTAAAAATATAACTTAACATTTTAGTAACAAAAGGAGTTTACTGCAAGGAGACTAAAATGTTAGTAAATGCATTGCAGTATGATGTAATGAATTAAAAAATGAATATGGGTGTTTTTGCACTACTTAGAAATAGTTTATGAAATAGCTAAGGAAAGTTTGTTTAAAGTATTTCTCTGCTTCCATCCCAGGACAGAAGAAAGGCAGTTCTGGATTGGGTTTAATAAAAGAAACCCATTTTCTGGAGGGACATGGCAGTGGTCTGACAGAACACCTGTAAGTGCCTGTATACTGTGTATTTCAGAAACCTCTCAAGTTTAAGTTCCCAAAAATAAGTCATGTGAACAGATAGATAAATGGTGACCAGCAAAGCTCTGGTTTGTGTTTTTTTTATTTTCTCCATGTTCACCTATTTCAGTTAAATGAAGTGATTGTTACAGTAGTAGTATTGTTGCATCATTTTTACAGCCACCTGTACAGAAAAGTTGCAAAACAGCAGAAGGCATTTGGTAGGATTATAAAGTTTTGTGAATTGGTGCTTTCCTGCAGAGCATGTTGTGATTAGTCCAAGATGTGTCACAGTGCATTTTAAAAGTTTTCTGAACAAGCATGTGGATTTTGGATTATGCAAGAAGATCAGTTTTTAAACTGTAATTGGTTTTCAGTCTTTAGGAACAATGTCAGCTCTGCCATCATTATTTAAGTAATTGCAGAATACGAGTGCGAAGTTCAGTCATGCGAAGATCTGAACCAAAACAAAGGCTGTTAGGCTTGGACAACCACTGCTAATCATGTTTAAAAAAAAAAACAAAAAACAAAAAACAAAAAAAAAACCTGTTAGATTTAATTGTTATAAATTTTATTTTTTATGAAGATGGAGTCTAATATAAGATGAGAAATTGAACAAGACATTACAAAAACATGATTACAGGACTCATTTTTAGGATTTTAGTGCCATAATTTAGGTGTTTCACTAGTTTTCTGGTCTGGAAATCACATTTCATGTTCTTATCATACGTGCATCTTCATACACTTCCTTTTTCTCCGTAATAGGACTTTGACATGCTTAATCTTGAATTGTTGGTGAAAGATCACAAGTATGTTGTTTTCAGGTTGTAGCTTCATTTCTGGAGAGCAAGTATGTTGAAGATGACTCAAGAAACTGTGGTGTATTCAGAGTAAATAGAACAGTTTTTCCAGCACACTGCAATGAAAAGCGTGAATGGATATGCAAAATACCAAAAGGTGAAATCTTAATTAACTTACATTGCTCTATCTTGTAATTCAGAAGAGACAAGAAGAAATGTCTAAAAGACTGCTGATGGTCTTCTGTGTGAAATCATGGCAAAGCTACATGCTTCTGTTGGTTTTTTTTTGGCCAGATATCAGGACTGCTCTGTGCAGACAGGTAGCTATAGCATGGGGCAACAATGATTAGCAACAAGTCAGAAGTTTAACCTAAGTTCTGATTTATAAAAGTTGCTGAAAATGTTGTTTATTAAAAATGTTATTTATTAAGCATGGCCATTTTTATTTTATTCTGTGTTTAATTTGCTTTTGTCTCTGGATGAAAATAGCAACATTCAAGACTTTGCTTTCCTGACACAGTGAGAATTTAATCAATTTCAGAGCAGTATCTCTTCTCAGTTCTTAATGTAATATCTTTTTTTTTTTTTTGCAGGTGTTAAACCAAAGAATCCAGATTGGTACATAGCTGGTATGGAAACTTTATTTCTTGCATCTTGAAATATTATCACTGGGAAGTGTAATTGATGTATTGGTAAAAATAAAATAGTTAAATATTTTAAGGTATAAAAATTTACATTATGTAACACTGCGGAAACTTGTCGGTAAACAAAATCTGCCACTCTTGTTTAGAAACACTGAAATGTACAATGCTGCTTATGTTAAGTAAAGGAATGTTGTCAGTAGTAGGCACAGGAATTTGATGTCCTCAGTTGCATCGAAACTGCCTTTGTATTTACAAAGTCCAGGCAACCCTGTCAATACAGTAACATGGGGTATAATATAAAGCTGAGATTCACTCAGTTCTCCATTTGTTGTCATAATTTGATATCCCAAATATAGTTCTGCTACTAGTTATGGAATGTTGACCTGTGTCAAGTAGCTGGAAGTGGGCCGAGTGTGTTGTGCGGAATGTGAACTGCAGTGAGGTTTTACACCCACATGGATTTGATTCTTCTTGTCTACTAGAACTGCCGTGGTCGTACTACCAAGGAGCGGAGTATCTTTTTCACGTGAATCCTACAGACTGGGACACCTATGAGTTCATTTGTGTCTGGCTTCGTAGTGAAATGGCAACAATAAATTCTGCTGATGAGCAAGCATTTATTGAAAATAAAATTAAGAAGGTAACAAATTAGAATGCTTCTTTAAAGTCATATTTACTAACAGGGGATTTCTCAAAAGCAGCTTTGTAACTGAAGTAGTGGATATTGTAGCATTTTATGATGAGAAAGCCAAGATTACTCCATTTGCATTTTATATTAAGTTAACTTCCTTTGAGTTTCATCTCAGAGTATGACAGCTATTTTATAGCCTGCTGCCTTCCCCAGTATAGCCAGGTGTGTCTGTAAATGTTTCTAACTGATTTCCTGTGGAAGAAGGTCTAAGGATAATCGTCAGCAGTCTGGATGGAATTTGTATATATGCCCTTAGAAAACTTCATAGAGATTTCTTTGTGTAGAATTTAAAATCATAATTTTCACTATTTCTTTAAGAATTGTAATCTATAGGCTGATGCTATGAATAGAAAGCCGAATTCAGGGACCAGTCAATACCACACCAGGCAACATTTCTTAGGCTATTCTTTATCAGAAATATGTATTCTAAATTTAGTATTGCTAGCTGATAAAATCCTGGCTCTAAGGACTGCATAGCTGCTTCAACATATGCTGCAATTCCACTTTTTCTGAAGGAAAAATGAATGCTTTTAAATGGTGGGGTAGCACTTATGATGTCCTGTGCATTTGAAACTTTTTTTCCCCTTTGACTTTCCAGAAGACCCCCAAACTGTGGCTGTTGAGAGACTACTCCTGAAAGCAAAGTTTGTTCATGGTTTAAATCAGTGTCATATCAGTGCAACAGCAATAAGTGACTATTTAAATGACAATATCTCTGTGAATTATCCATAATACTTTGCCTTTTAGGACTGGAAATCTAGAACTTTCACAATCATAACATTCACTCTCAAAAGCATCTCTGTTACATGAGCTATAAGATGTAATATAAATTGCAAAGAAAATGTTCTGGAAACGCTAAAACCAGTAGCATTTCAATACGAAAAGGAAATATTTGTACTTCATAATTTTAATGATGTCTATTTTTCTTAGTTCTGGCCTAAGACTACAGTCATTGCCAGGCCAGGTCTGCTGTCAATGTTTACAGCCTAATTTTAAAGAATGTGGAAAATGGAGGCTACATTGTGTTTTGCTTACGTGCTTGCTGAAGTCAGGAGGGAGTAGTCACATAGACTAAGACAGGCAGTATTTAGCACATGTTTTCCACCAGAAACCAAAGGAGATGCTATTCATCTGAAAATGAGCACGGCTGATTTTTAGAAGTTGATTATGTTTAACTATTGTTGCCCTCTTGTCAAAACATATGGCAAAACATTTTTTTGTAGCTGTCGGATAGTGATGTTCACTGGTGGATTGGACTGCATGCAGAAAACATCAGCAGTGAATTTCGGTAAGAGTGTGCTTCAGCTGCTCTGATTTGTACTTGGCATGTTTTGTTTACAAGCTGCCGTTCAGTTTGATGGACTAAAACTGTTTGAGCTGGATATTCAAAAGACAACTTTGGCTCTCATATAAATATCATTCAGAATATGTTACCTTTCATTTTTTTTCTGTGAAAGGGGTACAAAAGATTTAAGCCAAAGATGTGACTATCAACATGCTGATTCTTTCGTTGTTTATTGTAACAATAAGTTGAAAAATGGGCACTTCCTACCCTGTATCCAGTTAAAAATACTTTTAGTAGGGTCTGTATTGTTAGATTATGACCGGGAAAAATAACTACCCTCTCAACATTTCTGTGCAGCTGGAAGGATGAATCACTAATAACATACCAGAATTGGAATGAAGGCAGAGATCGATATCTGCATAAACCGGGGAAAAGATGTGGCTTCATTTCATCACAAACAGGTTTATTTTATATTTCTTTTTGTCGCAGGAATTGCGAATTGGTTGTTATTGTCCAAAGGAGATTGTTTTCAGTTGCTTTGAAAAAGTATACTGTCCTGTCACGTGGTTATAGATTGCTTAACTACTGTTATGGTTAAGAAAAGAACATTAAGATATGGATTTGCTCGAGGAGTAGACCATAGTACTTAAAAGTATATTAATAGTTTAGCATTTTAATGTCAAATTATAAATATCCCAGTGATACCAAATCTTTAGTCTCTCTTAAGAATTTATTATGTGGCACAGCAAAAACGTTAACGTATTCCTGGTTTTCACAATCACTCTTTTTTGTAACCAAACAAGCCATATGGACTGAGCAGCAGATCTTCCTCCATTCAAGAAATGTTTTTATATCATTAAAAACTTTAAATACTTGGGTTTCTATCTTGTTTTTAACCCAGCAGCCAATCTGCTGAGGGATTTTTGGGTGCCATGTTTTGTTATCTGATGGTGCTAGCCTCTACGTCATCACAAATATTTCTTTTGCTACTGTAATTAAAAATACTATGTATATAGTGCTGCCAGTTTCAGTGATTTTTTTTTTTTTGTCATTTCTCAGTCTCTGTTTTCTGAAGATCTGTGGTTTGTATAAGGTAAATGTGTCAGGTTTCTTAAAAATATGCAACTTTTAAAAAAATCTCTCCTCACAAATACGAAGTTGCACTCTTGTAATGCCAGCGTCAAAAGCTAAAAACCATTTTTTGTTAACCCACACATCACCTTGAGGGTTTTGGTTCATAACTTTCAAAAGCTTGAGGCTTACAGATATTTTAGTCTCTGTTTTACATGATACTTCCCCCTACCCCATCACCGGCAAACAGAGGGGATCTGATCAGTAGATTGAGTGCTTTGTGTTCTGCTGAAATATGTATTTTCCTTCTAAGCAGGACAGCATTTGATGTCAGTACCTGGTGGCCTTGCCAATGATTTTTAATGAAAAAGGGTAAAACTACTTTATCTGGAATGTATCATTGCTGTACATTTTCTTCTCAACTAATTTTTTAATATGTGATAATAGGCAATGTATTATGTGACTCAATGTGGAGGAATATTTTTAGATTAATGAAATCAAACTGTAAATATATAAGATTTGTGGACCATCAAATGTACAGAAATGTGTTATGTCCAAATATATTTGCTGTGGAATCATGACTTAACCAATAAAGGGGATAATTTTCTTCCCAATAACTGAGCTAGCTAAGAAAAAGTCCTTTTCTCTAAAGAAAATATTGAAATGTGATATTTTTTTCTTTTTACGTAGGACGCTGGGATGATGAAAACTGTACTGTTTCTCTTCCCTGTATTTGTAAACGTAAAAATGCTTGGAAAATAGAGAAAGAGATTCCAAAAGACCAGAATCCACAAGGAATGTGTCCCAAGGGCTGGCTGCACTTTGGATTTAAAGTAAAACACTTTTTCCTGCTGCTTAATTATTCAAAATGAATTCTATTATTACAGAAAATTTGGACTTTATAAAGACTATTTGGTATTTGAAGATTTTCTTCCTTTCTGAAAGTAGGGAACTCATGTTTATGAATAGTGATGTGGTGATAGAGAATTTCATTAGCTTTGCGCAGAGAAGTTGCCTTAAGCTGTTAATGTTTTACTTTAGTTCCAGGAAATGCGTGTTCATTTATGCAAAAGCTACCTAGACTTTTTGATAGCAAACGCACAAACGTGCTTATTCTGTGCTGTCTCTCTCCTTTGACACTTTTACAGTTTTAAGGCTTGTTTGGCCTAAAAACAGAACTATAATCCTTTGGTGTACTCAGTAGTTCCCTAATTGCTGCCTGAAGATATGGTTTCAAATGTTGTTAATCAAAGATAATTACACACTGAAATCTATTTGTGATTGAAGGTTGAAAGGCAACTATTTCATCAGACTTCTCTTAAATATGCACATTCCTTAATGGAAATGTTCCCTGAAGTGAGCAGGTTTATCCCAGCATTAAAATGCAGTCACTACAAGGATAAACTTAAACCAAGGGGCGTTGCCTAAGGCTGTGGATCCAACACTCTTATTGACTGGTAAAGCTTTTAAGTGGAAGGAGAAACAAAACAAGCCTCTTTTTTTTCTTTTGAAACAGTGCTTTTTGATACAAATCCCAAAGGATCCAGAGCACCTGAGGAGCTGGTACTCTGCACAGACATTCTGCAGTAGGTACGATGGGTCCCTCGCTTCCCTTGAAGATGAACTGGAACAAGGTAGAATGCTGAAAATATTTTTAAATAAAATTTCATCTTTGAAGAAATGTTTAAATAATAATAGATACAGATTTTAGGGGAAAAAAAAACATGCAAATTCCACTCAGGGATGCAATGCTATAAACAAATCGGTAAATGCTTTTCTCTCCTATATTCCTGAAACATAAAGAATAGAACACCAGCCAAAACAATCTCAATTTTATTAAGATGTGATCTATAGTGTAGCACGTGAATAGTAGGCTAGGTATGTCAGAAGTGTGAGTATGAGCACATTCAGGAATGGTCATAACTTTTACTCATAAAAATCTGAGTTTGAATTTCATATGTTTATAAAACCTATTTGGAGGTGGGAGGAATCTCATTGGCTATTTTATTTGAGAAATTTTATTTTCAACTAAAGCTGAAACTTTTTTCAGTGAGTCAGTACCCTGAATGAAGTAGTACCCCAGCTTAAGTTGTTTAAGCTACTGTTGCAATTTCTTAAAGACTTCTCTACTGGGCTTGATACTGACCCAACTGAAGTTATCGTATTTACTGAATTCATAGCTGGTTGACTATGAAATGCTTTTCGTGTTCTTATTTCTTGTGAGTAGATAAAGACATTGGTTGACAATTTTCCAGTGCTTTAATGTGTTGGAAGAGACTTCAGCTATCCCTAACTTGCTACTAGTTAAGTATTTAAGTATTTACTTTTGTTTCATTTTCCAGCTTTCATAACAATGAATCTATTTGGTCGCAAAACTAGTGTTTGGATAGCTTTCCAGGGTGATGATTATGAAAAATGGATGAATGAAAATCCTCCAAGGTATTCCAACTGGTCTCCAATTGAAGCAGTGCATGTAAGTATTTCCAGGGGCTTTAAAGACACTGAGAAATTGTTTGATCCATAATATTCATGATTGCCATAAAGACAAGGCCTAACATGTTATAGCAACTTAGTCTTCTCTTAATTTTTGCAACTTCAAACGATTGTGGACACAACCTTATGGGTATAGCTAGCAGTTGCCAAAAAGGCACTATCCAGACAGTTATTTATGCAATACATGGCCATAGTCACACTATCTGAAATTCTATTCAAGCACCACAGTTTAAGCTATATGGTTGACATCCTATACTAGATTTGAGCAAAGTAATATTACAAATTTCATATTTTAGTGTACTATATTTAACTTGGTATGTTTGTCAGTATTAGTTAACATTTTAATTTCTTCAGTGCACGTTTGTGACATTTTTTCTATGAGGCTATTATTCCAAGTGGTATTTATGGGAATTTTTCATTGTTCTACCTAACAGTGCCTTTTAGCTAATTATTATTCTATGTTTAATGTAATAATTATGCCTTGCTTTACATGTTGTCTTTTACAATTAATGTGAGGTTCTATGTTGATTGCAGAGACCGCGTTATAACAGTGTCTACGTTGAAGAACAAGTTCCACTTTGTACACTGGTATCAAATAACCCTAATTTTTATTTTACGGGAAAATGGTACTTAGAAAACTGTGAGAAAAATTACGGGTTTGTCTGCCAAAAAAGGCAGGGTAAGCATTTGGTCTGGTTTCCTTCTGTTCTCATTCATTCTCTTGTTGAGTTCAGTTTATTTTTATCCATAAGTAGCTTATTATAGATGTCTATAAAACCAGGAGTTAAAAGGTCTTTATAGGCAATTTTACTTACTATTTCAGCAGACACTTTACACAATTTAATAAATCAATAGCTGTGATGTAGAAGTAATTTCTCAAATATTTTGCTGTTAGATTTGATTCTTAACTTTGGACTTTCAGTTGCATATATCAGATCTAGAGATTACATTTCATTGTCTGTCCTCGCGAGCAGAGTAATAGCATGAAATTACAAAAGGTAAAACTGGAGAGAGTTCTGTTGAAAATATTGTTCTTGGATTTGCAGTCTCAGATCAGACAAGACTTTGGGAGATGCATTTCTGTGAACAGCCAATTGGCCAATCAGGTGTAGGCTGGCTTTTCTTCCCGTGCATTTTTCCAGTATTGGACATAGCAACGTGCTCAGCAGCACACATCAAAATGGACTGTATGGACACGGTGGCTTTATGTGGTGCAGCTTTATCTGCTATCTTGTAGTTAAGGTCTCTGTCCAAGGAGTAGTAGTTCCTGCTGCTCTCCCCAAGAGACTCAACAGAGTAAGAAAGATGAACCAGAAAGCTTTGGTCTGTGCTAGCATGGCTCTTGCAAACCACAGCCATGTTTGACATCACTTATCATGAGGCACAATTGCCACAGGGAAAATGGGAGTGAACTTACTGTGTAGAATAAATGAAGCTGTTTTTCAACTACCTTTGAATTGTCTGTTTTAAAAAATAAGAAAAAATAAAAAATCCCCTCTTTGTTTCCAACAGACACATCCAGGCATATCGTCAATGCATCTGAAATGTACCCTGTGCCAGATACTTTACAGTATGCAAACAGAACATATACCCTAATACGTGGGAATTTGACATGGTCTGCAGCTTTAAAAACTTGCATGGCAAATGGAGCTGAGCTGGTCAGCATTGCAGATCAGTACCACCAGGCTTTTCTCACAATCATTGTGAATCGGCTGGGATACAACCACTGGATCGGGCTGTTCACTGCAGATGTGCGTAATGGGTTCGCTGTCTGTGCATCCTTTATTGTAAATTAGGTTTTTACAGTAGCAAACTATGAGCTCTGTCATTCGTTAGAAGCCCCAGGAAGTTCATATTAGGAAATTAAACCCCCACTTGAACTTTTATCAGCCTCCTTGCCATATTGTGCAGCATGATATATAAATTTAATGAGAACTAGTTTGGTGCAGTGAATACTGAAAAATGAAGCCATAGAAAATATTTAAAAAAAAACTAAGAAAAATCTCTTCTAATGTCAGCATTGAATTTAAATTTTATTTTGAGCTGCTTTATGGCCCAAATAATCACTTACACTCAATGAGCCAGACAATTTGCTACCATGCAGAACAGCAGTTTAGATGTAGTTTGTGTTCTCCTAGAAATAAGTTGAGAGAATCTTTGAAACTGCCCCAGCACTAGGGGAGAGGTAAAAGGCATTCTGATCAAGATGCCCCTGGAAAAGAAAGTATGGCACTGAACAGAAATAATTTAAAACTTGTTTTGGCAGAATGGGCTTAATTTTGAGTGGTCAGATGGGACTAGATCCTTGTTTACCTTCTGGGAAGATGATGAGTCTCAGGCCTTGGGCAGCTGTGTTTATATGGATACCTCAGGGCACTGGAAGAGTACAAGCTGTGAACAACTTCTGCCAGGAGCAGTCTGCCATGTGCCACCAAGTAAGTCAGGTTTTGTTTTACGTCTGTGCAGCTGCAAATGTGTATAGTAATAGTGGCAATATATGAAAGGAAAATTTAATATTTGAGGTTAAGCAATACTGATGGATCCTTCAAAACTGATTTATTTCCTTTTTGTATCTCCTATTTGCGAAGCCTTTTTTTTCCCCCGTTAAGCATTGGCCATTGGGTCTAGGCTATGTGAAAATGGAAAGAACTTCTATAGTGGGAAAGAAACAGGTGTAAGGAAGCTCTCTCTTCGGTGAGCACTATACTATCTGTAAAAAATGCTAATTGTTAACAAACTAGCATGAAGGGAAGTAAATTCAGTTTATTGTAGTTAACTGTAAAACAGGAAAAGAGGAGCATTAAAAGTGAAGTGAGAAGTTAGTCACATCTTCATTGACTGCATATGGAAGACTCTGCAACTTTTTTTCTAAAGATGAGAATATTTTTCTGCATCCTAAAATACATTTTGTTTCCTGCGAAGCTCTTAATTACCTGAGCTTTCGTTTGAATGCAGAATTCAGGTGTGGAGCTCTACTCAGTCCAGGACTGCCGAGTCCTTGTCAGCATCCTGCTCTCACAATGGCAGTCACCTGAGTCAGAGGGGCTCTTGGCACAGTACGTTGCACAGTGGAGAGGCTGAGTGTTGCATTCTGATGGGAAGCTCTCCTCTACCTCTGTGCCCTGGTATTTGGCATTCAGTTATCCTTGCAGCTTTGTGGAGAGAAGCTCTGCTGCCCCTGGAAATTCCCAGCGTCTGGGAAATGTTGGGTAGGCCTTAGTGCCCATATGATGCTTCTCTCCCTGTGCACATCACTGCTAGATAAATATCTTTATAGCACTGTTGCAAGCCTGCAAGGTTTTTCATCTGCAATGAAACCAGCTTTGCAGTTCTAGTACAAGTATATGCAGCCATTAGATTTTTCTCTTTGAAAAATAGAGACATAAATTAAATAGTATGCTTATTAGCATTATTCTAAAACAACATGTGGAATGTTATATTAATGTGTATGTTGTTGTGCCAATAAAGCTTTGCTGTTGTTTCTATCACAGAGAAGAAACTCACTGAGTATAAAGGCTTATGTTCAGAAAAACATGTTCCCTGGATCAAATTCAAAAAGAGTTGCTACAGCTTTAACACCGTTCTGCAGGGCACAAGCTTTGATGCTGCATATGAAGTCTGCAGAAATCAAGGTAAGTGACTATTTTATAGCTACAAAATGTAATTGTGATAAAGTTAAGAAAAAAAAACCCACACAGATTTTCTGAAATGACTGAAGTCACAGCGAGCGTTTTCTCTGGTTCAGGAGAACGCTACTGGAGCTCATTAAGCCAACAATGAAATTGAAGACAATGTGTATCAAAAAATGGTCTTTTGTTTTGAAAATACTCTTTTCTGGAGTAAGATATAAATTGGATTTATCCCCTTTCAAACTTGTTTTAAAATCAAGTGAGAATAGTTTTATTAGTTGTAAGCTTCAGAACTTATAAAGCATAAGCAGGCTTTTCAACATTTTCAAACAAGATTCTGCATACCAACTTATGAAATGCAGTTCTACATTTTAATGGTGTGAATTGTTTGAAAAAATCTGTTGTTTAATCTGCAGGATCTAATCTTCTAACTATTGAAGATGAAGATGAAAATGCCTTCATTCTGGAGGAGTTGCACAGTTTTAGTTATTCTGTGAAAGTGGTTTGGCTGAATGTCCTGCATGTTACAGACAGTAAGTTTTGCATGGAAGAGAACTGAATGTAAGAATCTAGGATTTTTCTTAAGGCTGATATAACCATCTTACAAAATACTGCTACTTTTTGAGTTTTGTTTTCACTGTTTATTATTTGTTTGCAATGTAGTAAAAAGCTGTGATCGTTACTTACTAGGATTCTGAATAGTAAGTGTGTATGCATGTACATGAGTGCCTTTATTGGCTTGTTAAACAAACTCTATGGGCTGTATCAACCATGTGGTATGTTTTTAAAGTATTCAACAAAGAAAGGAATATAGTAGACAAACAGGATAGTAGCCTGGCAGTGCTTTTGTACTGTATTGTGAGCATGCACGTTAAGGTGAGTTCAACTGAAACATGTTTATCAAAACATGATGACATTTTACAATTACTTATTATTTCTGCCCTTAGATGAAACAGTTTCCTGGTTTGATGGCTCTCCCTTAAATTATTCTAACTGGGGCATCAGGGAGCCTGAATTTGATCATCTTAAGGGGAATTTCTGTATCAGCCTGAGGACTGCAGATGGTGTATGGCAAATATCTCCATGCAGAGAAATAAAGGGATTTGTTTGTAAAAAGAATGCAGGTATGTGCTTCTATTGAAGGAACTGATCGTGTTCTCATAACCGCTGTCTTATATTTTCTCTATTGCTTGCTTACTTTCTCTTAGTCTTCATTTAAATATTCTTTTCCCATTAGAGAAAATAGCTGTGAAAAACAAACCAGTCAGGGTAGCCTTCTGAGGAGCCTGGGCATCTTTTGTTACTGCATGCTGTGACAAAATTTCTCTTGGTACAGGCAGCTCCAGTGAGTGGTAAGAGAACATGTACATGAGGGAGCTGAAGTGTTCTGAGAGTCCACTCAAAGTGCCAGAATCACTGCTGGACCCAATAGCTTGTTTCATACACCATTGCACGCTTCTGCTTATGCATGTGTGCTTTCTGCAGTGGGTAAATGCTGCTGTACATCTATGCCACAATGTAGGTTAATATATTCCACTAAATTTAAAGGATTTTATACAGGCAGCAGGCTAGGTCATATTTTACTTGGCCTGTTGTAATTCTAGTAACGTGGCTAAAGTTCAACAAAGAACAGCTAGATCTTGCATGTTTTTGAGCAGATTGTCTTTGGAGTATCAGTGATGCACTGAGTGTATGTACTAAATTTTGCTAGTACTCTGGATATTCTTCTGACAGTTCTGGGTTTCTGGGTTCTATTTCAGATCTTAATGCAGCAGAACCCTCTGAAAAATGTAAGTTTTCTTTTTTACTTTCAAAAATTTTTTTAATAAGGAGCAATAACATGTTTTGAGGTGATACTTTGTGAGATCACATTTAATAATGGAAAAAAGTTTAATTTAAAATGCACAACATAAAAAGAGTAATGGTGTTTTATGTGGAACATCCGTGTTTTTGTACTTAAAATTATATGCAGTTATAACTGCATTTGTGTAATAACAATCTCTGCTTTTTCCTTTCAGCATCATACTCTGGACTTGCTGCTCTGGCTGTTCTGGTAACGTTGGTGATGCTGGCTGCCATTTCCATTTTTCTGTGGTGCCTCTACAAACAGAACAACAGATTCTTCCATAGAATACTGTGGGTTAGAAATGCTTATTTTCCACAGATTAATTCTGATGTTCCTGCTCTGGAAGAAAGTATTCTTATTTCTGATTTTGAGAAAGATGACAATTAATCAATGGGGAGAACCGAGTGGTCATGTATTCCATGTTAATTTCCATGTCCTACAGTGTTTTTGTTCTTATGAGCCAGTTGCTGTCCAAGAGCAGCTCCACTTGTTAGCTGGTGGTGAGAACACCTACGTGGTGCTGGAAGAACAGAGAGCAGCAAAGCAGCAGCTGCTGCTCTTTCCCTCCTTGTGAATTTGTTGCAGCAAAGTTTCTGAAAGGTTTCCATAGTGAGCAGTGAGGAGCTGAGCACCAGACACACCTACTCCCACAGGCACCAGACCCAGGCTTCCTTGGTGGCAGAAGGTCTGTGCTCCCTTCTCAGGAGACTCAGGGTATGTGCTTCTGGAGGAACCCTTGCACTCTGGTTGGAGAGTGCGCAGGGGCTGCTGCACTTGGACCTCTTCTGCTTTGTAGTAGAATGTGGTGAGAATGCACAGAGCCATGGGAAAATTGGCTTCTTTGGGAAAAGCTGTGAACTAAAAATGTTCCAATACCACAAATCTCAAACCGCTCACGTGGAGCAGTCATATCTGTGCCTCCAGGCAGAGGACGTTTCCATGCAGCTTCTTCCCTTGGGAATATTTGGGCCCCTTTGCTTTTGTTTTCATATCAAAAAAGCTGCTCGTGAGCCAGTGTTAAAACTTGTCCTTGAATTTAGGAACTCTGAAACCTACTCCAAAGCTTATGGAGTAGTTCTTCCTGATACCTATTCCATCCATAGAATGTACTTTTTCATATGGTGGATTCTTAGCAGGTGGACTTCCAAGTTTGCTGAGATGAAGTTACTTTTGTTTGGGAGTGTCAGTGTTGCCATGATGGCTTGTTTACATTATGAAATACCTTAGGCTTGAGATACAGAAGTGTATGGATATTGTTGTCCTGAAGTTAATACATTCAGTAGAGATACTTCTGGTGCTGCACTTCTAGAGAAACAATGTTCTCTCTCACCTCGATCTCTTCAGAAACTGAATCTCATCAGACTCTTTCAAAGATGCTTTGGAGCAGTATCTGTTTGAAGGAAAACATTACTATAAATCTTGTTAAAGTTATGGTAATAAATTGCTTTACTGTTCACTTACAGTGCAACTTCAAGCAGTGTTTATGTATGTTCTTCTGAAACCCTGCTCTCCACACGTAAGGGTGATACAAGGGAGAGCCACACCTGCAGTTGACAAACGGTGCTGTACTCCCTTGTCCAAGTCCTGTGATCCCATATCACACACCCTCAAGGGCCACATTTCACTTTCACTGGTATTTCACTTTCACTGGTCGTTACCAAGGTGCTAATGGTGTTAATACCATCTTTCACTGGTCAGTTGTTCTCCTGGCTAATGGCTGTGCAAGACCCACAGATTCAGGTCACGGTTCTCGATGGTGAATGAGTTCTATGGACTCCCACCACTCTACCCAGTCCTCCAGTTACTTCTGTGAAAATATCAAAACCTTTTATGGAGGACTTCTAAATTATTTCTATTGTAAAGTGGAGAAAAACAAAACAAATTGTTGATCACAAAGAGTTACTGGAGTATTGAATCACATTTGTCATCTCTAAAAGCTGCTATGAAGGGCTGTGCATGTTGTTGTGTTGGTTTGTTATGGGATGACTCATTCTAAAAACTTTGCAGGAACCCTAAAATGGAGATATGTTTGTGAAAATTCAGTAACCAGACAAGGCCAAATGCCATGTTCTTATTTGTGCACATACAGGGGAATGTATGACTTCTTTCCTGTTAGATTTCATGTAGCAATTCTTTAGACGTGACCAAATAAATAATGTATTTTCATGTTATAATTATGTATAAGGTTATATTTTTCTTAATTATTTAGTACATAGGATACTTCTATACTGGTTTACAGGATACAGAAATGTGGTTGAAGAGACTGCAGATGCATCGATGCATCTTATCAGTATATAACAAAAAAAGTGACCAACTCTCCTTTCCCCATGAGAATTTTGCCTGTTTAAATTTCAGCTGGAGGAGCCTAAACAGCCATCTTCCATTCATCACATTCACTGACAAGTGTATATGTTGCCTTTTTGCAGCAGAGTGACTTGAAGGATGCTTTTTGCTTGCAAAATTGTAAAATATTTTGTCTCAGGACGTGCATTTATCAGACTACTATGCTGTTACCTAGTTATGCATATGCTGTCACATTTTGACATTGTTAATGAAGGTGTATATTTTTTCAAAAAACCTGACATGGATACTTCATCAATTTTCCTTGAAGTATGTTGTAGTCATTTTAATGTATCTAAAGGGCAGTTGTATAATAAATAACCCTAACATCAGAATAGAGAATGTTAACACTGACTGTGATGTAGGTGATCTTGGATCAAGGCAATAGTACTTCAAGAAGTGTTTTCTTCATACGTTGAAAATAATCTGCAGTTGACAAAGTCATAAGTGTCATAAGTAGAAACAGTGTCATAAAGTGTTTATTTTAAAATCTTTTGTCATTTAACTTTTCTAATTGCAGGTGCTACTCACTTAAGGATGTTATTGCTGATTACTTCCTATTTGTTTTTCTAAATATAAGAAAAATCTTACAGTGAGAACCATTACTTTCTGGAATAATGTCCTTGGGGATGTGATAATTCACATCGCTGTAGGGTTTCAAGATGCAGTTGGACATGGTACTAGGCAATCCCATCCAGACTTCCTTTTCCTGTGAAAAGTTGAACCTGATGACCTTTAAGGTCCCTTCCACCTGGTCTGTTCTATGATTCTATGGATTTTACCTTAGCTTCCATTTGTTTTTCCTTAACTCAAGATCCTCTATCCCATTCCTGCTCGGAGTACTTGTTGGCTACATTTTTCATGGGTGACTATGATAGTAACAGCAGTGAGGTTCACTGTGTTACTTCAACTAGGAAATTAAAGCATAATAACTTTTTGGGCTGCAGATTTTCTTTTGCCAGCTTTAGTGTCTCCCAGCAGCAGTTCCCAGGCTTTGCTCCAGGTTACAGTGTTAGGAGAGGGGCAGCTGGCACCAGGCTGCTGCTTTCTGGCTGCTCTCCTCCATTCCTCCCTCCTCCTTCCCTAGCCTTTGCATGTGTGCACACTTTCCTGTGTCTGGCTCCGGATGAGAGGCCGTGAGGCTTCTTAGGTCTGTGCACCTCAGTCCAGAGGGAGTGTAGGAAAGAAATACTTTTTTGTACTGTGTGCAACTTAACTCACTCTGCTTCCCTGGGTGCTGCTGCACAAACTTAATTTAGACCCCCCCTACATTTTTCTTCCATCGCACTGCCCCTCCTTTAGTACAGCAACAGGCATCCTCAGTCTCTTGTAATAATAAACCCACTGTAATGAAATTGTGACATACTTTTCCTACAGACCAGGTTTATATTAGCAGGTTTTTTTGATGAAAAGCTAAATTTGGCATTTGGCAACTATTTTCAAAATTCTTAGCTTTAAAACAAACAAACAAAAAAAAAACCCCACTCTTCTTGAGCTATAATAATATTTCCTTTGGGTAATCAGTGGAATGTTGATTTTAAAACTCTAAGGATCAGTGCTGACCTCACAATCTGTTGCAGTCCTTGAGGAAGTCGCTGGCAGGAGCAGCTTGCTCTGCTGACATGGTTTGAGTTAACATAGAGCTTTGTGATCAGAAGCACGATCCCAGTCTGGCCGGTAGATGGTGCACACAGAGCTGACAAAATGGCGAAGTGAGCCCTTTGCAAGTCACAGGGATTTGCTAGGGATCTTCCTTGAAATTTAGTTAAACGAGCAGCAAAACTTCCGAATTTCAACCCTCTGCAGATGTCAGCATCCTTTAAACCTGCCTCCTACAATACAAAGCTGTCTTATGATGTCTTCTCAAAGCTCATTCTCTGAATACATCAAAATTCTGTATGTTGTTCACACCTTAAGAGCTGCCAATCTCTTTCTATATCCATTATCTCTTTGCAGAGTGACTGTGATTTGGATTCTGATCTTAGAACCTGGAGTGCTTGAAGGTAGCACCATGGTAATTTATAACCTGATTTTGAACTGCAGAGACTTCTGAAAGCACGAGGCTGGATAATAGTGAGAATTCTGCTGCTGTTTCCTTTATTTCCAATGGTTACTTTTGTTTGTTGGGTTGTTGCTCTTTTCTCAAACTTAACCAATAAGGCAGCTTTCCATTCTGATTCTTGGAAATAAATGCTTCAGACCATAGTTTTAGTAGAAAGGCAGCTAACCTGTAGGTACAAGATAAGTAGAGTTAATGCATAGCTGGCTAAAATTTATGTTCCTCTGCATGCCAGCAGAGGAAAATGGGGAAAACTTTCTCCGAATTGGTTTTTCAGATGACCAGGTGTATTTTTGCATTTTTCTTACGTGGATCTTCATTTTGAAAAACTAGAAGGTTCTAATCATGCTACAGGAAAAAAGTCTCTGTTTATTCTGTATTTTTTTTTCTTCAGTGTATACTGAAAATTATCTCACCAAGCTACATATTCAGGCCATTTTTTTTTCCTGAAGTGTGATCATAAACCTTTGAACCCAGTAATAACCTGATTAAATCTGCTTTGCTACTTCCTCCTGCCATAAACTCTGTGTGTATTGCAGCTGAGAAGCATCAGGAAAGTCCTTGCTGGGAGCTGAGAGCAGGCATGCACACAGCTGAGGGAAGAACTGATTCTTACCTCATCAGCAGCTTTGTGCTGCACAACTTCACTGACGCTTGATGTGGGACTGCATCCTAGAGCTTGATGCTTCATTCAGGTGTGTAAGCAAATCCCTGACACTGCATGCTGTCCATGAGCAGGGAGATGTAAAAGCTAACATAAAGTAAAATAATGTTCCCAGTTACATATGGGTTAATTTGTTACAGTCCTGTCATAGTCCGTAAATAATTCTGCTTTAGCTGCATTTGTTTCTCTTGGGAAGTTTTTGCTGATGCTTGCATGTTTACCTGTTACCTACCTTAAATCTGATATCTACCAATTTATGTGACCTAACGCTGTGCTTTCTAGTATGTAAAATTCCCCAGCATCAGAAAGATTCTTTCTGGAAAGGCCTGAGAAAAGATGAAGTTGCAGCTGCTGCTGCATATTTTGTCCTGGGGGTCATTAAGAGGCAAATTGAATTACCTTTTAAAATTATTTTAAAAGCGAATACTGAAGGTGGAGCTCAATGTGTGGGACACTGCAACTATAAAATCGTGCCTTGCAGTTAAAGGTGAAAATGCACTGAAGAATCCTGCAGGCTTTCCATCTGGAGAGAACAAATTACTAGCTGCCTTTCTTTTAAAATATGTGTGGGCAAACAGTTAGAGGCATGGCAGGAAATACAAGAGAACTATGGGGAGAGCTGGGCTGTACAACAGGCACTCACCAGAGTGGTAGGGGCACTTGCCAAAGCACTGTGCACTGCTAAATTTGATAACTGTTGTTTGGAAATAAGTGCATGACCACTGCTGGGGAATAGATTCAGAACGCTGCTGGATGTCCCTTTCAGCTCAGTCAGGGTAAACATGAGTAATCCTGATCTGAAAATACTGGTGTGTGCAACTGCAGAGTCCTCATCCCACTTTCTTCTAGCTGGAGTTTAGGATGCAAATTTCATACAGCTGGGGCATGGGGAACACCTCTGTTTAAATCTGTGGTTTACTACAGGACAGAAAGGGCCAGTTCTGAAATGAGCACAGCTGAATCATCCCATTGACCTACTACAGCAGCTGGTTTGGGCTAAGCACCCAGCCTGCCCTGGGAACCCAAAATCCACATGTAGGATGGGGGAAGTGAGTAGCATTTTGCTCACTAGGAGTGAATGGCTTAATAAAGCAAAAGCCCATAACCAATAAATGTAAATAAAGAGATACGTGCAAATAATAAACTTTTTTTTGCTTTTGTTTCTTTTACTTTGTTTAGATTTGTTTTGTGTTTCCAGTTTAGTCACAGACCCAAGAGATGGCCTCATGGTCAATATAACAGTACCAAAAGAAAGAAGATGGCTCATGTGTCATCTCCCAAAACCAGAGAGGTAAGAGAAACCCTTCAGAGCCCAAGGTTTTCTTTCTCAATCTAGAGACAAAGAAAATCAATAGAAATCTGAAAAAGGCTGGAGCTTCAGCTCAGGTGTTCTAAAAGACAAGGACACCCACAGCAGGCACAAGGCTTAATTTAAGGTGCATATTGCTGTGTTAGTTCTCATGTTTATTATTTTTATGATTGCATCCTAAAGCAACTGCTTTTTTGATCCATTAGCTGCTGCTTGGGGAAAGAAAAATAAAGCTTGCATAGAAAATAACAAAATTTTCTGGCTGGAGGCCAAAACTTCACAAGAGAAGGCTGAGGCCTAATATGTTTTGTTTAAGGTCTTTGTTTCTGGTAGATGTTGACTAGATTCCGGATGATGAGGGCACTTCGAACGAAGCCAGCTGGGGAAGTCAGTTAGTTAAGTATTAACCCTCTGAGGAGTAGATTGAACTGTGCACAAGAAACATTCTGAGAAAACATGAAAAGTAGTGTAGATTTCTTCCAAGAAAGAAGTACTGTGGCTTGTATTTATATCAGAAAAGGTAGAGACAATTTGTTGTATACGTGACTGAATTCCTCAAGCTGGGTAACTGTCCAGAACTCATTTTCTCCCTTAGCATACTTCAGCAGTCCCATGGCTGAAATAAGCCTAATGTTCAGGAATTGCTTTAGGGAATTAGTAGAAGTTAGGCAATTAGTGTGATATAAATTGTAGAGGTGAAAAAAAGACTGTTGTGAGCCCTGCTGGACATGCTGTAATAATGCGAAGTAGGATTTCACAGGTGTAAACTGGGAGAGGAACACTGAACTCTATACTCTGCTTTAGAAAATGTTTTTCTAAAAGTATTGTGATAAATATTCAGATATCTAATGTAAAAAAAAAAAAAAAAGTTAAAGAAAAGTTTTTAAAAAAAACCCACCAAGCGAACAACAAAAGGCCACCTCACTGGGGAAGTGACTACATAGCACGTGCAGGTGTTGTGCAAACAGAGTAAAGGAACAGTTAAACACAGGCAGTAGAACAAAGTACAGTGCAGTTTTGTGCTTAACTTGTGGCCAGTCTTAGCTATAATTATAACATGAAAAGGATTCATTAAAAATGATTATGAAAATAAAAATCCTGCCTCAAAAAACAAAGGTGGGGTCAGAAAAGAAATTTAGAATCAACTTCCACCATTTGCTTGACCTGTTGCAGTTCTTTCCCTTCTTGATGCATTGGTTGCAGCATAGGATGTCAGCTCTTAGCAAGCAAGTGCAAAACAGATGTAACAGAATGTGTAATTGTTTAAAACTAACTGCTCATATGTGATACTGAGCTGATTTTTTTTGTTCCCCCCTAATTCAGCATGTTGTCGTTTTAGGTATCAGACTGATAGGGGAAAGTCTTGTTATTGCTAGTCGAGCTGTTTAAAGCTGAATTGCTTAACAATTATTTTAATATCAGAGATGTGTGTATTTTTGACTTGCTAATGCTGTGGTGGTATTACTGGCTTAGCGAAAGTCGCCAGCAGGCAATACAGCGATCAGCAGCTTGCCTCCTGAGCTTGTCCATTATTTGGAACTCTAGTTGCTTTGCTGCAACTTGTCTGCTTGTGTATTGACAGCTATTACAAATGATGAAATGAAGTCATTATAAAGCATGCCCTTTCCAGAATGCTGCTACAGACTCCTGTCCCTACTAGGACTGATTTAAATATGTAAAATGGATACTTAAAGTATTGTTACTGGAAAGCATTAAGCTCAACCTTTTCAGAGTGATCCAGAATGAGATTCTTAACATATTACAGTACACTTCAAGATCAAAGGGGAAATGCATGCATTTTGTCAGGAATTAATGCACAGGGACCCAACCCCAACTCCTGCTGGTAAAGTGCCGGTTGTGTGAGATGCCTTAGGTTGTGGGTTCTACTGTAAAAACAAACAAACAAACCACCAAATCAGGTGGAATTTTGGACGTGTGTGGGCATGCATTGCTTAGGCAGCTAAAATAGCAGTAACAAACATGTGGCCAAATGACAGCAGAGCAACAGTCCTCAACTCTAAGAATCAAATTGCAAAATCAGTGTTTTATTATTAGTGGAAAAAAACCAGTGACAGTTTGAAGTATTTCATTCCATCACTGTTTAGGTGCTTCTAAGGACAAAGAGATGCATGTTTTGCCAAAAACTTGTCTGTCGGTTTAATTTCCAGAGATATTTTTTCAAACTAAATTCAAAGAAATTTTGTTCTCAATTTAGGATAATAGCAATGAAAGGAAGGAGCTAAAACATGGTGTAATGAAATGAATGAAGAAGCTGTATTTTCAGTTTGGTATTGGGTTAAAACATGAGATTACTATCCAAGACTCATTGCATTACAGCATTGTTATGGTGTTATATTAAGGCATTAAACAACCTTTCAAAATCTGTGGTATTGTTTATTAAAAAATGAGATGAAGTCAACTTCAATTTGAAATGATCTCTAGCACTGTTCATGCTTTATTTTGTGTCCAGTTATTATGTTTAAACATGTTTTCCTAGAGGAATAAAATACACTCTGACTTGGAGTCTCCACTAACTTTTGCTTTTAAAGTCAAGATTCTTGGCTTGCCTTTTGCTCATTCCAACTTTACAGTGTCTGTCATGTCCTCTCTTGTAGTTCTCATGGCCATAAAAGCAGAATGTAGAACTAAAGGTTAAAGATAAGTGCTTGAGTTTAACCAATACAGCTACTGTTGCCTTAAGGACTGACTTATGAAAGCAGTGGCTGGATCATTCTGTTTTGGAGGTAGGATGAAAATTATGTTCAATATCCATGCCTGAGAAAAAATCAAAATCATTATACTTCTAGCACTTTGTCTTTTTGAAGACTTCAGATTGTCAGATCAAGTGCTAAGTGCAAGGGGAACGTAGTCTAACTGTTGGACTTTATACAAATGAGTAAATATTCAACAGGTCACAATAAGAATTTTAGAGAGAAGCTGCTCCATTAGTAACAGTACTCATTTGTGGGGAATGGAATGAAGAAGACCTAGACTCCTCTTTGTGCTCTAATAAATATTTTCGTATTTTGAATAATAAGGATCAACTCCTGTGAGAACTTGCTTTAGATTTATGGTTACTGAATTTACCTGGATTGGTAAGAGGTTTAGATTCCTCTTAGGAAAAGGGATTTCATTTGGGTATGTCACAGCAAATATATCCGAATTGGCAATCTATTTGTTAAAAAGGAGACAACAGCATCTTCTCTCTTTTTCTGGGACCAGTCTGTTGAGAAAGTTCAGCAAAAAGTGAGGAACTGAGTAACACTGCACTGTCAGGACTTGCCCAAGTGTATGAGCAGCAAAAGGAAGGCTAGGGAAAGTGTAAGACTGCTGCTGAATGGGGTGCTGGTAGCAAAGGACACAGAAAAGGCAGAGGAACTCAGTGTATTCTTCCTCTTTATCTTTACTGCTAAGACTTGATTTCAGGAATTCCACACCCCTGAGACCAGTGGGAGCATCTGGAGCAATGAAGACCTTCTCAGTAGAGAATATCAGAGCATTTATATAACTTTGGATGTGAATAAGTAGCCTATTGGTTCCCATGGACATCTATGTGTGCTGAGGACAGACAACATTGCAAGGGTACTGTCAAGTATCTTTGAAAGGTCACAGTGATCAGAGGAGGATCCTGAGGACAGGAAGAAAGTAAATGTCAGACTTAACATCAAGAAAATGAAAATGTGAGCAACTACAAGGCCAGTCAGCATCACCTCAACACCTGGGAAGGTGGTGGAGCAAATAATCCTAGAACCGTTTGAGTTGGAAAGGACACTTAAAAGGTCCAACTCCCCTGCAGTGATGAGGGACACCTACAGCTCCATCAGGTGCTCAGAGCCCCTTCAACCTGACCTTGAGTGTCTCTGGGGATGGCTCTCTGGGCAACCTGTGCCAGTGCCTCACCACCCTTATTGTAAAAAACCTTCTTCCTTATATCCAATTGAAACTTCCCCTCTATTAGTTTGAAATCATTTCTCCTTGTCCTATCTTTGGAGTCTGTCTCCTTCTTTCTTATGCCCTCCTCAGATACTGAAAGGCCCCCCTTTTAATAATGAAAGGAATTCTGGAATTAATTTCAAAATATATTAAGGATCCAAAGAGGAATGGGAGTTGTCAGTGTGGATGTATGAAGGGAAAATCATGCCTGACAGACCTGATAGCCTTCTGTGATGAAGCAATTAGATTGATCGTTGAGGAGGAGGGAGACGTGGATGTTAATCATCTTGCTTTAGAAGGCTTTCAGTGCTGTCATAGCATCTTCATTAACAAGATGATGACAGGACAAGTGGACAGTGAGGTGAACTGAAAACTGATTGAAATGCCAGGCACAAAAGATGATAATCAGTGGCACAAGGTCAATAGTGAGGCCAATGCCATTTAACATCTTCGTTAATAGTCCTTGATGATGGGCCAGAGTGCATTCTCAGCAAGACTGCAGACAATTGCAAACTAAGAGGGCTGGTACGTGGAAATGGCTGTGCTAACATTCAAAGGAATCTCAACAGACTGGACAAATCAGCCAAGATGAATCTCCTAGAGTTTAACAAAGGGAAATGCTAGATCCTCCACTTGGAGTCGCACTGACAAATGCAAGTAAGTTCTGCCTAAGCTGGGGACCAAATAGTTGGGAAGTAACATTACAGAAAAGAACCTGGGAGTCCTGGAGAACACCGGCTTGAACATGAACTAGCAATGTGACCCTGTAACAAAGACGACCCAACAGTATCCTGGACTGCTGTAATGTAGTGTTGTCAGCTCGCTGAGGGGGGTAATCATGCACCCTATTCAGCATTGGAAAGATGCATTTGGAGTGCTGGATCCAGCTCTGCACTCCACAGTACAAGAAAGATAGGGACTCAGTGGAGCAAGTCCAGCAAAAAAACACAAAGATGATTAAGGGAATGGAACATTTGCTATATGAGTGGCTGAGAGAGCTGGGACTGTTCATCCGAGAGAAGAGAAAGCTCAGGGAGATCCTATTAATTCATCTAAATACCTAGAGTTGGGGTGAGTGACAGAAGAGACAGCTAAACTCTTCTCAGTGGCCCCCAGTGAAGGTACAAGATGTATATTAGCCTGTGCTGATTACATGAAGTTCTTTTTAAAAATCAAAAATTTCTTGCTCTGGTCAGACACAGGAGCAGGCTGCCTGGAGAGGTAGTGGAGTCTCCATCCTTGGAGTTGCTGTGACTGGACAAAGCCACGGGCATCCTGCTCTGGCTGATCCTTTTCTCTAAGCAAGGGGTTGCACTAGATAATCTCCAGAGGTCTGGAGTTACCAAATGTTGTATAATTAGACTTTTGACTTTACAGCATATGTTAAGTTATAGAGTCTAGAAGCTCATTAGTGGTTAGTACATGGGCAGAGCGCTGCAGATCTGAGTCATAAGGGATCTATGTTGTTGTGCATTATCTTCAGCTTCTGAATTCTCCCTCTCATATTCTGCATCAGGTACATGAAACCAGCTCACCCGAACTACTGTGTAGTGATGAAAAGCTGATAGCTGTACTCTCATAGTCTCTCCCTGATTTACCCATAGTGTCAAGCACAAGTAGAAGTTCTCTACACTCATTTGTATGCACTGTCCACCCACAAACTTTATCTTGTTGCAAGTGTTGAGTCACAGACAGGTAGTTCTTGTTCAAGTCGCAGCCTCATGTAAGCTGTAGGTAATAACAAAAGATATTTCAATCTCACTTTCAGTAATGATAAAGCTAAGGTACAAATAATTTCTTTACAGCAGAACACCCTCAGATCAACAAAAAGAAGCAAACAAGTTCCATTTTGGAGTGCCTGCTGATTTGTTCTCCCAGCAGGAGCTGTCATCCTGTTCAAGAAATCTCTGGTGGACCGTATCAATCAGATCACTTTCATCCACATGCTTGCTGACCTCGACAAAAACTCGAGAGGCCTGGAAGGTAAGTACTAAGTTTAGAGATTGTGTTGATGCTGCCCAAACAGGTCCTATTTATCCAGCTGCACACTAATTCTAGCCCTTATTGCTGTTTCTGCAACTTTGCGTGGTTCAAAGTCCTGGTGGCCTTCAGTATCACCCACCTTGTCTCCCTCCTTTTTACCCCCAGAACAATTTTAGAAATTGGTGTCACGCTGCTGCTCTCTGCCCAGAGAAAGCTTGAAGAGAAAGTTTACATGCTGCTACTAACAGCTATTTACCTGCACTCCCCTAGGAAGCTCAGGTGCCTAGTACAGTTCCTGGGGATTTCTGCTCCTCATGTTTTAAGTTCCAGCTGTTCCCAATCAGCTCAGGTTCAGGCAGAGGCTCTGCTGACTTCCTCAGAAATAAGGGTTCAAGTACAGGAATCACCTGCTTATTGCAGTGTGTGCATGCATATGCATATCACCTGGTCTCCTCTATAAATGTTTTGGCCTCTCTTCTCTTTTACTCTGCAGATGTCTTTGGTCCACCAGACTCCAGTGGTCTTGGTCTTGATGTATCTAGAAAGGATTTAATATTAGTTCTGATTTCTCTTGCTGCTGTTCACACTTTTTATTGCTCTGTCACTGTCTTTTCCTTTTAATGTACCAGTTTGTGACTCTGGCCTTTGGTTTTTCAGTTGGAGATGAGTTCAACTTCTTGCTTCTGATAGCGTGTCTTGTGATCCCACTATCCTGTGTCTGCTTCCTTTTAGTGCTTCTCAAGACGTTAGCAGCTGTGCTGCATATCCTTAACGTTTCAAGCTGCTCCTTTCTGTTTCCTTTTCGCAAGTTTTGTCATGACTGTGTCTCTGTTCTTTCTGAAGCTGTGTAGCTGCTGTAATGCTTGGACTTTGATAAACCTGGGGAATTCTGAATGTAAGCACCAGAACAGCAACCCCAATCATAAGTGGAAGATCTAGTGTAAGATCTTGCACACTAATGAGGACCAAATGAAAGACTCTTCCATAACTTCCTTGTCCAACTGCTCTGTGAAATTACATTTAATGGAGTCAGTAATTGTTACCCAAAGTATAGTTTCTGCGGATTCAGCACTATGTACACTTAAAGCTAGCGTTTCAGTCCATGCAGAGCCCGTGTCACCTGGTGGGCTTTTGCTACATTCCTTTGGTTTCAGCGATCACTACCAAATTTCCCTAACTTATACAAGCTCTTGTGCTTTCCATTTATTTTATGTCCTGGTACTGTGATGTCCAATTTGCCTGGTATGCCACTGTCTTCATCTAAAATTTCCCTCATTTTTTTTCTCTGTATTTTTATCATTTTTATTGTTGTTGGTGTTTGTTCTTTCCTCATTTCCTATTTAAAAGGCACTCTGTCCATTTTCTACTCACTATTTCTGTACTCTAGCCTCTTCTGTAGTCAACGAAAGCAGAATTTCTATGCCTTTGCTCACGGCAAACTGCTGCTTTGCCACAATGGCTTTTCTTCAATTTATAGCTCAGTCATACTCTTCATGATTTTAAGTGCCAGCGGTGTAGCCCCCAGTAAGTCCATCCTTTCCACGCAAGTTCTTTTAATCTCGATGTGCTCCACATCAATCTGAAATGTTGCTTTTTACCATCCTCTCAGTGACACTTTGAAAATTTGCTTCTTGCTGGTCATACACACAGGGCAGTGGGGATAGCTCTGTTGGGGAAGGTCTCATCCATGTTGTCCTCCAACAAGGTGAATTTGCCTCCAGAAAGGCATGAGAAAAGATAAACCACTACTTCCTTCCCCTTTCAGGGAATTGAGTCCCTTCTTCTTTTAGAGAACTAACTCACTTTCCATGGGTAAGGACAAAAAGAGCCCCATCAGTCTTTGATTTAATTTTAAAAGCCCTTCTACCCAAATGAGTTTTTATTTTCTTAAGAACATTGCCCAAATTGTAATTGATGAACTTTTAAACCATCCCACCAAACTTTTTTTTTTTTGCATTAATTATTGTTACAAAATATTATTTTAGTAGCTAGATCCCACAAACATATTATGAAAAATGATCTTACATTACAACAGAAAATAGCTTTAGAGGAGATACTGAATGTATTAACTGTCAGAGCTACAATACCAAGGCACAGTTTCCATTAAAAATCTACACTGCAATGTCAGAAACCTTTACTTAAAGTGCTGCAAAAATGTATCGTTTGACACTCGCTTTAGGGTCTTTACCAGTCCTCCAAACGTTAAAGCACAGCTTTTATTACTTTATTGTTCCAAGTGCACATATAAATCCCAGCAGGAATCAGAGCCAAACCAACATACGCAGAAGATGTTCCCCACCATAAAGAGAGAAGATGCAGGAGAGTGGATGTGTCCACTTGCCCTTCTTTGTCCTTTTTCTCAATCCTGTTTCTAGTATTTCAGGAGGCCTTGTCTAATCTGAGTTTGAATATGCAGCAGGACAGAACTTGGCAGTCACTTTTGAGTAAAAAGAAGGCTCGTATTACAATGAAGGTTTGTAGTTCTGGAAATTACCTACTGTGTTTCTGTGTACTGGGAGAAAGAACAGTCTAAAATGCTGTAATAACATCAAGCGTATTTTTCTTTAAATGCTGAAACTTGAAGAGAGTAGGGATTCCTAACAATAACAGACCCTTCAACTAAGAACTCAGAACCTTGGAACACATGCTAGAGGTTTGTGTAGATTGTTAAAAAAAAAAAAAGGTAAAGAATATATAAAAATTCAGATTGTGTGGTTTCATCATAACCTGATTGTAACAACGACCATTTCACAACATGTTAGAAGGGTAGGCTGCTGCAACAAGAAATCTAAAGAAACAGTAAAGAAATGCTGTTTTTCTTTCTGTTCCCGTTTTGTTAAAAGCTAAATATTTATTAATATTCTAAAATTAATATTTTAAAATAATGAAGCCTGTAAAAGCCAGATAAAACAGCAAGCTAGCAAATAGGGTAAGTGTCCACACAGAAAAGACCATCCAGGTGGTGTTAATGCAACAAAAAAATAACCAGAGTATTGCTTAAGGATTTTCTCTGATCTCTCTGCACCCAGATCAGTTGCTGGATGCTTCATACCTCCCCTTTCAATTTTACTGTTTGTTTTTCCATGGCCACATATGGAATTAACGAAGGCGTTCTTTTTTTATGTGTCAAAAAGGAATCATTTGGCTCTTGGCCATACTTACGGTATTAGTTGAAGTTCTCTGTGTTTCTGTTTCATTAAAGTACCTTTACACGTGCCCAGGGCTGGTATTCTAAAGGGCTAACAGTCTCTCTACTAAAACCAGAGACATGTTTTAATACCAAACTTATAAGCAGAATCTAGGTAGGAATAAAATATTTTCTCCTCCAGCAAATCTCTCAAGCCCTCATCTGTTTTGTTTTGTTGTGTTTCCTGTGAAGGCCTGGGTATTGCAAGCACTGATGTTGCAAGGTGGAAAAAGTAACAAACAACTCTTGTTCCCTGTTTAGATGTACCAGTTTCAAAGTCACTTCTGAGAGGACCAGAGAGGGCAAGAAATTACCATCTCCAATGCCTCTTCCCACTCTTGGGAGATGCTGGAGGTAGCAAATCCTTTTCCAGCATTCCTTTTGTGCTCACTGCCACGTGGATGCTCTCAACCCAGCCAGAAAAACCAGATTACAAAGTGTTGATTGTAAAAGAGGGAGGAAGTCTGCTCAGGCAAATTACCTATTAAGTGTGGCGAGCAGAAGTGAGATTGAGGTGGAGATTTATGGATAGACAGGTGTTGACGCTTTCTGCAGGTAATGCTATTGTTAAAAACATATGGGTGCTATAAACATAGGGGCATGAAAGCAAAGAAGATATCTGCTGATGAACAAGAAAGGCTGCTAGAAATAAAAGGCTCTTAGTCATGATGTTGGCACCTCCAAAGGCTTTTTGATTGTAAAAGCAAAGTCATTTGCTTGGAAGCAGGAGGAAAGGCTGCTGTGCATTGGTGTCAGCTGTTGTAGAGTCTCCCTGTACCTGAAGTTCTCTATTTGTTACTCTCTAGGAATGCTTGAAGTCTGCTCTGCTGTGTGTGCTGCTTTGCAATGAGCTGTAGTTATGGATGGGGACAAGAAACATTTGTGGTTTGCAATACAGAAACTGTTCACCTGTTATGCTTGAGTAACATTCACATAGCATTTCACATCAAATGCAGAAGCCTCATCCATAATTCCAGCATGAATCCTTTTAGAGATAGTCTTTGACACTTCTTTAATTTTGATAAGCTTTGTACAGAATGCTGTAGAAGATTTTCAAAGATTATCATATGACACAAACACAGATACTATTTCCTATGCTATTTCCTCCTCTATACTGGTTTGTTGGTTGGTTTACTGGCCTTGTTTGCTTCATTGGTTTTGTTTTCATTTGCAGAGTAACCATTCCAGGTACAACCATCTACCTTCAGGAATTACTTTCTCATTCTCCCTGCAAAATCTGGTGTAATCAAAACAGGAAAGACATCTCTTCTATAGGTGGGAGGCATGTTATTGAGGTGGGAGGGCAAGCAAGTTCAGCAGAGAGAAGGCTGTTTGAAATACTGCCTTTGAAAGCTGGCTTCCTGAGGAAGAGATGTGCAGGAACCAGGAACTGTCAGTAGTGGGGGACAGCGTGGCATCAGATTGCACAGCATTTGATTAGACAAATTGCACAGAGTGCAAGCCCACCAATGGGTTAACAACCACAATTTACTTAGCTTTTAGCTGATCATTTCCACAGAACATTGTTCTGCAAATTTTTTTTATCATAGTGGAAGGATAGAAAAGAAACAAAAAGTGTGGTTTTTTTTAAAGTCCTTGATATAAAAAATAGTAAAACTACTGTATATACGGTATATGGTTTTCAGCAACTTCCTGTATTTGAACTTCTGTCATCAAAGCAGAGCCGCCTTAATTGTGCTGGTTCAGTAAAGCAGGTGTACAGATCTGAGTCTGTATATCCTCGCCTGTCTGCTGCTTGGCTGGGGAAGAAGGGAACTATGCATTTTGCTATGTGTTCAGTAAGTATGCACTGCACGCTGTTAGTTTTGAAGCTAAACTCCTCTCCATACTAAAACTGGGATAGTCAATTATTACATTAAAAATAGCATGCAGGTGGGTGGGTTCATGGGGATGCAGGGTTCACACCCAGTGTTTCTTGTTGTGATGTTTTATTTAAGAAGTGGCACACCACCTCACCAACACGTTTTAGTTTCAATAGCTTGCTTTTATAACAGCGGGGAATTTCTGCCTCCTACTCTCTGTGTGGAGACACGAGCGCTCTGCCCTTCCAGAAAACACTTTTGCATAGCAGAGCCTCAGTTTTGCTGCAGCTGTGGAACCTCTTTCTGCCTGAAACCAATTTTTAGAATAGCTCCTGCCTCTGCAGTCAGGTCTGGCTCTGCAGCTCTGAGCAGCACAGAGCACTTGCTTACTTACAGATGCCTGGTTTCGTTCACTTTTTTCAGCTCAGTTCCTGGTCAGGCAACACCCTCAATCTTTCCTTCCCTGGGTGGACAGATTTCTTCATGAGGGGCACATCTGAAACACATAAAGAGCAGGCTCTGTGCTGCCCTTCCCAGCTCAGTGAAGATCTAATGCTTCTCTCCCTGAATGACTTCTCCTCTAAGTCTAATCAAAATAGATGTTTCATAGCCAAAGTGCTTTTTCCTTGCAACTTTGCAAGTGCTTTCTTGCACAGCTGGGGTTGCAGCCTTTCCAGGTCAGCAATGAATCACTGAATCTCAGGCTACAACCAGGCACAATTTTATTTCACATACTTTCTGTTGGCTCTCCTTCTTTCTCTTCCCCTCCTTCGGGCCAACTGGTTGCCCGTCTCTTTGTGCTTTTATTTTTGGTTTCTGCAACTTCCTGTCTTCAGCATCATCGTTTTCTCAGCAGCAGCTATTTCAGCTACTCCCAGCTCCATTTCCTCCCCCTTCCCTGGCACAACTGGATCAGCTCACTGCAATTTTAGCTTCTAGTGACTTGAAAATGCCAACTCTTAGAAAGCACTGAAGCAACTAGGACTTGTGGGGATGGAGTTTTGGCAGGGCTTGTGGGCATGGCCTGTTGGTACACCCTATGGGGACGGCCTGTGGGCACGGTGGGTGTTGGCACATGCTGTGGGGACACTGTGGGCACAGTGGGTGCTGTCAGCAGAGCCCTGCAGCCCTCACAACACAATGCAGCCCACGGCCGTGCTGCTGGGAGGGCTGAAGGGTGGCATATGCAAACTGTGGTGTAACCCACTTTCTGTTCTTTTACTTTGATGTCTGCTATTGTTGGTGCTCCTTTTCTTCTATCGCTTTTAAAAAACTTTTAACTCTAATTGCCATATATTAATTAGCTTAGGTTTGTCAATTTTTCACTCTTTGTCCTCTTGGAATTTTCACTTAATTTCCTTTTGATTTTAGTTACTTCTTTTTGTTACTTTCCTTGGATTCTGTTGGAGTAATTAAGTCAGCTTTTCCTTTTTTATTATTTATTTTCCTCAATTTTGCAAGACTTTTTTTCCTCACTCCACTTCTCCTTTCATTTTCCCTCTTTTCTTTTTTCCTCATTCCCTTCACTTTCTCCCCTCTCCTTATTTTTTCTCTCATCTCCCCATGCCACTTCCCTTGCCCTCTGCCCAGTTCCCGCAGCGCCAGCCCCGCTCCGTCCCGCACAGCCGCGCCCCGCCCCGCCCCAAACTCGGGCAGGCAGTTCTCCTGACAACAGCTGACGCGCGGCGGGGCGGACCAATCGGAGGGCGGCCGGCGGCGGGGCGACGCTCCGCCACTACCAAGCCCGCTGTGCGCGTCCCTCCGCGGGACCATGGGGCGGCTGGCGGGACGCTGCGTGGCCGCTTGCTGCTTCGCGTGGCTGTTCGCCTGCTGCGCGGCCCGCCGGGACGACGCGGGTAAGGCGGGGACCCACCGGGGGAGGAGGGGGTGCCGCGGTGCCGTTTTCCCGGTGCCGGGCGGGACGATGACAGCGGCCGCCGCCGGGCTCAGGGCGGGTCGGAGGGCGTCCAGCAAGAGTTTGGAAGGCTGGGAGCGGAGGGATGCACCGGGAGACGGCGGTTCGCTGCCCTGCGCCGTCTAGGAACGTCGTGGCAGAGTGTCAGCGCGTTTTTAGCTTTGAGTTTTGCGCGTATAGGCGGGAGGAAGGGATACCCAGCCCTCCGAAAGCGGGTCGGAGTGTTGACCTGCGGCAGGCGGTTGGTGGGCAGCGCTGGCGCTGAGCGGGGGCACCGCGCCCCGGGACGGTCCGCGTCGGAGCGCTACGCGCAGCGAGCTGCTGTGCAGGGAGGTCTGGTGAGGGAACAGAAGCTTCTGTGGGGAAATCTTAAAGCGAAGTGGTTTTCTTCTGGATGTAAGAATGAAAGTTTGATGGGAAGAAGTGAAAGAAAAGCGAGAAGAAGGAAAATCAGAGGGGAGGCGTGGGGCACGGTACAAGTGGAGCGGAAAACGAAAAGCGAAAGAGAAGGGAGCGTGTTGGGGAAGCACAGGGTAGAAAGGGCCCGCAAAGGCTAGCGCTGCTTGGCTGGAGCCGGGAGTTAATGGGAAGGGGGGGGTTAAAAAAGCGTGCGGCTCCGGCACAGGCGGCCTCGGGGCTCTGCTGTGCTCTCGGCCGGCCCGGTTCCGCAGGCTGCTTGGCTCTGCTGCGGTGGAAAATTCCCGGTGTACTGGGAAGTAGTGGTAAAATTCACTGAATAACAGCGCTGAGTATTTTCCTTGCCGTTCAGCCAAGCCTACTATTAAGTCATATTTAAAAAAAACGCAGCAGGAATGCGATTGTCGGTGAATGACTATGAGGGACGAAGCGCTACTCAGCAGATTCCTCCCTTAAACGCCCGAGTAACAGCCATGCGGGTTCGGGACGGCACAGCTCCGGCTGCCGGCTCTGTGCTGCGGGGCCGTCCTGTGGCGGCTGGGGAATGTTTGGAGACCAGTCTCTCTGTAACAGTTGCTTGCTAAGTGCACGTTGTTGTTAGATGTGCTCTGGGCTGTCTGTCGAAACAGGGATTGATCCAATCGGTACGTGTTAAAATTAGAGTCATTTTCATTGACAGAATCAGGCTTGGAAAACAGCCTCGCTTTATCCCTTCATTTTATATAGACTTCTGAAGAGATTTGTTTATTTTTTGTTCCTGAGATAAAGAATGCTCGCTAAGGACAGGAAAATTTCTTACTGGGAAGCTGCAGCTTATACAAGAAATGGTGCAATGTAAAGACAGCAGTTGTGTTTTCTAGTAGCGTGCCTCAGAATGTGATCCAGTTTTTTTCAAAGAACCTCCTCTGAAAGTGATACTGAGTCATAACCATCCGTGGCCATTCACTTGTTCTTACACAGGCAGCGATGCGTTTACCATTAGGCACGACACGCTCAACAAGTGCATACAAGTTAAAAACTCACGGATTGTGATAGATGACTGTAGAGAGACGAGTGAAGCTCTGTGGAAATGGGTGTCCCAGAATCGCCTTTTCCATCTGGGGGCCAAGCAGTGCCTGGGACTCGATATATTCACCAAATTACCGTCCCGCCTGAGAATGGTGGATTGCAACTCAGACCTCCGGCTGTGGTGGCGGTGTGCTGACGGCTCTGTGGTTGGTGCATCTCAGTACAAGGTGACCATCAAGAGTGCCTATGTAACCGCCAGCATTAACGCGTCCGACCAATGGAGAAGCAACAACTCCTCTGGTGATATATGCCAGTATCCATACCGCGGTGAGTTCATGCAGAGGTTTAGGTTGGGGCTCCTAGTTTGAGTTAAATTTCCCCTTACTCATAGATTCTGAGAGCCTTATTCCTTAGTGCTTTGTGCAAATGACCTGGATTTCAACAAGGTTTGAATGTATTTGTCCCTAACTTAGCAGAAAGAGGGAAGCACGTTTCTGATGTGTTATGCAGCGCACAAGAAAAAGTACAGAAAAATATTTTCTCCTGTTTCTTTCAGTTCTGGTCTTGCTGTCTATTATCTGTAACAACAAGTTACTGTATTTTAAGACCACAAGTGTGATTTGCACGCTTTTGAATTAACTATGTCAGTACAGGCCATGACTTTTACTTGGTGTCTTTTGTATCTAATTCTCTACCTTTTTACCCTTTAGAGGTTTATACCAAAGATGGGAACTCCTATGGAAGGCCTTGTGAGTTCCCCTTTCTGTACAACATGTCCTGGCATCATGACTGCATTCAGGATGGGACGCACACAGGTGGGAAATGGTGTGCCACGTCTGAAGATTATCCTCGTGATGGAAAATGGGGAATCTGCTTACAGCCAGGTATGCTGGGTTTTGAAATAGCTATCCTAAAAACATTCTGCGACTTCATGTACGTACAGTTCCGCCTCAGTGCAACAACTCGGTGTTAAGCTGAATAAAAACGGGTCAATTTTCTATTGCAGCACTGAGAGAACAACCAGCACGCATTTACTCTGCAGTATATGTGATTTCAGTGTAAAAATCCATAGAGTGTTTTTTTGATTTGAAATATTTACGGTGTTTCAGCATACCTGTAGTTAGAAGTACATTCTGCTTCCTTTGCACAGAGGATGGTTGTCGTGATATCTGGGAACACGATGCAGGCTCTCAACATTGCTACCAGTTCAATACCCAGTCTGCTCTTTCTTGGAAGGAAGCTTATATTTCATGTCAGAGGCAAGGTGGAGACTTACTTAGCATCCAAGATGCATCGGAGTTAAATTACATACAAGGTAAATGTACTTATTTGCATATTTTTATCAGGTAATATTGACAAATCAGTGAAGACAGCATTTTAATTTCTGCCTTAAAATTCTTGGTTACAACTTATTCACCATTGAATGCCTTGCTGTATAATCTGTGTACTAAAGTGAGATTAGCAACTCACTTTGCAAGTGTTGTTTGTTTTTAGTTTATCTGTGTGGTTTCATTGGTCAGCTGTTCTTCATATGCTGAGTAAGGTCCCCAAAATCTCAGATATGAGCCAGAGTGGCAGTTACTGGAGTGTGTGCACATTCATTGCACTGGTGTGTAGGAGACATCTTCACTGATGTTCAGGGTTGGCCTGGAGGGGCTATCAGTGTGCTTGTGATATAAAATCAAATGTCAAATACTTAGATGCACTTTCAGATGACGTTTTTATTTTAATGGAGAACAATAAAAGATGAATATTTTACTCAAATTGTTTTCTTTTTAAAAAAAAAATAATAACCATATAAAATATATATATCCAGCAAAGGATGACATCGCTGAGATCTTCTGGATTGGCTTAAATCAGCTGGATGTTTCTAGAGGCTGGCAATGGTCAGATCACAAACCTTTGAATTTTGTCAACTGGCATCAAGGTAATGATGTTTCTGGTGGTACTGAAAATATTTAGAACAGAAACCAGCATTTTATTTTTCTCTTCTGTTTTCTATTTTTCACTCTTATCTTCTTCAGTGGACTTAATCAAAACTGTCAATGCTCCATTTCTCTTAAAAGTTCAGAACATCCTTTCTTCCTGGAGAGCACAAATCTTTCTGCACTCCTGCTATATTTATGAAAAATTAGGGTAAACCTCTAAAAAGATAAAACTCGTGTAGTATCTTTGAGATCTGTTTTTGTTAGGGCAGCTGTAGACTCCTTTGCTACTAAAATTTCTCCTCTCATTGACAGTATGACATTGGCTTCCCTCAAGGAATAACATTATTGGTGTTTGTGTAAGAACCAATGTCACTCAGAAGTCTAACATGTTTTTAGACTTAAAGATTGCTTAAATTTGTTGTAAGGTGAAGATGAAAGAAGTGCAAAATCTTTGAAAACCTTTTCTAATTACTCCCAAGTTCCTAAGAGAATTGATGAGAGACTTGTTGGAATTTTCAGCATGTCCTAGTAATATTCTCACAAGTATGATGTGGATATTGATACGTGAGGCTCCTTGAGGTGTAACGGTCAGAAACACGAAAGTTGAGACCCTGGCCCGGTCTCTGTACCCCCCCATGAAGAATTAAGGTCTTTCCTGCGTGAGACTGAACAAAATCAATGCAGGGAAATGGGGCATGGGTCAGATTTGCATTATGCTTCATAGAAAGTCAAAGGTCCTGTTGGAAGAGATCTTGAAGGGAAGCTGAGGACTGCAGAACGTTTAATCTGGGGCCTTGTCTGTTAAGGTAAGGGTTATGTTGAGAAACTGCAGAGCTATGTTTGGAGTTGGTCTGGAAAGGGGCTGCCAAAGGAAACTGAGGGCTGCAGAAAGAATTCTCCCTTGAGATATTTCTAGTCTGGGAAAGTTCTCGGCCAAGGGTTTGTTGTATTGTAAATAGGACATTTTTCCTGGTTGTATTATTGAACACTGGCATAGAAGTCCCAATACCTTCATTCTGTAACTTTCTTAAAAAAAAAATTATCTGGACCTGTGGAGAAGAGGTGCCTTCATTCAAAGCAAAAAATGAGATGCTTCAATATGCAAAGAATATTACTGTATTGAAAAGCAAAAGAAAAAAAGATGCAGTCACTGCTTGGCTGTTTGATAACTTGTGCTCTTCTGTTTTTCTTTCTTCCTGTCTATAGATATGCAGGATTTGTCCCCTCTAGATGGGACTAGCTGTGTGGCAATGAATGCTGCTTCGGGTCAGTGGCAGAGTTACCACTGTGGGAATCCACTTCCATATGTTTGCAAGAAGTCATTCAAAGAGGTTTCAAACCTCACAGGTAGGACAGCTTTTGTGTTTGTTTTTGTAGGCTGATGTGAGAGCAGTGCTCACTTATGCAATCGTTTTCTTCCTCCCTGAGCCTTCTGAAGCATCTCTGCCAAAACGTTTCACAGCAGCTTTGGGTCTTTTAGCAGACCAAAATTAGACTCTGTTTTCAGTGTCCAGATGACACACCACAAACAGCTTTCATTCTTCGCAGCTTTCTCATTCATACACAGAGCATTTCCCAGCACAGTCCTGCCCTTTGCACCATGGCTTTTTTCAGACCTCCATGGCTTGTGCCTTCTCTCTCATGCAGCTGAAAGTCTGGAATGGACAAACCTTTCAGTTGCTGCTTTAAACCCATTTCTCTCGCTGTTGGTGCTTATGAACATAAAATGAGACTTACCTGGGGCTTGGATCAAACTGTTTAATTCAAGTAGAAGTCATTAAATGGCCTTACTGTATTTTGAAAAAAAGCCCAGCAGTGGAAATCGAGAGTGCAAGAGCTGGTAACTTGCCCAGTGTGTAATCTTTATTGGATCTGTTACTTTTATCTTGTAAGAGCACGTGGTAACACAATGGGAAAAACAGAACAGTTTAAAAGTTCTCTCCCCTGCACATACACACCCACAGTTTTGTTTTGGAACAGAAGAGCTTTTAGCATATAACTTTTTTCAGCATGCATAAAAACAGTTTGAATTCTCGAATATCTTAATTTGCAGAAGAAAAAATACTTGAAACTAAGCATCCGTTTCTATGTGAGTTACTCAGAATTGGTCTTCTGCATGGTACCACTGTGCATATATATAATAATGCCGTAGAAAAGTGCAAACGTCTGCTGTCCTGCAGTGAAGTAACTTGTTTTGCCTTTAATTGCTTTTGAAATCTTGCTTACATTTACTTCTAAACCTTTTGCTTACAGCAAGACCAGCTTAGTGTGAGCTATCTTTTTTACTTTTACTCCCACTAACTACTTCCTCCTTTTGCCCACCTCATGGCCCCAGCATGCTACTAATCCCCATAGTGCTGCTCAGTCAAGCTTATTTGCTTAACTAAATTGTGACCCTTTCTTAAAATCTTGGCCAGGAGGAGATGTGTTGTTTATCTGGGAATGTATTCCAATAGCTGCCTTGTGTCTGCTTTCAAGGTACTGCTAAATTTTAAACGTAAAGAAAATACCAACACAGTACAGTGGTCAGTGTTAAATAAAAGCCTCTAATTCAGTTTCACTTTGCTTTTAGAGTTTTGGAGACACTTGGATACTCGCTGTGATGTGGGTTGGCTTCCCCACAATGGTTTTTGCTACATGCTGATACACAACCAGGCATCTTGGAGTACAGCAGATACTTTGTGCAAAACAAATAAAAGTAACCTCATCAGCATACACTCACTGGCAGATGTGGAACTCATTGTTACAAAGCTTCATAATGGTGAGCTGGGAAAGTCAAGTACCAAGTGCTGTGCACCCTAAATTACAAACTGCTTTCTGTGATCCAGCATACGATTGTGAGAATCTCTAGCTCTAAATGAAAGTGTTAATGCTGTGTTTGTACCCAGACTGGTGCTGAGTGTCACCGCTCAGCCCTGCTCCCTCTCTATTTGTTCTTGTTTTAGTTCTATTTTATTCATGTATTGACTTAATTAATCAAAGAATCCTTAGAGTTGTAAGGGATCTTTAAAGACCGCCTATCCCAACTCCCTTGCAGTGAACAGGGACACCTACAGCTACGTCAGGTTGCCGAGGGCCTGAACCAGCCTCACCTTCAAAGTCTCCGTGGCTGGAGCATCCACCACCTCTCTGGGCTACCTGTGCCAGTGGGCTAGCCTGCTTCTACTTGTCTCATTTATAATGTCTAACACCTGTACACTTTTCTCATTCAGGCAGAATCATAGATAATTGGACTGGATTTTTGACTGCTGGGTCACTGAACTGATAAACATAATCTGTACTTTGTGGTCTTATGTTTTTGTCTGCATTCTAAAATAGATTTTGGTTGAGCTTCTTTTCTTGCATGTTCATTGTTTTTTTTTTTTTTTTTTTTTTTTTTTTTTTTTTTTTTTTTTTTTTTTTTTTTTCTGTTTGTTGCCTTTTCTGTAAAATGTACTTCACATTCATGAATACAGCTTAAAAGTTAAAAAATAATTTGGGCTTGTCTCAAATTCCATTTTTTATTGTAATAAAAGCATAAATGCTTCAGTATTTTAAGTAGAATATGAATTTAGTAAAACGAGGTTTTTATCAGTCCTTTCAAATTAGTTTGAATGCTATTCTGAATCCTCCGTGCTGTCCCTGTTTTAAATGACAGATGCTAAAGAAGAAGTGTGGATGGGGCTCAGGAACGAAGATGTACCAACCTCATTCAAATGGTCAGATCACACAGATGTGGTTTTTACATATTGGGATCAGAATGAACCAAATGTTCCTTTTAATGTCACTCCTAACTGTGTGTCCTATTCAGGCAAGGTAAGAATATGATGATCTTTTTTTTTATCTTCCCCTTCCCTCCCCTTTATCCCCACCATAACAGTAAACATTGATGCATGTGAAGTACAAGGGAGATAAATAAGAATTTTTATACTTGACACCACCCTGAGCTGTTCCCTTTTCAGATGTGATCCAGTATTCTCCTATCTCCACATTTCAGCTTTTTCTCTTCTCTTCAAAACTTGCACCTACATGTATAATCCAGGGCATCTCACTCACACTGTTCTTGATACTGCAAGTAACCAAGGCGTTCTGGCTTTCCCACAACTGAAAACTCTGCCCCTTCACTGTGGAAAGATTGGAGGATTTAAAATGCTCTTTTTCCTTTCCTTTGAACAGTTGGGGCAGTGGAGAGTCAAATCCTGTGAAGAAAACTTGAAATATGTGTGTAAGAAAAAAGGAGAGATTTTAAATGAAACCAAATCAGACAAAAATTGCTCACTGGATGAGGTAATGGGGAGTCTGTACATATTTTACTTTCAGAAGCTTGCATTAAATTACTTATTTTCTCTTCTTAGTGTTTTTCTAACGTTTGTAAAATAAAACCTTTGGTACATCTTGACTGTAAAAGGGTAATTGCCAATCTGTTTATGGGCAAAAGTATTGAGGCTGGGTACAGAAGGTATCTTTTATTTGTTGGGAAAAAACATCTAGCTGTTTTACTAGGTATGTTATCACTATGCCCTCTGTTTTGTAGTTTCTGCTTTAAATACCCTTTCTAAAATTTAGGATAAGCAATTTGCAGCATAAGGGTATGCAGAGAAAGCAGAAATGTAATCTTTCTCATTTATCTATGTTTCACTTGACTCATCTTAGTTCTTTGGCTCCAGTAATGTTGGTTCTTTATTTTCTTAAGCTTAACATACTACAGTGTAAAAAAGTCCTGAAGTCTTCTCTGTTTTAAACAATATTGGGATGGCATTACTAGCAACCTTAGAGTTCTTTTGTTTTGTAGGGTGTATTGCCTGAAACAGAAAATATGTTTTCCCCTTATCTTTCTATACATCCTGGGGGTATTCATACTCTGTCTCTTCAGAGGCTGCCAGTTACAGCTTTCTGTGCTGTTCAGATGGCAGTGCGTTGGTAGGGTAGCAAAGAGCACTTTAATATTCCTTGAAATTTCAGTGTAATTATGGGGAAAATATTTGAATAAGAGATAATTTTTACAAATTCAAATGTTTTCAGTAGAAAAGATTTTTTAAATAAAGAAACGCTAATAACACCCTTGTATCTTTGCTCTGTTTGAATCCTGGCGTTGGTGGAGCAGCATCAAAACTCCTATTGTTTTGAACAGGACGAGGCTGTCTCCCTTGTGTTCCTCTCTCTAAATACACGTAGCAGTCAGAAGACACTGCAAAGTCGAGCTAGAACAGTGCTGTATTCTGTTTCTGTGGTTACATTATTTCTTAGGACTGTAAATCTGAGAGTTGATAATACTGGACTCTGTGTGTCATGCACTGTGTTTCTTTTTTTATATGGTGTGCCAGCTTGTAGGCACCAACCAGTGTTAGTGATTTCTGTTCTCCTGCAGATCATGACTAAATGAAGCTGTTATGTGTAAACATGTGTTTTGTTCTGTAACCAGGGTTGGGAGATACATGGAAACTACTGCTACAAGATTTTGCAAACAGAAGTTTCATTTGGAGCACTGTGCAATCTTACAGTTACAAATAGGTAAAGCAAATCTCTGTAATTTATGTGTGTGTTTTATGGTAGGATCCTGGAGATACAGTCATGAAACTTCTATCTGCTAAGAAGTAGTTACAAACAAACAAACAAAAAAAATAGACAAGTTGCTACCACAGAGAACTGGCAAACTGTTCTCCAAGATGTGACAATGGCAAAGCTACAGTGTGAAGCCTTCTTAGAATTGTGTGAATTCACAGAGCCTGCTGTGTGTTGAATACAGGACTGTCTGAGCAACTATTTCAAATAACTAAAGTAATACAGTGCCTGGTTTTCAGACTGACTCAGTAGTTTCAGGTGTCTTTCAAATACTGACTCAGATTAATATGTGAATTTTCAGGTTTGAGCAAGAATTTATAAATAGTCTGATTAGAAAACACACCAAAGTTGAAGAAAAATACTTCTGGACTGGTTTGCAAGACATTAGCCAGTCTGGAATGTATTCCTGGGCTGCAGTGGATGGGGAAAAAAGTGAAACTGTGACATATACTAACTGGAACTCCTTGCAACCAGGTAAATGAAACAGTTCAAAATAAGTAAAAAATACTATAGTTTTAAATTCAGCAAGCATTGGAGCAGTGTGTTGTGGGATTCCTGGGATGAAACAAAATAGTCATTCAGAAATTCTTGGATTTTTTTGAAAACTAGACAATAGTTTTAAAAATTTCTCTGGTGGCTTAAATCTTAGAGTTCTCAGGAGGATGTGTGGTCATGTCCAGTGGGAGGTCTCTTGGAAAGTGGGAAACTAAGGACTGTAAAACCACAAAAGCATTCCCTGTTTGCAAAAAATACATCGGGCTGCCCAAGGAACCAGAAGTGCTCCCAAAGCCATCTGATCCCTGTCCCCCTGGCTGGCATAATGGATCTGGCCTTGCCTGCTACAAGGTAAAGCATTATTCCTGTTGGATGTTAATTTTTCATTATTGTTTTGCAACCATTTTGTGTCTGCAATGAACTGCGTTCTGCACACAGCTCACATAGCAAGGTGTGGGAAACATAGCTTAAATAACAGAGCTGTGAGCATGGATCCTGAATGGATGGCTCTTGTGTTGTGCAGCATAGCTGTCCCTGCTCGGCCGATGGGGTGTGACAGCTGGCTCTGGCAGTTTCTCCAAATCTCTTGTTGACCAAGTGCAGTATGTCTGTGCAGAGAGATCCTGCTGACGGGAACTGGCTTGGACTGAAGTCAAGGGGATCAAGTGGCTGAGGTGTATGAGCCAAATGTAAAATTCTGATATGTATAGGAAGCAAAGGAGGAGGCAAAGAACTGTCTGCATTTGCGGCACCCAAATGGTCCTGTGTCACTAAAAATTGGGCTTTGTTGTTCACCCTGCGTTTTGAAGAACCACATCACTTAAAATACACAGTTTGGCTTGCAATTTTGGAATGAATTGGGTGTTGTTTTCTAAAATCTTTCTGGTAAAGAAAAACAGAGAAATTCTGCCATATGGAATAGGTTGCATTTGAAACAAATTTTGTCAGCTAAACTTCAAGTCTGACTGTTGTCAAACAAACTGAGAAAATAATTAAGAAGTTGGATCTAAAATCAAGCTCTCTCCCTTTGGAGATACTGATTATTGATTCCAACTTGGGGTGTCCGTATTTGAGTAGTACAGCAGAGGTTTAAAAATACTATCACTGGAAAAGTGCTGTCACTGTTCTACTCTGATGGTTGGTTGTTGTGAAGTTCTTCCACAGTGAAAGAGTGCTGCGAACCAGAACTTGGGAGGAGGCGGAAAGGTTCTGTGAAGCACTTGGAGGCCATCTTCCCAGCTTCACTCATACAGAAGAAATCAAGACACTTCATTCCATCCTGAGAAAAATTATCAGGTAACAAAGCAGCCATGGGATACAATTTTGATTTCAGTCACACACTGCAGTAAGTTGTAAATGCTGCTGCTAACCCCAAATGGCAAGTGTGAGATGGTGTACACTGACTGTGTTTCCCACAGTAAAAACGGCTAGATGTGGCATTTGAACTGCTGGTCATGTTGCTGCCTTCCTGGAAAATGTCAAGGGAGTACAGCTTGGGCAAATGTTTCACAGTGCTCAAGGGAACGCGAGAGAAGAGAGATGTACTTGGAGCATCTTCTTCTAAATCTGTGTTGTTTTAAGCATTTCCTTCTTCGTGCTGAATGAGTTGCTTCTGTTCTTAATTGATACGTTCTTCAGAGATGAGTTATTTGAGCCTTTCAGATAGGTCTCATCTTTATTCATGAAATGCTTCCTGACTAAGTTGAGTGCTATCTTTTGAAAACGCGAATAATGTGGTGTCCAGCAATCTGGTTGGCACAGATCCCGTTTGGCATAACTGCACTAACACTGTATGAGCATGAGATGGGTGTGCTGAGTTTTCTGCTATCAACAAATTAAATGCTACATAATTTATGAGTCTTAGGCTTTTTATTTAATCAAAGGAACTGTTACTGCAAAGCTTTATTAGGCATTGGTGTGATGTCAGATCATTGTGTAATATGTTTTTTTGATTGGCAGCCTGCTTTTTCAGAACTTTTGCCAGCTTAAACTTGTGTGCTGCCAGTTATGTGATCTAAATTGATTTCATCAACAAACAAAATCATAATTATTTTAGAAGCTGCCAACATACAATGCTGTGATTAAATTTTAAAACTTGACGACTGAAGAGATGTCTTCTTAAAAAAACAGTGTACTTTTTTTAGAAGTACATAAGTCATGAAAATTACTCATTGTTTATGGTAAAAGACAAAACCAAACTCATACACTCTATAAATAGATGGCTTAGCTTGCTTAAAGCTACCGTGACTCCTTTACTGAAGTGACTGAAGTCCCTGGAATAAATGTTGATGCACCGATTATTTTTAGCAATGCATCTTTAAACCATTTACAAATTTTGTTGTAATGTTGTACCTAATCTAGTAAGGGATATGATTAAGGAATATTTTTGTACTGAGTACAAATGTTTGGAAGTACTCTGCAGTTTGCAGACCATCTCCGGAGGGTTATAGTTAATGGCCTTTCTTTGTTAGAGGCTTAATGGAGGAGTCTTCTGTCACTCCAGAAAATCACCTGACTCATGATACCGATAGAGTTCCCATGTATCAGAAAACACAACAGCCTGAAAAAAAAGAAGGTCCTGGTATTTCAGCATTATTCTACCAGAATTCTGATATTCTAAGGGGTAATACACTGAACTCTGTATATAAATAAGGGGCAATATTTTGAGCTCAGAGTAAACTGGCTTGCAGTCAGATTGACACCTGTCAAGTGCAACCCCAGACACAGTATTTTTGTCTGGATTAACCTCTTCTGAAACATTGCAGAGCTTTCTGAACACAAATGTAGCAAATATGATGTTGTATAAAAACATTTTAAGCATTTAGACAACTTACAAGCAACTTACAAGCACTTCATGACATTATTTACGCTTTTAAATTACACAGAGATGGTGATTAAAAGAAGTATTTTAGAGATCAGGAGCAGTGGGTAGCTTGTCTAAAAATAAGCTCATTTGAAAAAGGAGAGAGGAAAAAACAAGCGGATTATTTCACCAAAAGCAGTCAGTTTAGGTACCTGGAAGAAATCATTGTAGGGTAAAGTTAGGAGTGATCAGCTAGCAGGGTTTGCTGGCACGCAGTTTGTCCCGTGTTTACTCAGTGCAAACTCTGACCTGAGGTATTCACTCAGCGCGGTTATTTCGGCTGAGGGAAGGAGCCACACCTCGGCTTTTTTGGTTTCGTTTTTTCCCCACTTTGCACAGTTCTCCAGTGAGTCATTGAGAACTGTTTGTTTTCAAATGTTAGCAAGAGTCAGTTTGGTTCACCAGGAAAAGGGCAGCTTGCCTAGTCCATTTTGTTCTTTACTCGGATTCCACCTTAGAGGCAAACAAGAACTAGGACAGCTTCAGCCAAGTCAGGCAATTGCCATTGTGAAGGAAAATAAATTTTGCCTGCCAGCCTTCCTGTCTGAGAGAAATATGAGATAACCTCTTTTTACTTCAAGGGACACAATACAGGCAGAACAGATCCTGTTATCTTACTTTCATTCTACTAGAGTTGTTTTTCTGGGCGTTTTGTAGCTTATAGCTGGCAGCAGCGCAGGGCACAAGGAGAGGAACAGCTTGGATTGCTTAGAAATATTACTGCTGTGAGGACACCTTACTGGAACGAAACCAGTTGCCTTTTGTATGCACAGCTCTGCTTCTGTAACTATGCAGAATCTAGAAAGCCAACATGGGAGTTTGCAAGAAAACTGATCTTTATTCTCAGCGTGCTTGCCAAAACAGCAGTGAAGTGTCACTGAAGTGAAGTTGTTGTAACTGTGTTAGCACTGCTCCTCTGCTCTTCTGCCAGAGTAGGTAATGAGCTGGATGGAGGTTCAGTCAGTGGCAGCAGCCTGCTAGAGAGAGAGGAGCAGGGATCAAGTGGCTTCATGCATATTGCTCTCAGAAGCATAAGTACTTGTAGGTCGTGTGTGTGTGTTTGTTACGTTTACCTTTTATCCAGAGTTGTGAAGAGCTGCACACCATGGTAGTTTGCTTAGGTTCTTCATCTTGTGTTCTTTTGTTTCAGCAGTTAGAATAGGATAGTAGAAAAAATACAGTTTTGCATCACAGTCACACTGATCTAAACAATATTTATTGACTCCTGCACAAGATTGGCTTTTATGAAGTTCTAGTTCTGTATGAGAGATAAGTCAGTGGTATTCTGCAGGGATTACAGGAGATTTAGGGTCTTTCATTGTGAACCAGCGTGAAGTCCATATAGAGCACACTTTGCATCTATTTTCTAGGTTAAAACTCAGGATAGCCTAGATTTTAGAGGTCATTCTGGGAATGCAGCTCAAAGAATGCTCTGGCAAACATAAATCTATTTTGATAACAGTCTTCTGGATGGGTTTGAAATGTTTTGCAGTGAGAACAGATAAGTGAAGTACAAGCAGGTCCCTTGCTGTGAGCCTAGTTGCAGAAGAGCCTTGTCATACTTGTCTTACATGCTTAATGGCATTTTTCCATGATGAGGTGACAGTATAATTTTGAGGGCTTATTAGATGTCTTTAGATAAGCTTAGATGTGTTGTCAAGAGCAGTGGAACAGTCACTGAACTACATTCATTTCTAAAGAATTCCAAAATGTAGGTTAACCTGCAAGTGCCCTGTCAGCTGGAAACCCTTATTATAATAAGACTAATAGCTGTGAACTAGGGGATAGGCTGGAGAAATTCTTGACCTGACACAGTTTTTATTTATTTTTATTTATTTACTTTGTAACATAGAAGCCCTTTGAGTTGAAAGACTGAAAAATCACTCTAGTTCCTTAGGTAATTACTGCAGATACTTGTGAAATGAGTGTCTCGACTTCTTTTTTATGGCATATGTTCCTCTGTGATGATTGCCTTGAATTGTACTCGGCCTGTAGTGACGACTAGGAGGGGAGGGCTAAGCAGTGTCTGCTTCATAATTGGAAAGAACAATAATGCTTCATAAATGGAAAGAATGGCAAAATAAGTCCTAAAGGCAAATTGCCAAAGGCCACTTAGCTGGTTGACAGTTGGTGGATGTCTCAGTTTCCGGCTGGAGTGATGAGGGGCATTTAGGCTGATGTCACTGAGGATTCTTTGGTGATATTAAAAGTCTTAAGACTGTTCAGTATGATAAGATCACACCAGTGTGATCACACTGTTGCACTAATGTTTGAATTTAAAACTGGAGTTTAGAAGGGGGGAAAAGAAAAACAGAAAAAATTGATTTGTTGGTGGTTTGATGCTTTATCTTCCTAATAGGAGCCCTACCAAGTAAAGCACCATTGCCCTTTCTGGATTTCCTGGATTTCACATGCCTCACCTACATACTCTGGGCTTTGCTGTTATTTGTCATAGATCCAAGTCCCAAGGGCAAGCTTTAAGACCTGTTTTTGTGAAGCCACTCTTGAAATTTTAATTTTTTTCACACTTCAGTATTAAGGTCTTGGGAATACATCCTTAGTTTCTTGCAGGCTGTTCCAGTGGTTTGTGGGTTTTTTTATTTTTTTTTTTTATTTTTTATTTTTTATTTTTTTTTGGTGCTGTTCTGTCAGCTGTTTCAGGCGCAGTTTAGTATCTTTATGGTGATATGTGTGAGAAGGTAGTGGCACAGTCTTAACGAAGAGTTTCTTCGTGTTGCCCTGGGGTTTCTTAACATTTCTTGTGCCGTTAAGCTGGGTTTAGGGTTCATCCCTCTACATAATACACTTACATTACTTACATTCACAAACTTGCCAAGTTCTATCTTAAAATCAGTCTGATAGTTTGTCACCACTATTTAGAAGCCGTCTCCAAACTCTGACCTCTGCTGGCCGGAAATCTCTTTTGCATTTTGAGTCCAGATTTGTTTCTGAGCTGTGGTTCCTTCAGTCACAATGTACTTTTTCCTCATAAAGTTATTCCTCTTGGGGGCTCAGTGTCCTAGTTTGTTGACAAGAGTAATTATATGCCTTCCCCTTTATTTTTAAATGCTAGAAAAGAAAGCCTCTAGTTCTTTTTAATAAGCTAGTATCTTAAATATTCTGCATTGCTTCAAATATCCTTCTCTACACTTGGTACAACATCAGTTCATGTAACAGCAGGCCAGATAAGTGTTTACAGAAACCCTCTACTGTGGCACTGGAGCTTTTTTATGTCTGTCAGAACACATTAATGAGTGTGTCTCTCTGATACTTCGCTGCAGTTGGGTTTCATGTTGGCTGTAATTTCATTAGAAAACTGTGGTTTTTCTCTCTGCTGCTTTCAGCAGTTACCAACTCTTACTGTTCTTGGGCATGCTAGCAGATTGGAGTGAATGGTCTTAAGCTTCAGTATCTAGAACAAAAATGGTATTTAAAAAAGTATAGGCTGCAGCACAAAACTAAACTTGCAGTTTAACTGACTGTGCCCCTTCTCTGAAGTTGCAAAGTTCAAGAATGTACCTGTGCTGGGTTTGTTTGTATCGCTGACAAACCTGAGGGAAAAAAAGAAGTCCACTGTTTTGTGAGAATATAAGTTTTCATGTGGTTTGAGGAAGAGTGTGTTTGAGAGAGGTGACCTGGAGGTGGATGAGGAGAAGCAAGCCAAATAACCCCCTGTGATAGTCTGGGAGAAAAGTATGGAAAAGAGACCTCCATTTCAAGTGACAACTGTTGAAGTGGTAATTCACTGAATGAAGGAATTACCTGATTTACTTCTCTTGCCTAGACCACAGAGAAAACTAACCAACACATCCTCTTAAATGGAAATGGAAAGAAGACCTACCCTCTAGGCCCATTTTCTGCTTTACCTGCTACAATGTACAGTGAACTTCTGGCCCTTGATACTAAGTATTTACTTGATACTAAGTAATGCAATTCCTTAGTCTTTCTGTTAGCTGTGTTGATACATATAGTTGGCTTAAAAATTATTTTGTTTCTTTACAGTAATGACAGATGGGTATGGATTGGAATGAATAAGAGGAGTCCAGATTCTTTGGGAACCTGGCAATGGAGTGATGATAAACCCGTAAGTTAACTTTTAACCAGGAAATGTCGTGTCCTGATTTCTTGGACTAGATTGAAAAATAAATTTACAAATACTTCAGTAAAATTATGGCACATTTTTCAACAGATGAATAATTCAGAGGATTGTGCACTTAAGTGCCATTATCCAGGCAGTTTTCCAATTAAAGCCATATCTTTTTCCAATTTAAAAACATATTATTAATTAAGTTAACCTGATATCTGTCTCAATCACATTAAAATATTTTAATGGAAATATAGTAGTAAATATCTAAGAGTTGGTGGAGGAAAAAAGATGTCTTAATGCAACAGCAGAGGGAAGAGTTTATCAGTTTATCTTGATAGAACAGATTTCTCCAAAAATACCTTCTTAACTGGAGTTGATTTTATTTGCCTGAAATTGTGAGAGTTTTTAAATTTATTTTTCCGCTACAATAACAGGTATTTTTAAACTTTCTGATGCAATTATTGCCTTTTAATGTGCATTCTAATGGTGCAAAACCTCACGGGACTGCAAGTTTAAAGAGGCTGCCATAGCAAAAATAGTCCTGAAGTAATCATTCTTTCATCTTGTCCCTCTTGCAGGTAACTAGTCTTGTCTTGCCACATGATTATCTGGAAGATGAGTATGACACAAGGGACTGTGTTGCTTTAAAGGTTAGTTTGAAGGTTTTTAATAACGACAGCATGTTTATACATAAAAGTACTTGGAAGAAATACTCCTGCTGTATATTGAATTTAGGTTGACTGCTGAAGAAGTTTTCTTTGTAGAGTAAAAGGTTGCTGATGTTCCCTTCATTAATCTGTACCTAGTATTGCATTTCCCTTCCTCAAGCAGTTTTAATGAACTGAGTGCTTTGCTAATGCTGATCTGTCATAAGACTTCTTCTGAACTACAAAATATGTTAACACTATTTTCTGTTTCATAATGCCATGCTATAAATCCATGGAATATTGTTCATAACACCTAAGAACATAACATGGAATCTTTAAAAAAAAAAAGAAAAAAAAAAAAAAAAAAAGAAAGGAAAACCAACTAGAACTCTAAAATAACTTTTAACACCTTGATTAGTTTTTTTCTGAATTACCAATAAAGAATATGATTGAAACAGGGTGATGGGATGCAGTAGCCAGAGTAGAGCGTGTATGCTTGTGTTTGCTGTATTTCTTTGCTTACTTGTGAAGTAGACTGTACTTGTTGTTTCAGTTTTTCATTCAAGATGTACTTCATAGCTTATTTTTTATTTCAGTCTCAGTGGCATGAGTTGTATTATGTCCCTTAAGTTTCCTGAAGCATCACCTGACTTTGTAGATCATTCCAACATTGCCCATTATATTAACCTACTTAGAACCACTTCAGCTTTTCTGACTTATTGCAGGAAACAATACTTGTATTCCTTTGTTTCTGTTCTCAGCCATTTCCCCTCATTTTCTTCCCCTGTGTTTGTGACTCTAAGGTAAGAAGCTGATGTAAGCATGAGACAAGAAGAGCACTTTGAAGGAGGCATTGTAAATATAGTAACCTCCCTTCTTTTCTTGCTAAATCTAGACATGTGCTCTTTTCACTAAATGAAACAAAATTCTCCTTATTGAGGAGACCAGCAAGACTTCATTCTAAGAAATAATCTTATATTAAAATATTATTTCTATGCTAATTCAGATGGGTGCTTCTTCTGAGGAGAAATGAGGTTTTTTTCAGGGCAAGGAGTTGTAACAGAGAATTCAATAATAGGCAGAGACAAGACCCCTGAGCTACAAAAAAAAAAAAAAAAAAAAAAAAAAAAAAAAAGAAGGAACAATGTTGCAAGGAAGTGCTTCTGTACATAGGCTAAACCTTAAAAACGTTAAACGTTTTATCCAATTGCTTCATAAACTTGGCTAGCATCGAGAGTTACAGTTTAAAAGTTGTATCTGCTCAGTTTTATAAAGTAAGTTGCCTGGAATGGACATGATGACTTCACCAAAGTACTTTTGTAATACAATTTCATTTCATGTTTTGCCAATCCATACCATACTAATTCAATTCTCTGTTCCTATTTTATACAGACCTTTCAGTTTTCGAGGAGATCATTTTGGAGATTTTATTTCCATGAAGGCAGAGACCTGGAGTTTTATTTCAAGCCTTTTGACTGTGATGCTAAACTTGAATGGGTCTGCCAGATAACTAAAGGTAAACTGCATTTACATGCATTTTTACATGCTTTTTGTATAAAAGAGTTTGTTTACAGGTTTTTAGTTCCTTTGTGTTAACAGTTTTTATGAATTAAAGTTGGTGGAATTTGAAGTTGAGCCTTAAGTAGTTTAGGTCTAACTAGCCAAGAGTAGGTCAGCACATCTGAAATATTGCTCATGATCAAATTGGAAGATATAAAATAGGCAGCAGAGAAATGCAAGCAGGAACTAGGGTAATAAGCTTCAGAAAGACATCATTTTTCTTGGTATTCTTAAAAAAAAAAAAAAAAAAAAAAAAAGATATCTGCTATTGAGCCATCGTTATTGCCCTCTAGCAGAAACTTTCCAATGTTTTATTGTACTTCTTCTGTGAACCGTTAGAGGTCAGTACATGAGATGCCTTGTCTGTGCCATAGGCGGTGTACTTAGAATGCTCAAAGACATCAGAAAATGACCATGAGGAGAAGGATGTAGTATCACTGTTCTTGTATTCCTTCTTTTCCCGTGAAGCATGAAGTGACTACTCAGTAGGTGAGATGATAGAAGTCAAGTGATACTTGTAACTAAAAAACCAGACATCTTGGGTATACAGTTTGCTTCTTCCTCAGGTGAATGAACCTCTTTAATTCTGGTAAAGTTGCTGAAGTAGCTCCTCATTGTAGTGGGACAGAGGAGTCGGAGTGCAGAGGAATGGCATGGCATCTCTGCACAGATCCACATTTTTCATGCAGTATGAGAGGTGCTGTAATCCAGTAGGCTTTTGTGCTTTACTAGGTCATTAAAAGGCGTTTTAGGACATGAAACTTTCCTTGTCCTAGGGGGACATAGGTAAAATATTACTTTGATGCTTATATATCTTTCTTGGGAGAAAAAAAAAAAAAAAAGCTCACAGACGTATTTAAGGCTGAGGTATGGAAAGACTTCACTCATTTTTAATCAGCATGTTTTAGACTATTAAACCTATGCAAGACTTCATCCTCCTTGTTTTTCCCTTCATCGTGCATACTGAGAAGCACAAGTGTAACACATCACTCCTGTTATGTATGAGCACAGTTTCACTAGAAGGTGAACTGGAAGTGACTGTTCCTTTTTTCTCTGCCAGGTAGCACTCCAAAGACACCTGAGTGGTATATACCAGGTAAATGGACTTCTGGATACCCTTTGACTTTGCGTATATAGTTACTGCTGTTATATATTTTACTAGTTTTGTTGTATATGCCTTTTGGATAATAGCAGGATGTCATGACTGATAGCATTTAAGTGCAAGAATAAGTGTTGACTTTTCCTGGTGTCAAACTTAAATTTATTATATTAAGAAAAAGAACAAGTTTCTCAGAGTTGATTTCTAATGCAGTACTTCTTCTGCATAGATGAAATTGGAATTCATGGAGTCCCACTTGTTGTTGATGGAGCAGAGCTGTGGTTTGTACCAGATAAAAACCTGAGCTTTCAAGAAGCTATTTCCTACTGTCAGAAAAATGATAGTGAATTGGCCTCTGTGGAGTCTTACCCAAAACTCAGGACAATACTATCTCAGATAGAAAAGGTAAGGAAGTTTAATCTATCTAACAGATACTTTTCACTACAGGGAAGTTTTGTTGCCAGCTTTTCCAATATTACAACAATGTTAGTCCATAATTTCCTTTCTTATTGTATTGGCCTTAATTGTTTTTAATTGTATTTAAAAGAAAAAGATGAGTTGAAAAAATACAATGTCAGTATTGTAAAAGAATTCTTAAATTTAAAAGTAGCCTCAACCACTGGAAAAAAAAAATCTCCAAATGAAGAGAAAATCTCTCTTCATTTGTATGCACCACATTTTCTGCAAATACTTGACTAACAATTGCCCCAGCTATTAGTTTTACTCATGGATAGCATATAATTTCTTACCTGAGGAGAGGATTTAATTAAAAATGCAGTGATGGTTTGATAGCCTTTACAGAAAGGGTTTGTGGTGTTCATTGCACATAAACGCATTCTTCTAGGGAATCTTAGAGAAGCATTTCATGTTTCAGCACCTCTGTTAGTGCCTGTCTTCAGGCTTGTGAGGCACTTTCCAAAATCAGCATTTTGTAAGCACTCTCAGTGAAATTTCTTCTGACAATTCTACCTGGAAATAGAGATCACAAGGCAGGAGAGACTGAAGATTTGACCTTTTAAACCTCTACCCTATTCATGATCTATTCATTGGTGGACTGTCTGCTGGAAGCACAGAATTACTCTGTGTAAGGTCCTGTGAAACCACATCTGCTTTGAGTTGCTTGCAGCTGTGTCCTGGTTGTTTGGTAGCACTGCTGCTATGAATTTTGTAGGAGTGATGTTTCTGGCATGTACTCATGAGAAACCTTGCAACACTCTCTTAGCTTTGTTCTCACAGTGGAAAATATGGGCTTTTTTTTAATAGTAGGTGCAGGTGTCCATTATTGTGGCACATTCATATCTATCTGTATCCTTCTCTATTCTTGAAGAACTATAATTCTTATACATTTCAAAATAAATATTTTAAATCAAAGTGAATGTTGTCGTTGATTTATTGATGATGGGAGTCTGGAGAGCTGTTTCTGTAATCTGTAAAATTACCTTTTTTTTTCTCCACAGTTATCAAACAGTGAACAGAAGTGGTGGCTGAAGTTTATTGATTATGGCTACAGCTATCATTCACCGTATGTAGCATACTACTTTATTCTAAGCTTGACCCAGTTAGGTAATGTTGTGGAGAACTTATGCTGTAGTCCTGTAGAGCTGGGATGCCTCACAGCAAAGGCTGCATTGTGCAAGGCTGCTGCAAAGGATCACGGGCTTCTTATGAGCAAAATCTCAGCTTTCCAAAATACTGTAGCAATACACTGCTTCAAAAATACTTTAGAAAGGCTCTTGTCCACTATGCTCTCTTGACTTGACAGCATGCAAGCAATTGCAGCATGCAGTGAATAATCTACCCTTGTTCTGCACATCTCCTTAATTTGGGCATGGTACTACTACATAACTGCTGAACCTACCAAATATTTGTTCCTGGTCTAGTTTCTTCCCATGTCCTTTCCAGTGGCGTAGGGCATCTCCTAGAAACAGTTCTGAGCCCAGATTTTTGTATGCACTGGCTCTGTTTCTATCAGAGTTACCATCTGAAGATCCCAATGGATTGGAGATTGACTCTGAAATGTTTGTATCCAGTTTACAGTTATTTCCACGGTTCCACGATCGATCCCTGAGGGACTGCTGGTATGTTTCTAAGAAGAGCTGGTATAGAGGTATGGTTATTTTTATTCTTCTGCCCTTTCTAGTCATTGTTATGAAGTAATTACTATTCTGCTGAAACTCTGATACAGATTGCAAATTGATACTGAATTAGGAGCAAATATCTTCTTGGCAATAATCAGATTCAATTTTGAATCATTTATTTCTTGCTCTTGGGAGAAGCCCTGATAATATTTTTTGATGACCAGAGGGAAATGTGAACTCTTTTTTGATTGGTAACAATGATTGATCATTAGCTCCTTTTGTAGCCTAAATGAATTAATTGGGTGAAATCTTTTTTTTTTTTTTTTTTTTTTTTTGGCTGTTCTCCTTTTTGTACATATGCAATATATTCTAAGTTCTGAAAATTAAGTGTTAGAGTAGATTGACTGAATACCTGCAACTGCATGTGCAGCTGGAGATGTAAATTTCATTAAGTAGTGGAGTCCTACCGGAAGAGGTAAACAAAGCAGTGGAAAAGCCAACCTTGTGGTACTTGAAGCTGTTTGCTATCAGCAATGCTTCATACTAGGGAAAAATCTGTGATCTCTGGATACTAAATAGTTATCCCATCTATTATCATTTCCACTTCAAAGCATATTTTTCTGTTATATACTGCTGACCTGTTTTCATCTCTGCTAACCAAAAAATCTTTTTAACTAGGAGGCCAGTCTAGTTAATTTTGAAATAATGGAAAGCAATAGTACAGGGCAGACTCTCAGTGTTTCTTTTGGCTTCAATGGGTTTTAGAGCACGCACCTTCTATGCTATAAAGTGCCATTAGTCCTCATTCAAAATCTTTTTTAAAATCCAACTTTTTTCTGTTGAACTCAGAGTAAGAGATTGGAATCTGGATCTGTAAGAAAAGTACAGTATTGTCTGATACATAAAGCATTTACATTTGTCTTTTGCTCTGCTGTTACTTTTCAAGCTTTATGTTGTTTTGTACTTCAGTGTGGTTGTACTGAAAAGGACTTTGCTTCAGAACGGTCTTTTTCATGTCCATGTATGTATACAAATTAGAGCATGGTAGAAATTGTCATAACTGTTTTTCAAAACTTACTTTTTTGCAGACTACCCAGTTAACTGTAACATGAAGCTGCCCTTCATTTGTGAGAAGAATAATGCCTCCTTGCTGGAGAAACACGATCCCAGCTACCGCCCAGTCACAGGAGGTTGCCCTAAGGGTTGGCTTCGATTTCAGAATAAGGTATAGAAATAATACAGTTCAGTGATCAGTACCTATCTTTTGGAGATCAGTAAGTTGGAGTGACCTGCTAAGAGAGAAAATGTAGTATGTTTAGGAATGAACTGTGGGATTGCTTTTGGAAACTATGTGCAGTGATTTAAAATCATCCCCTCTAGTTCTCTGTTGCGTATGCAGAATTGCTGCTGCTTCTTTTCAAAGCAGTAATTTCAGGATTTTCATTTTTCCCTCACCACATGGTGAAGTTCAAGAATTTTGGTTTTATTGTCTAATCTTGGGCTCTGCTCTTAAGAAAGAAAAGGATTAGAGAAGAAGAGGATGAGATTTCTGTGGCTGAAATATCTTGGTTCTCTTGATGAGTAATCATATGCAGCCAGCAAGCTGGCAGGCGTTCTGCTTCGCAAACCAATTTAGGGATTTCACTTGATTAGGAATTAGAAGAAGCTTTTTAATAAGGGACCAACCAGAAGTCAGAAGCCGTACTGTAGTAAATTTCAATTCTATGTTTCAAGGCAGTCATTTGAAATCTTAGTGAGATTGTGATTCCTCTTTTGTGGCCTGCTGCTGTTCTCTGAACACAAAAAGGAGCGCGCATCAAATCTGGCACATTACACTGTGTCAAGGTTTGCTGCTTTATATCAAATCATTGCACAATATAGCTTTTGAGTTCCCAAGTTGTTTCTCTCACAATATAGAACATTACAATAAAGGAAACGTGGCCCAACCCAATTGACTTTCATGTATGAATTCTCTTTCTTAAAATCATGATATAGCTAATTAAAAATTACTGAATTCTGATCCTCAGTGAATGAGGGACTATTCATTGGTCATTTTTATATTTAGTTATTCTGTTAATATAACCAGGAGGGCATGCAGCTGATATCCCGTTTCTGAGAAAAAGTAATTATGTTTAATTACAGGACATGAAGTAAAATTTTAAGGTTGGTTTTCTTATCAGTTACTTCCTAGGAAGCAATAGCACAAAGAAAATTGTACGTTTCTTTTGCAGTGCTTCCTAAAGATGAAATCCGAGTTCTTAACATTTAATGCAGCTAATGAAAAGTGTGTAACTTTTGGAGGCTCTCTTCCATGCATCTCAAGTCAAGCTGAGCAAGGTATGGTGAGCTGGGGGCACTTGTGAATATGCAGCTTCTCTTCCAAACTCAGTACAGTTCTGCTTAAGAGCTAGAGCATAAAATCTCGCTTCTTTTAAGGTGCACCAGGAGCATTGTAAAAATCCAAGATTAAGAGATTAAAAATGCACTATCTGGTGTTTGCTGTGCTAGAAACCTAAGATGGAAATACGGTCAGCAAGCATTTTAACTTAACCTGTTGTAAAAAATAAGGGTAAAAGATGAAAAACTCTCATGGTTTGCAACTTAAAAACGTAACTGGCACTGTAGTCTTTGTACTTTAAAAGCTGTAGTTGTTGCTGTGTCCCATCACCAACTCCTCAATTGCAAAAGCCACATACGTGGAATAAATGAAGGTGCTATCTTACAGAAGCGTGCCTCTTTCTGTGGGCTCCTTCAGTGGCCTTAGGAGGTAGCTAGTTCTGACATGTAAATCTTCCATGGGTTTGTCTTGCTCAGAAAATAGGCTGAGGCCAGCCTGGCATTTGGCCAGGAGGTAAGACATGTCAGCAGTAGCTAATTACATAGCTTCAATTTGTCTCCCTAATCTAGACAAGCTCAGCGAATGCCTTTGGTGCCTGGGGGTTCACTGAAGGCCATTGTTTCATTCCAAAATGCTCAGTAAGAAAGGTCTGAGTTTTAAGGTTTCCTTGGCTGAATTTTTTTTCCATTTAATCCTGACTTCCTTTTCCAATCCTACTTACTTTGATGGTAGGGTCAGCAAACTGCTAGAATCCAAGAAATGGTTCTGCTTTACAGGGTACATCTCCGTCTTTCTAGATGGGAGACATGACTTCCTCCATCAGTTTGGAGAGGGCGGGGGGAAGTTCTTCCACAGAGAAGCAATAGAAAATATTGCAGACTTGTGGAAAAACAGCTTCTGAAATTTTTTTTAAGTGCAAGGATAGAAAGTACTGGATGCAAAGCCAAGTTAAATACACTGCTTGCTCCTCATCTGAAGATTTGGAGGACAAATACAAATAGTCTGCTCTGTTCAGATAGAAGATAACACCCCTGGGGTTGATTACAAAAGGAAGGGATGAAGAGCATTTGAAAACCTTGAGGGTCTAGGAAAATGAAGCTAATAAAAAATGGAGTCGCATTTCCTTATTAATGCAAATGTTTTTCAAGTGTTTGCTGCTGCTGTCTGAACCACAGTATGTACATTTACGATTTTGTCCAACAGATTTTATAACATCCTTGCTTCCTCAAATGCCGAGAGATATTTGGATTGGTTTGCAGTTTTTGTTCAGCACAAGAGAAAACAAGTGGATAGATGAGAGCAGACTGTTGTATAGTAACTTTCACCCACTCCTAACAGGAAGACTGAGGAAAATTCCACTGGATGTAAGTTCTGATTTTGGACTATTAGATTTCTCTGGACTATTGAGTAATGAAATTTTGAATATTGGTTGTATCAAAAGAGAAAGGAAAAAAAAAAAAAAGCCAAAAGAAACATAAATAAAAAAACAGATCGATTCCCCCAGATGGTGACTTTAATTGGCAAACAGAGTGACTAACAGCAATGGAATTCTGTTTATATGGACCTTTATTTGAATGATGTCTTCTCAGTTGAAATACAGAACACTGAAAGGTAAAGGAAGAAAACGTAAACAACTATTTAATGACTCGTCTGTAATTGCTATCTGTAATTTATAGACTATGTAAATATAGTCATCAAAAAGATGCCATCAATAATTTTTGGTTCACTTCAGAATGTATCTGTAAACCATCATACATTGGTATTTGGCTTGCTGTTCTACCATGGTGAAGCATAATAAATGTAATGGATTCACACCCGCAAACAAGATTTATTTTAAGCATTCTTCTTTTAAGCATTAATTTAATGTTCTTCCCCCATATCTAGCTTACAAATTCTTTTTGAGTCCAAGCACCTGGTAGTGTTTGTAAAGTAGGCAGACTGTACTACACCACTCCTTTGAATGTTCTTAAACAAGTTCAGACAGATCATGTTCTCCTAGCCTTATGTTCTCTACGCAAGTATGTTTATACCTTATTATAGTCTGATAAGTGTATCTCTGGTTTTCAGCTTTTTGATGAAGAATTTAACAATCAGTGTGGTGTAATCCTCAATGATCCCAAGTCTCAGTATGTTGGAACATGGAATTTCACTGCTTGCGCTGACAGGCACTTCTTGGGTATATGCCAGCGTCCTATAGGTAAGTCTGGAGAGTCAAAATAAATTAGAGTTAGAGCTTGCTGCTAAGATACGTGTGCCAGAAGACGTTTTAGTATGTGTAAATCATTGCACTTGAAGAGCAAGATGCTTATAGTCTGTGAGCAGGTACACTCTGGAAAAGCATAGTGTGAGGGGCTCTCTGGGGAAATTTTTTTCAACTGTTTAGAATTTTCCCTTTTCTTTTTCATCGCCCAGTTCCAGTTCCGAATATCTGTTTTCTTGAGAGACTGACTGTGTGGTCTCACTGAAATCATACTTAAGCCTATCATAGCTTTAACATTCTGTGGGTATTGATGCCACGTACATCAAGAGCTGGAACAAGCGATTCCTTCTTCCTCAGTAAAACTGTGGCAGAATTGAAATTCTGGAAAAAAATCTCACAACACCTCCATCCAACTTAAACATCTCTGCTTCTTAGCATTATCAGAATAAGAAGTATCATGTACTCATGAAGCTAAGATCAGTATCCCAGAGCAAACCTTGCAAATTCGAACTTAGCATAATAATCTAATGCAGCCATGTAGGTTGGTCGGCACCGTGTACTGGAACTGGATCAAACAAATATACCTACTCTCGCATTAATTACTGCTATGGGCTAATATTCAGCATACTCACTTTTGAGTATGTTCCTCTATGCAAATAATCCTCTTAAATAACTAACATGCTACCTTCCTTTAAAAAAGGGGGAAAAAAAAATTGTGCAAAATGTACACCCAAGAAAATAACTACCTTCTTATTTCTCAAACAGGCAAAGTGATTTATATCCCCACAAAAATATTTTTTATTCCACTGCCAAACACTTTAGAAATACCAAGTGTCCAAATTTAAAGCTTTGCTAGGTGAGTTGTAGTCATAGAAAATGAATTTTTATTTAAAAGGAAGTTGGCTATATATCTATGTAGATCAATGTGTTGTCTGCCTGGGCTAACCAAAACATCATGCGCTTCCTCCTAGCCAGAGCTGTAGAAGTTGTAATGAGAGAAGATTAGGGACTGCCAGTGTATATATCTGTCCTGGTCATTAATGATACAGATCTTAAGAAGATTCAGGTTGGAATGTTGCAGGGACAGCTATGAGACCAATCCCTGTTGCCTCGAGCTTTATCCTATAGGAAGAAAGATAACTTCCAGTTCCATGGAAGTGTTGGCGTGATTGTGATTTGCACAATTTCTTAAGATGCTGTATAATCAGTGAATATACGGATGTTGTAATTAAGAAATATACAAGGAAGTTAGGCTAAACAGGTTTTCATGCTAAAGAAGAACAGATGGAAAGCTTACCCCTGTCCTGGGCTTTCTGAGAAGGCTCCAACAGGAGCAATCTCCAAAAAAGATCCTTCCCCATTGGTAGTCAGCTCTTAAATAGGGTCTAAGAGAGGTGCAGCCAGGCTTCACCCCTTGCGGTAGCACAGGTGAACTGCCTTCACCTGTGCTCCCAGGGCTGATTCATTGCTTGCCTCAGGTGATCAGTCAGAGGTTCAGGCTGTGATACAGATTCCCATACAGATGTTCATTATCAGCAATTACTTATTTTCTCGTTCAGAAATCAAAATTTTCCCTACTAACTTGTTTCCACTTTGGATAGCCCTTGATATGTGATGACAGTTTTGGTTCCATGGTTCTTATTTGGAAGCTGTATATTAAGTGAAAGCATTTGGCAGCAGACACAAACAACATGCGAACAGTCTGTTTCAGCCTTGTCACTTCTATGGTTTATTGAAAGCTGTAAATAGTGCATAAATATCAGATTTCTATGATGTTTCTCAGTTCTTATGTTTTGAAAAATGGCCCTGTCAGCCTATCAATTAGCCATTTTTATGCTATTATGATTGGTTTTTGTTGTTGTTGTTTTTGTCTCAGTGAGCCATTTTCTGTTTGACATACCTTTTAGTGTCAGTCTTTTTCTGCCTTTTGAAGAGTCAGCTTATTTTTGGTTGTGCACCAATTCTGAGGGGCTACCAGCTTTGCATGCTTAAATTTACCACCCATAGGAATGTTTGCACCTTTTATTACCTCCAATTGCAACGCATCACTGAGCTGTCTGCCTTCAATACGATGCTGATAATTGTAATAAGACTCAGAACTTAAAACACAAACAGTGAGTCCTCCCTGTGCAAGGTAGGTTTTCTGTAATTAGTTCAGTGCATGTGGAGATAAAATAAATTCTCCCTGTATCCATGAATGGCAATAAAGAACTCTGGGACTGTGAGGTATGCTGTAAGATCTGCACAGATGAGTTTTATGGCCCATTGGATTCACATACACACAAATCTATGGGCTCCACAGAGGTGAATAGATCAGGTATAACAGTTGCAGCAGAGAGCAGTCATTTTTCCATTGCTGTATTGAACTAAAGTTACAAAAGATGTGGGCTTTTTTCCCTTCAGTAAATAAAATTTCTAACATTATTTAGCAGGTACGTAAAAACAGATAGAAAAACATGTGAAGCCAGATTGAAGGGGATTTTAAAATAGATGGGCTGAAAGTGACCCTTCCTGGATTTGCATGTATTCTCTATCTAAAGTGTCAAAGGCATTTGCTCCTAACTAAAATCATGAGTATGATCTGCTGCCTTGGAAAATACTTTTTGATTATTTTTTTTTCCAGGGGGAATACAGAAAGGTTTTTCTGTTTGTTGCAGAGAAATTGGAATGTGTTTTATTGCTTAGCTCCCTGCTAACTGGATTTCTTGTTTTAGGTATAGGAGCTACTGATAACCAGACAGAGCAAGTCCTCAATGACACATTTAGCTATCAAAATGTTCAATATAAAATAATTCTGAAGAATTTGACGTGGAATGATGCAATGGCTGCATGCATCAATCACAAGATGCAGCTGGTTAGCATCACAGATCAGTTCCAGCAGGCTTCCCTCGCTGTTCAGGCTGCCCTTCATGATTTCCCACTGTGGATTGGACTCTTCAGCAGAGATGTAAGTTTTATTATCCCTTTGTATTGTGGCTTACGGTACTTTTTAAAGTTGTATGAAATAGCAACTGGGATAAAGAAATGCAGAGATAAATGAGTTTTAAGGATAGCTTTTCTTTTAGTGATAATGACCTGGAGGGTCTCAAGGTTAATGTTCTGAATCTTCAGTTCTCCAAGTTATGTAGTGAGTTGTTGGTATTTGCTGAATGGATTGATGAAGAAGAGACTTTCTTTTAAAAGATCATACCATAAAAGGATATGTTGTAGGTAGCAGCAACACAGGTTGTGGAATTACCTTTGTCTCTTTTGTTAAAGAAATGAAATTGATACTGCCGTTTGATATCATCACCATTGTTTACAGTACCACTGTAAAAAGACTCAAAATCAGTTTAAAAGGGAGAATCTAGAAGTGACAAAATCCAAAATGAATCATTGGACTCTTTTGGAGATATTTACTTAAACTTGGTCCATTACTTCATGTTATTTTTGTTAGGTTCTGCTTTATTGCTTTATGTTTATTATCCAGAGAACCTCTGGTGTACATGTAGAGCTTCCTTAGCTATTAATGCTATGAAATGGGTTGGACTTGATTACAGAGTTGGGTTTTTTTTATTTTTTTGTGTGTCCAACAGTTTTGTCTTGAGATAACTCCAAGAAAAATGTTAAAAGTGGTTTGAAAAGTGCCTCACAAGAAAGACTCATCATGCTCATTTGGCATCTATGCTGTTATGATCTTCCTGTGTCAGTAAAGGGCTACTGAATATTCTAGGCAAAGCAGGGGAAAAATAGAACTTAGGGTGTATGCTTCACGGAGAATACTTTTTAAAAGGAAACAGGCATTTGATCTTGATGAAGAGACCAGAACAACTTACTTTCCCTCCTCTTTTGCATCTTTATCTGCAAGCGAAGATCAAATGATTCATTTTGCTGTGTACAGCTCAGACATGCAGTAGCTTTTCAATATTGCAACACTCTGTTGTTTGGGCACAATTAAAAAGTCAAATGAAAAGAAATTCTAATGAAACTGGTCAACAGAGCTTGTTATTCCAGTGCTGGAATCTTACACACAAAAAAATACAAAGGATATTAAATTACAAAGCGTGAGGGGGATTTCCAGAACACCTTAAATGTAGGGTTCTTAAAGGATAGCATGATTGTTGTATATCTTCTTATTCCTCCTGTATCCTCCAGGGTAAAAACACATCTAGTTTATTAAATTAGTGAAATATCTAATAGATTACTTTCGACTCAGTGTGAAGAAAACTGAGTCTGGGCCTTGTTTTCAGATGTTATCAGTTTTCCAAAATAAGATAATTTCATCTGTCATTGATTTACAGGTGCATATGATATAATTTGGACATCTCTTAGCCAGGCCTTTCTCCACAGCATAGTTAAACAAAAAAATTGCTGTTTTAATTCAACTAATCCATTTTCTTGCGATTGCAATTAAAATAATGATTGAAGTAACAACCAAGTTGTGAAATTAGTCTAACCATGAGGAATTCACAGCAAAGACAGACACTGTGAGTGCCACCCGTTCAGCACTTTCTGGACTTTCTGTACCTTATATGTATATTTTTTTACTAAATAAGCTCACCCCTTTCACTTAACAACGGTAGGGTGGAAAGCATTACGGCTGGTTGGATGGGAAACATGTAAGCTTCAGTCGCTGGTCTGAAGATGATGAAGAGACAAGCGAAGAGTGTGTGTATTTGGATACTGATGGCTTCTGGAAAACTTCTGACTGCTACTCTGAAAATCGAGGTGCTATTTGCTACTCATCAGAAAGTATGTATCTGAGCACAATACTTCCAAAAGCTGCATTTACAGTTAAATATATTTGGAAATTGCAGACTGTAATTTCAAAATTAAAATTTTTTTTTTATTGCGCTCCCTGAGGCAGACTTCTTTAAAATAGGATTAAATGCAGCTGTTGATCATAATCCACAAGTTACTTACAAGCGAATTCAGCGTGAATGCTTTGGGCCACAGTGTAGCTTTTATATCATCAGCTGGTTGTACTGGCTGCACTGTTTCCATAAGACTGTGGCATATTCACCTCTCCCACTTGCATATAGAAGAAGAGTCCGCTAGCTCGGTACTATTGTATTATCAACATCTTGACACTGAGATCTCCAACATCTTAATATTGAGACCTCCAGAAATCTCTTATGTGACTGAAGTCTATACAGAGGAGACACACATGGCTGTACTGAAGAGAAAGGCAACAGGTAGATGCCAAATTAAAAGGCGTACATCAAAGTCATCTTCTGTTCACATAAGCCGTTCTAAATATGTACATATTATAGCAGGACAGCTTTTGGGTGGGATATGTATGTAGCATGACCACTTTCTCAAAAATGAAAAGATCTCAGAGAGATTGTCACAGATTTATTCCCAGTGAACCATTATGTACTTCTTTTATTTAGGGAGAAGCCATTGCTGTACATCCTGAGTTACAGCAATATACTTGGTGATATGGCATCCCTAATTAATTGGTTCTCTCACTCAGCAGCTGCAAGAAGAATTATTCTCACCTACCCAGTATTAAATAAAGCCACAGAACTGGGATGTGTTGCCAGCTATGGCATCTATAACACTTACTGCCATTTTTGTTATGTAAAGAAATAAATCAAACCACAAACAAATACTTCACTGCCACGAAGAAACTGAGAACAGTAATGTATTACACATTTAAGGATGGCATTTCTATTTTTCATGCATGTTTGTGAATGCTGCCTGAAAACTGTTGTTTGTGAGATTAATTGTTAAAATAACATCATGTTCTGATTGTTTGCCTTCCCTTCCTTAGAGAAGAATGAAAAAGAACAAGTAACACAAGTTAAGTGCCCGCATAAGATTAAAAATACACCCTGGATATCATTTAGAAACAACTGTTACACTTTTATGATAACAAAAAATAGATGGCGAGAAATGAAGTCTCAAGAAGCTCATCATTTATGCAAGAAAATGAGTAAGTATTTATTCATACTGTGGGTATTAAAAACATACCAGCTTAAGGGAGACGAGTTACAGATCTGAGTTGCTGTTTTCAAAGGACAGCAAAATCAGCAGTTAGGGAGGCTGCAGCACTTGGGAACGTGTACCAGTGCTGCACTGCCTGATGCTGTTTGTGCTTGCACTGCTCTGATTAGAAATGTTTGAGAGGGAATTGATTAGGAATTACTGAATTCTGAGAGTTTTAATAAATGGAAAATGCCTGTTCTTTTTTTTATATAAAATCAGCTGATTTTAAACAGTTTGAGTAATTGTTTTGCCCTTTGCAGCACTCTGGATTTTCAATCACATTTCCTTTGTTTTTCATCTTCTTTCTGTGGAACACTGGAGTGAACAAAGTAAACAGGCTCAGAACAGTCCAATTCAGGAAAGCACATGGTTTTTTCTTGTCTGCCCTGAATGAAGCAGATACTTACAAAGTTTCCCTCTTATGTTAAATAATTGCTCCTGGCACACATGTGCACGCTTCTTGCCATATACTGATTTTTCATGAGTTGATTTCATTTCAGTCTTTTTTCTTGTACAGTATTAAGATAAACAGTATGAAAAACATTGTGAAAGACTGATGATATTTTTATGTTCTACACAGACAGTTCTTACTACAAGAAACTCTATGTGATGGTAGAACCCATAAAAATCTCCGGTGCCGAGTCATTCACTTATCTAAACCAGCCTGAACTGAGGGAAGCACTGCTGATAACACCTTTGATAATTCTTTTTCCCTCACTTCACAAAGAACATTTGGTTCTTTTGTCTTGCTTTTACTTTTTTTTTGATCTATCTTAGTAATTATTAACAGTTGTGAAAAGGTAATTTATGTTGTAAGTGAAAGATGAATCTGTAAGAAAGTAATGTGAAAAAAAATTTCAACAGACCCAGAAGCATTTGTTCTGAGTGTTCGAGATGAAGAAGAAAACAATTTTGTTACTGAGCAGCTTCATTCATTCAGTGGTCTGGCAGTGTGGGTCTGGCTGGGTGTCATTTACGATGATAGTGGTGAGTTCTACGTTTTTTTTTTTTTTCTGTTTTTTTCTTTTTTTTTGTAATAACTGGATTGAAAACAGTTTGCAGCATTAAGTGCTTCTTGCGTGCTTCAGTATACAACCAAAGTCACACTGAATGCAAACATACAATAATCATTTATTTTTGTATTTATCTTCTAGAAGAAAATAACTGGACAGGCTTTCTGTCTGAGTCATAATTAGATCCAGTATGTGCTGTTTTGTCTAGATTTGATTTCCCTGGAAAGCAGGATGTTGGCCTGGATGAGTAATGCTAACATATTTAGCATTGTATACAGAAGCAATTTACAGTAATTTAGAGCCCGGCTGATTTTTTTTCCAAAGTGAATATCTGCTAATGTCCTTAAAAGCTAAATGATATTTGTACACATAGTGCCAATGTTTTGATAAGTACACAATATTTTCCACAGATAAAGTTCTGAAGTGGTATGATGAAACTCATCTGACTTACAATAACTGGAGGCTGGGAAGACCGATCATAAAGAAGAACAGCTTTTTTGCTGGTGTAAATCTTGATGGTTTCTGGGATATTTATAATTATTCTCAAAGTTGGCAAGCTCATCACTATAATGTGTACAGTATTCTCGCCTGCAAAATTGAAAGGGGTAAGTGGTGGAGTGTTGGATGAGGGTCATAATTTAAGTCCTGGTCCTGCAGCACCTCCTGCGTATACAAACACAAGGCTTTGGTTTTCTTCCCACTGAAACACGTGGCACAGCTGTCATGGGCTCTTGTGGGCATACAGCCAGTCTGTGCCTAACTGCTGTGATATTCTGATCAGAATGAATGTGTTTGCTGTATTCTACCATCAACTGCTTATGGTGTTCAGAATACCAGAAGATAACTTACACGATATAAGCGGCTTGAATTAAACAATCTGACTCTTGAATTGTTAAAATCCAGCATTGTTACAGCTGGTTTTTAATACTTCCATGTGTACCTAGTCATGTGACTGAAATGCACAGAATTTCTTATCTTCTTTTTCTTTGAAATAGGACCCCAGCAGCACAAGCCTCCGCTGCCTGAGTTTATTCCACACGGAGACACAACATACAGAATCCTTCAGAAAAAGTTAACGTGGTATGATGCAGTGAGAGAATGCAAACAAAATATGAGTGATTTAGCAAGTGTACACAGTGAATCACAGCAGTTATTTCTGGAGGATATTGTCAAGCAGGATGGCTATCCACTGTGGCTTGGGTTGTCCATTCATGATGTAAGTATGTACTTTTGGTAACCTCAGTAAAAGAGTTTGTAAATAATTCTCTGCACAAAACATGAAATATTTTCTTCTGGATTTGTGGAAGCTCTATTTTTATGTAATATATGTTAAAGTATATTAAGTTGCCATATATAGAGACACACTATTGCTAGTTCTGAATCTTTGAGAATTGAAAGCAATACAATCAGTTGGGCAAGGATTTATGGAGCCTGTTTAGTGCAGGTCATGTCTGGCTCTTCAAGGCTCTATAGGAAGTTGTGCATCTCTTCTCCCATGAGACAGCTACAGATCTTATTCCATCTCTGGTTTATCCTTGAAGCAGGAATGTGTGTTCCCAGCCCTGCTTCCTGTACTGCTCCCCAGGGCTGCCTCCAGAACTGGTAGTGGGAGGTAGTTGGCAGAGAGAGCAGAAGCATGACTTCTACATGTACCCTTGCTGTCTGTGCCACTCTTTTGGTCTTGAATGAGTCCCTCCACTTCTCACAACTGTCTTCATTATCTAGGGTTTTCAGCAGTGTATCTGAAGTGTGAGCTGATGTTGCAAACAGATCCTGAGCCAACCAACTCTACTCACTGCAGCCCAGCAGTTAGCAAGTCTAGTAATGCTCATATCAAGGAAGATAGGCTGCTTAAATGAAACAGCAAGATTAAATTAAGATGTTCCCCACAGAATAATCAGGCACACCGGAAGTTTAAACTTAAAAAGATACCATATTTTTTCAGTTAGTGGAAGTAGCTAGGATTTCAGTGTTAAGAATTGGTTGGAAAATGCTGTTTTACACATTTATTCAGTTAGGATAGAGAGGGTGAGACACTTGTATTTTTACTGATTACTCGCTGATGGATAACTATTGCTACATGACTTACTAATGACTGACAAGCATAAAACCACAACTGTATGCAGCGGCTTGAAAATTTAAGTTTTTTCTTTTCTTTACTTAGGGAAGTAAAGCTAATTTTGAATGGTCAGATGGAAGCAGTTTTGACTATTATCCGTGGGAACTAGAAAACTCAAATATGACTGAGAACTGTGTTCTGTTGGATACTAAAGGATCTTGGAACCGTGCAAAATGTACAAGTGTTGCTGAAGGAGCCATTTGCTATAGCTTTTCAAATGGTAAGTGCAATGTTTTAAAATATTTTCTGCGGCTGTCTTGTGTATTGTTTCTTTACATGCTTTAGTTAGAGCTGCAAGACCGTGTTGGGTTACTTCTTTAAGAATTTTCTATCAGGAATGATGGAATGCTTTTAAATATATGATGGAGATTTATTCTCTCCATTCTACTGAAGAAAATCCTGGTCATCTCTTGGTCACCTGTGGTGTATCAACTCTTATGTATCTTTTTCTGAATCAAAATCTGTATAATACACACTTCAAACTTTGAAACGCCCTATAAGGCAAGAGGAAAGATAGTTCCCAAGTCTTTGGGACTTGTTTTGTGTTCTTTTTCAAGTAAATTCATTTACTGCGCAGTGAAGAAGGAAGGTATTCTAATTGAATCGTGATGCTGGTAAGACAAGTAGTTCTTAATGATATTTACTTTCCTGCTACTGAAGCAAAGAAACTGCACAAACTCCTTTAGGAGAAGTAATTCCAATATCTTTATCTTTCCAGAGAGGCAATCAGAGCAAAACCAAGTGAGCCAAGCTTCAGGATGCTCGCAACTCAGTGGAGAACTACCATGGATACAGTATAAGGATCACTGTTATGCGTTTGACATGGCTTTCTACAATTTTTCAGTATATAACATTGAAGATGCTAAGAAAGTCTGCAAGAAACTGAGTATGTTTAGACTCTTACCACATTACAATCTATAACTAGTCCTCTGTACCAAAAGAATTAAAAAGCAAAACTAAAGAACCTATACTAGTTAGACTTCAGCTTTTCAGCTCTACTTAATTTAGGAAAAACAATAGCTAGTTTTAGCTTTGAACATCTCAATAAGCTTCTTGGCAAGTGGATGCCCATTGACAGAAGATTTAGAAATTTGAGGCTAAAGGTTTGGAGGAAAACACTGTATTTCTATACAAATAGGTTTATTTGAAATAAAATTTGTGCTGTTAGCAGTGCTTTTTGTTGGAGGCTTTCATTAGCTGCGTTCAAAGATATCCCTATCAAATAGTCCAGAACACATACCTTGTAGGTATTATTAGGGCACATGATGTCACTGAAAGTATTAATTCTCTGTCAAATGAAAGGATTTTCTCTCCTATGTGGGGACTGTATTGCAAATGATAATTTTAAGCAGCCTCGTGTGCAGAATCTTTGAACTTCTTACTTCAGAAGCTAGTGACTGTCATAATGTTTTGTCATTGTATGATGTGAAGTTAAACTCACTAAGTAGAGGAAGAAGAACAAGTGCTAACAGACCCAGTTCTGAATGCAGCGTTCTATTCAGTCCTGCCTGGCCTACTGATTGAAAAAGAAAGTAATCTTTCTCTAAATTAAGATTCTGGCTTCTATTTGCATATACTGGTAAAGAATGGGTATGCTCTGAGCCTGTCCCCGTTGTAGCTTTTCCCTCTCCTCACTCCTTAACTGCTGTAACACTGCATATGAAAATCTGAGGTACAGTGGGGGATTGATTTAGAAATTAACTTTCCTCAGCAAAATGCTGAATAGTTCTTGCAAATGCTGAGCTTTTGTTCAAGTAAATTCTTAAAAAGTGCTTATCACTTGGACGAGACTAGTAATTCTGAATCAGGGACATATCTTTTGGTATCTTCCACGTAAGTATTGTACAGCTGCAGTAAGTTTACACCATTTTATTTTATGTGACCTGCCAGAATAACCAGTCACCTGAAATTGTCTTGCATAACGTTACACTGTATTTGAGGGAAGGAGAATGTCTGTCTTCCTTCTGCTGGTTACTTCAAATTAATGTTGTAAGCGCAAATCAGCAAATCTTTTCCTATTATATTTGTTCCTGCAGAACACTTCATGTATGAGCACAATGAAAACCGCTGATGTTACAATTCTAACCATTTTTCTTTTCCCCTTAGGTCCTTCAGCAGCCCTTCTGACCATAGGGGATGCTGAGGAAAATGCATTTGTGAGCACACACATAAAGAAAAATGATCTAATTACTAGGAAAGTATGGCTTGGACTGACTCAGAGCTCTAAGGGTAAGGAGCAGCAATCATTATGAGTGTTTCATGTAGTAAAAAAAAAAAAATGCGTAAATCCTCAAATAGTTGTATAGTATTGGTAGCCCACACTAACTCCTGCCTGAGGTTGGTATCCCTCATTGAGCAGTGCAGAGCACTCTGGATTTCTCCATATATTAAATCTCTTCCTACTGCACATTTGAGATAATCAGGAATAAGTGACATTGATTTTCTCCGACACTGTCATTGATACCTAATGGTGATGTCATTTCTATCCAAATACATCAGATCCTAAGGATCTGAAGGAGAGGTGTGGCTAAAAGTGACATTTGTATTTATTGCTTTCAATATATGGGGATATATATTGTCAGCTCTGTTTCTTTTAGCAGTGTAAAGAAATCAGCAGTTTGTGAGCTACCTTAGTGTAAAATTAGAGAACGTTCTGGTGACCTAACTAAGCAAATTTTTCTCAATAGATCAGTCCCTGCACTGGCTTGATGGCTCATCAGTCAATTATGCCAACTGGGATAACAGAACCGCAGAACTCAGTGAAAGATGCAGTGTTATCGTGTCCACATCTGGCAAGTGGTCCAAAGTTGACTGCAGTCGTAGTCAAAGCAGAGTGGTTTGTAAAGCTCCTTTAGGTATGGGAACACCGATTTTAGCAGATGCTAAACGTTTCAGTGACTATATTCAGGATTTTCTTTTTTTTTGCTGGGGGATGCCTTTTTTAAGTAACTAGAATGCAATTCATGAAAGAACCTTTCAATAACTGCCTTAAGCAAGAGCCTTCTGTGACTGTTCTGCCTGAAATTGCATTCGCCTAAGATCATATACTGAGAAACCAGGGGACAAATTTTCTAGAAATTTGCTTCTCCATGCTTCCGCTGTCCATTTAAAGGAGAGGATTTAAATTTCCTCTTAAAAGGCAGCATAGAGTAGTTGCTGTGGCTTTTCTTTTTACCACAGGGTATCCTTCATGGGTGAATCTGTGTGGGTAGGAGCAGAAAGACTTCTGTATATAAGAAATGTTGAGTAAACAGGTACTGAATATTTGTTTTCAGTCTTGAGGAGTCTTCTGAAAGTGGTCCCACAGATCCAAAAAGACTTGGGGAGTATTTTAATGACTCACATTTTGCTCTGCCTGGGAAAGGAAACAATTACCTGAGCATTAAGCAAATTCCTGAGAAGCAGTGAAATCTTTATGATTTTGTATGCATTTTCACATAAGTGCAGGAATAGATTCAATTTAGCTGTGCTAAGGAAGACCTCAACAGGATTTTTTCAGTCCAATGGGAATATAATTTCCCTCCAACTGAAGAGGACCCAGGAGCACGTTCTTGAAATACACAGACTTCATAAAAACGAAACACCTGTTCACGCTCTTTTTCACCACACCACTTACAGGATAGGATGTATCATATTGCTTGCTTGACATGAGTGCAGAATTTCTGGTGCAGCAAACTAGTAGGGTGTTTTTGACCTCCACAGGTCCCTTCCAACACATCACAATTAGAAAACTAACAACTGAATTATTAAAAATAAAGAGATAATAATTTATACTGGAAACAAACTTCCAGTTAATGAAAGCTCCTAACCTGGGGAACCAATTGGCCTTGACTTAAGCCAAATGATATCTGCATAAATCTACAGCATTAGTGTATAGCTAGCTAAACATTAACCCTGTAAAAATAATATTTTTACCAAGGCTCTCAGAGAATAATTGTTTTTCTTTTTTTTTTACAGGTTCTAATCACACTGGGGTGGCTGTAGCTTTTGCCCTGCTAATTATCTTAGTCCTTGTTGTTGGATTAGTGTGGTTTATCTGTAAAAAGAAGCGTCTTCACTGGAGTGCCTTCTCTTCAGTACATTATCAAAGAGGGATAAATGATGATGAAGCTGATGATGTGTTCACAAAAGATGGCTATTGAGAAGAACTGTTCCTTCTAGGCAATTTAGCATGAACTTCACTGTGTGAAGCCGTAAGGACTGAATTACTTGATGTTTTGTTACTTCTTTTTGAAAAAGTAATAAGGTTATTAACGGGGGCTGAGTTTTGTTCCTTTATACAAGTGTGCAATTTTTATTCGAACCCACGGTAATGATTTACATTTGGCCTCAGTTGTTTAAGGTACAAGGTTTTTGGAGTTGTGTAATGTATTTTAGAGTATTATTTTCCATCTCTTTACTGGAAAATGTTTTTAATTAAATAATTAATGACGACTTACTTCATGCAACGTCACCTTATTGAATGCATGTAAAGTAGCCTCATGAATTCTCTAACTTTGTACAATTTTCACTCAGTAACTCCAGGCCAATTATGTGCCATTTTGGTGTGTTAAGGATTCTGCTGCTAGTTTTGGATTATCTAGCTAGAACAGAGAGGATAAATGCTTGGTGTAGCAACTTTTGTGGCAAGCTGTTATAAATTTTTTATATAGTAGGAGAAAAAGGAGTTATCAGACAACAAATTTAAATTTAAATTTCTAGAAGGAAGATAATGTTGTTACTTTCTCTCCCAAATTAATAATAATAATTAAAAAGCTATACTGGTGAGATAAGAATATTGGAATGCACAGAGTTACGGAAGATATCCTGCACTAAAGATGTGCCATTTATGAGTAAGTTTATTAATAAATGTAGAGTATTTTATATTTGAGACTGTGACAAGCTGGCAGATCATGGCACAGCTATCAGAACTGCCCAGTATGGGCTGACTGTAAGTACAAGCAGAACTCAAGACAGAAAGAGCCTCAGCCTTGTGAAAGCAAAGGCATGAATGTTGTGTTTTGTCCTGTGATATAATTGTTAAATAAATCATTCAGTTTCTTTTACCAGCACCACAGCACCTTTAACAAAGGTTTAGAAGCACAAATAGCAGAAATGTTTACAGTGAAAATCAGTATCTAGACATAAGCATACAAAATTAAAACATTTTTAAGATGCACTTTTAGAGTAGCATTTAGAGGAAGAATTATTCCATTCTATCCCATGGCTTCACAATTCTCTGAAATTAGACCTGTGTGACTTTCTTCTGGATAAAACAGAAAAGACCTTCTCCATTTTATAATCTGTTGCAGTGTGACATCTGAGGATGGGAGTGTTACAGAGACTGTTTTATGTTCTTTAATGAGATCCTTCTGACATTTTACCTCCAGTAATACTGTTGGTTTTTATTATGGGTAAATGCTTAACTATATAAAGCGGAATATGTGTTATCTGTTGAAGAAATAACAGAGATATATCTAAGGAAGGAATGAGGAAGAATGGATGGTAAATTAAGTTGTGTATGTAAATGCTAAAAATACTTGAGTATTTTACATAAAACTTAAACTTGATTTTTGTATGTGATGTGATCTATGCACTCCAAAGAAAGTTATAAAGGGAAAAGGGGAAGACAGCTTTGTACATATTCTAATAATTTGATCAATGTTTTGAAGAAGCTGTTAGACTTCTTCAGAACACAGTACAAAGAAGAGATGTTTACTTTTATGAAGGCGTATATGCAAAAGACCAAATCCATCCCCTGTGTAGTAATAATGGTGTGATATGATAAATAGGAATACATTTGGTCTGACATGCTGAAAAGTGTACTACTGATTTCTCTGGAGCAACATTGCAAGGTCATAATGTTCAGCTGCCTTATTTCCCTGCAGTTTACTGAAATTGACAGCACTTTCCTTTGTACCTGTTTGCACTATTTTGATAAGCAGGTGTTTATCATCTGTACTGATAATAGAGAACCTCTTGTAGATATTACTTCAGTACCTGTTGAAATAGCAGAGTGAAGGAGCATAGCCAAAGAAACGTCATGTTAGTTTGCTGATAAAGAAGTAAGCACTTTGTTGTTTATTTGGTACTTGAGCACAACTGTGACTCCTTTCTTCTATCTTGATGGTAGTTGCTTTGCTAAATGATTTCTAAATTAATGAACTAAAAAAAAGTGTTCCATTGTCCTTTTCTCACAGCAGTAAGAAGTGGGAAAATATTTCGAAATTCCTGTTTTGAAATTTACTAGTTTTACAGGTGTTTATACTTTGAACGTTTTTAGTTGTGAAGTTGAAAGTGAAAATTAGTGAAAAAAAAATCGTAGTTACCCAAAATATAAATATATACTTTTTATAATTAACATAAATGTATATTTTATTCTTATCAATGATGTAAATAATTTTGTAAGGCCCCTTTTCTATGTTTGTTTCATCATACCCAAGTTGTCTCATCACTGGTAATTCTCATTTGAACAAGCGCAGCTGCCTTAGTGCAGGTGAATAACCCACCTCACTTGAAATACACAGCGAGATTATTACTGAAAGAATAAAGCTAAATGAAACACTAAACTGCTTACACTGCTTTTATTTCCAGGGAAGCAGTGATCGGAGGTAAGGTACGGCTTGTTAACCACTGCATAAAAAAGCACGTAGTAAAGGGGCTGTGACTGCAATTAAACCAGATGAATGCTGCCCCTGTCAGGAAAAAGGAGAGTTCATCAAAATCTTTTTCATATATTGAAAAGGAATATCAGTAACTTTCCAGCTTAAAACATTAATTATGCCTAATTTTTACCAAGCTGCTTGCACAGTCCTGCCAGTCATAGAAAGGCTGAGGTACACCTGGCTCTTAATTAACTTAATTGATACAGCTGTCAACCACAAGTGCCTACACAACTGCTGTAAGGCTTTAAATGATGTCCCGTTATGACACTGTTGTTGCTGACTGTGAAGCTCGGTGGGATATGTAGAGCCGGTGCTCATAAACAGAATGAAAGTGACCTTTTATCAAGGCAACAAAAAGTTCTTATTGACCAAATTATTAAGTGGACCTTCCCTAGAGCAGTGGTGGGGCGGGGGAACACCAGTTTGGCCCCAGTCGTAACCACACGCAGCGCCAGGCGCGCAGCCGGGGGTAACGCTCAAAATGGAGGCAGCGCTGACATCGGCAGAGACATCAGGCAGCGCGCATGCGCAGTGTGGGCGGTGCGGGTGCCGTCTGGTCACGCTGCTGCTCCTGCTTTGTGCTGCTGCTCCTGCTTTGTGCTCACGCTTTCCGAGCCTCAGATCTCTCAGTAAACGCCGCAACACGGACACGCAGTGCCTGAGCGAATAGAGCCTGTGCAATCCAATAATTTATTCAACTTTCATCTTGTAAAGCCAGTTACAAATGAAAAAAAAAAAAAAAGAAAAAAAGAAAAAAGACAGCAGAAGGAATTCTGTAATAGAAATGAGCAAAATTACAACAAATACTAACGGGAGTTACATTCCCAAGTGGGTTCAAGCTGCCTGCAGCAACCCCAGAGCCAGAACACGGGAACAGTGCAGAGCTAGGACAGGGATAACCGAGGCTGTTCTGATACAGCCACGTAGTAGCGTGCAGACCCATACAGCATCACGGCTCAGGCTGCCCATGCACTCACTGTGACCCAGCCGTCTGTTCCTCGTGGTACAAAGGGGATGTCCATAAGGTCCTTCTGTAAAGCTGTTTAAGGCAAAACTCCAGTTGGAAGTGCAATACACAGTGGTGGCTGTCCTTGTAGGCTGGCTTGTGTGGCAAGTGGGCAGGGTTTGTACGTGCTGCAGTGGGCGTGGGAGGAGAGAGAAGCAAGATTCTGCACTGTGGTTTATCTTCGTGCAGCATGGGGCTCAAAACTACACTACTCCGTGAGAGTTTTAGTGAAATGGCAAAAGCCCAAGGTGAATTTGAACCAAACCTGGTGCATGGTGACTCCTCATTTTCTGTTCTGTGAAATTTCTCTTTCACAGCTAACAGGCCTTAAAATGCCCCCATTTTTCTTCCTCCCAGAAATGGGAACATCTGATTTTAAAACAAACCTGCAATCTTAATGATTCTGTGATCCTATGGCCCACATCACATACTGCCTTCCAGCTCCATTAGGAAACTGAAAGGGCCTTGACAGTCCAGGACCCCAAGTCCAAAACAAACTGCCTAACCTGAAGGCTCCTTGATCGCTAATGCAGCCAATTTACAATGTAACTAATTATACCCAGTACTATTTAAACCGATGACAGTTGTCTTCAGTCTCCTGCTTTCATCTTTCACTGAGGAGGAAAAATTTTTGCTTCTTCAAATTGCAAGTAGTTATTAAACCCTCTAAGTGGTTGTTTCAGCAAAACAACATGATTTTCAAGTTTTGCTGCTGAGTAGGGACCTTGAGGGGACTGGAAGGGGATTTAGGGATGGAAGCAGTTCAAATTAGAACTCAACAGAGAATGAAGGAGTTGGCATTTGTTTACACTAGTACAGAGGAATTACATCCTTGCCTATAAGAGGTTATCTAGGCACCTATTCATCAGTAGGAAACAGTTTGTCTAAAACTAAATTTTGGGATCCCAGTCAGCATAAAATCCCATCTAGAGAAATAAGGAACTTAATGCAGGCACTGAAATCTCTGACTTCTGTCCAGAACCCCAAGTTTGTGAAGAACAGATTTTTTTGGAAATGCAATTAAATCAATCTCACCTTTTCAGCTGTACCAGGGAGAAGGCTGTCATTAATTTTTAGACAACAGATGCCACGTGGAATGGACTCAGAATGGCAGCTGACAAGGTATTTCAGCAATGCTAGGCCCCAGTATTTTCTTCTACAATGGAGTATTCAGAATTTTTACTTAAAGTGCCATTTCTTACATATATGTACCTGTGACCATACCCTGGGAGGTAACAACTCACCTTACATGTTTTTAATTGTTTGTTTAGTGGTCTCTCACATAGTGTTTGACCTCTTAGCTGGACGGTCTGGCTTCAATTGCAAAAAGGCTTTTTTTAAAAAAAAAAAACAAACAGATCAGATCATTAATATATCCTGAAGAGAAAACCCTAGTGACTTATTTTAGAGTTGCCTACAAAATAAATAAAAACAAAATATTCTCTTTGCAGCCCATACTATGGTCCCCTGATCCCAGATGTTTGCATATTGAATATTTCCAAGGAAGCTGAAGCCTGCCTCCTGTAGTCCAGATTCCTGTGGTTTTGTTTCCACCCACATGACAGGTAGTTGTGGAAGCAGCAGAGAGGACAGGCAGAAGGAAGATGCTTCTGTCTTTGCTTCTTTAAAAGGTACACTGTTCATCAGACAAGCCAGGGAAAACAAGGTTTGGGCTGTTAATATTTAACAAGTTGTTACTGTTTAATGTCTTTGGACAGAGGTGCAAATCCTAGGTACTGCAGATGCCACTTCAGTTTGTAAATACAGTAGTCACTCAAGTGGAGTTCTTAAAAACATCTTTGCTACACTTATGCTGGCAAGTTGCCAATACCAATTATCAAACATCTGCCTCTCTTTCATGGCAGTCCATTCATATCACCTAGTCCAGACGCTGGCACGACTGTCCACACTGGTAGCTGATTTGACACTGCAGCGTTTCTTCACTATCATGTTGATGTATGCTTTCATGATCTTTATTATCTCACCCACCTAGAGAAGAAACACAATGAGATAAGCACATTTATGAGGTATTCCCATTGATAAGATCAGATGTTTTGCAGAAAGTTCTTATTGAGATCGTGATAGTTATATACCAAAAAGACCTGGACAATGAAAGCAGGGATAATGACAGGCATGTAATTGTTTCTTTACAAATAAGTTTTAAAAATATTGTTATTTTCTATTTGGAAAAGCCTCCCTAGATTACTCTAGCATGTTGCTTAATGCACAAGCTATAAATGAACAGACCCATGTCACCTCTGAGATTCATTTAGGATAGAGAGTTAATACAACAGTTAGAGCTGTGATTCTGCTGTGACCATACATCAGCACCTTTTAATGCTTGACAAGTTTGTGCTCTGTTTTACTGACCTCTATAAGCCTCAACTCAAATAAAAGCATGTGTAACGCTTCCAAACATTTTTTTTTTTTTTTTGTAATTTTGTGAAGTCCCAACTTATAAACCGAAAGGGAATGACGTAATTGAGCACCCAAAATTTGAAATTCCATGTGCCCTCGAAGGCCACTCCATCTCTTTCAGTTTCTAACCAGCATCATTCCTTTGTACATCTCTGTATTCAAGACCAGGTACTACAATACGTTAGGTTTAAGCTTCCTTCATCCTTTTCCTTGGCTGTCCTGACCATTCAGCAAGAGCTCTCACATATAATCTTGTCTAGTCCTCAGAAATTAGGGCTTTACTGGAGTGCTAGTAAAAGTGCACCTGCAACAAATGCTTTTACACACCTGGGATGTTTCAAAGAACATTTCTCTCTCATCCACTGTAATTTTGAAGGTGTTGGGCTGTGGTGCTCCAAAGAAAACAATGTGCTCGTACTGGAAAGTCTCCAGAGGCTTAGGATCTCCACGTTTGTAGACAGACACATTCTCTGTGCTGACTCCAAGCCAAAGATCATTTGGAAAGCCTCCCTCCTTACACTGCAGAAACAGAAATCTTGCATCAGTACAAATGGAGGATTAAATCACCTTTAATACAAGGAATCTATTTCCAGTCACTGCAGGATATTTCATTTCTCTATCCCAATAGAAAAAGCCTACAGAAAGAAGCATCTAGATATTCCTGCCGCAAAGATTTAGGAGTGACATGGCTGTGAGTAAATACTAGTGGAGTAATAAATGACTTAGTACCTAACACTACTCATCATATTTAAAACCCATTATTTTACAGATACTTATATTATTTTACAGCAAAAACAGTAAGGGCACACAATCCTTCTAGGCAATCTAAATACAACTGAAAAATGGAGCTGCAGATTCCAGCTCTAGCAGGCTAATCCCAGCAGCCAAACTGACCCAGTTTGAGAGGTTTCTGTAGCACTGGTGCAGAGGAAGCTTGCATTTTTCGCTGTCAAATACAATATGGCTTCATTTTACTTTCACTCCACTAGCTATCACCTTCTTAAGCCTAGAAAAAATTCTCAAAAATGAAACTGGAATTTATTGTCTCTCTCAGTTAAGCAGGATGCAATGGTTTTCTTGAGCTCTGCATCACACCTTGTTGGGTATGTGGTACTACAAGCTTACTCTCAGCTTACTAAGACAGAATAACAACTTCTTGAAGTTCCCTTCTGCTGCTAAGCAATATCATACATGGAGCTGTATCTCTTCTCTAGACTGACCCCTCTCCTCGGCAGTAGTTAAATACATCTCTCACCTCAACATCAAAGAGGGTTGATCCATAACCTGGCCACTCCTTTACAATGGACATGTATTTCACCATGGCCTGATGCTGAGAGAGTCCCTGCAGCTTGGTCCATTTTTGTGCTATGCTTGCACGAGCGGCTGACAGCTCTTCCTTCACCCACATCTCCATCATCTGCTCTTCTTCTACCTTCTGCTTCTTTACAGAGCCTGTTTTGAAGCCACGTTTCAAGGTCCCTTCAAGGAAGCTGGTCCGTCTCCTCTCCAGAGTGTGACTGCTGGTGCCACTGCTCTTTGTGGAGTGCAGTATTTTGGATTTCAGTCTGTTAACTGGGTAGATTCCATCCAGACTCCAGCTTATTTTAGAATAATCTCCATGAAGGTACTGCAGCCGGAGTGCTGCCAGGCGCTGCAGTGTGTCCTCTGGTGCAGGAAAATGACCATCTATGAGGCTTTCATGAGCCTAAAACCAAGCAAAAAGTACCCCAGACTCATTAGGAAGCAGAAACATTATTCACAGCTGGGTCCATGTACAGATTCCTGTAGCATTTGTCCTAATACAAAGCCAATCCAAGAAGGAAAGACTTGTTTTTAATACTTCTATTCCCTGGAAAACTTCTCTGTCTATTTGCTTGGTAAACTCCAGACAAAAACTCGAGATAATAAATTCTTCAGTTCAGATTAGTATTCCCATTTCTAAAGCAAAAATAATCCACTTTTCTGTATACTCCAATGTGCTTCTGCCACCCTTGGAAACCAAGTCTGCTTGCTTACCTGCTCAAACATGAAAGCAAATTCCACTCCGTCTTTGGGAACATTCTCTATATCCAAGAAGCAATACAGTTTAAAATATAGCTGCCATTGCCCTTCCTCCTCTTCCTCCTCAGAGCCAGCAAGTCTGTAAGATAGGAAAGAAAAAAAAAAAACAAAAACAAAACTGTAACCTGAAGCACCTGAAGTACTAGGACATCCACAGTACAACTCATGCTACAGAAGTATCCCTGGATTTCTGAAGAAAGCACACAGAACTACCTAATGTGCCAGAACAATCTCAGGGCAACACAGCAGACTCCTCTGATGGCTTCCATTTTGCTCCTCTTAGTTAAATGAAATTTTGATTCAAAAGAACCCAAAGGTTTTATTCACATATGCTTGACCAACACATCACATCAAACAGATTAATTTTCATGTGTCTTCTAACTAGAGGAGATGAAGCCAATAACTTCAAAGGAAGTGGCACTAAGAGCTACATTGTTGAGATGGTCCCTAAGAACAGCATACATTCGTAAGTAGGGCAAACACAGTTACTCCTTGCAGTTCAGAAATGTCTACATAGACATCAAAGCAGCCACTGACGGCTATGACCAGACATTTCCAAACATCTGACAAGCAGCATCTCCATCTCCACTGCTTAACACTTTCATGCTATATCATTTCCTTGGACAAGGAGCTCACAGATGTATTCGTTTGTGTGGCCCGTATTAATCACAAAGATTACTATGCAAGAAAATCTCACTTTGATGGCGCTTCATTTTATAAGTTGTTTTGAACTGTTGATAGCCCTTGATACTTCTAAATGCATAGGTATTATGTAAGAATTGACTGCCAGGAGGCAGTATTCCCCTCTTACAGACAGGGAATGATCAAGACAGCACAGTGACTTAATCAGCCCTTCTCCGAGCTCTTCTAGAAAAGTATTACTCTTTGATAAAGGCATCACTAATTCTGTCCTGCCAAGGTAATGCTTTTTAATCACTGAAACAGATGTGAACATGGTTTTCACCACAGCGAGAAAGAGCACTTGAACCTTACCAAAAGGGAGTTCACACCAAAATGAATTCCTGAAACACTGCATCTCCTTTGGATAAAACTACCTGACTGTACTCTCATTTAACCCAGGGTTATGACCAACTGGGAGGTAAAGCAAAGATTCTGCAGAACATTTTTCTACCTCTCAAACTTGGCCAAGATATCAGCTACAATCACTCGACTCTCAACAGCACGGTCCACCTGCTGATTATGTTCAAAGAGAGCGAACATATTACGGCTGTCCTCCATTGCTAAACCTCGGATCAGCTTTTCAACCACCTGCAAAAATCAAGAGAGAGACAGGTTATAGTGTAGGTATTGCACATACTTTCAGAAGTGAGCTTCTCAGGGGGAAAAAGACATATGTTGTGTTCCTGGGGTAATGACTGCATGGATGGACCACAAGCAGCCATGAACAGAATAGAGATAGAATGGCGAGAGCAGGATGGGGTGATGGAAGCTGGCGTAGCTGGACTTCGGTCATTGGAACTACCAGTACACACAGCTCTGCTCAGCCCACCTCTGACAGCGGTATACTCAGGTATTCAGGAAAGAAAATATAAAATACTTTTCCTAAACCCCGAAAAACTGGAGCTGGATATAGAAAAGGAGTCCCATCAGCAGGCTCAGTACCTAGACACAGAGGAGTTCTTAGATGTGGTTGATGCTACAAATGCATTACCTCCCCAGCACTTGTATGAGAATTGATGGTGATTTTACAGGAGCCCCCACCATGGCAGTACACTGTTGTGGTCATTTCTTCACGGGTGAGAAGAGCCTGTATTTCCTCCTGCGAGGGCACAAACTCCCTTGTCTTTGTTCTCTTTAGGGAATCACTGATGAATTGTGCATATCTGTCTATTTCTGAGTCTGGAAAAAGGTCTTTTACCCTAATTGGAAAGAGAAGTAAAATAAGCCATTACACAGCAAAACAGAAAGCAAGAACATTACCAAATAACTTGTACTACTGCAGGTAGAGACATCAGTGTTAAACACAACTGCAGGAAGAGGAGCCCAGATAATTCCTGGAATTATGAAACCTGCTCCCACTGGTTACTGCAGTCACTTCAGTGGGATTTCCCAGGAGCATACGGGAAAAGAAGATCAAACTTCAAAGCATACAGTACAGCTGAAGACAGGAGAATCGAGTAGCTAAATTTACACAACTGAAATAAAGAAATACAGAACGGCATACAAATTTTTTCATGCTTAATTGTTTTTTTACTTTTTTTAGGCTTAACATTATGCACAAATCCAGTGATAAAAACACACAGTGGCAATATCGAGTATTGCTCAGCCTCTCTTAGAATAAGGCCTTGAACGTCCAAGAGGTTCAACTATTTGTGTATTTGCACAAATTTCAACTCACTCTTTCCTAGCTTGGAAGCAATCGAATAGACTTTACGGGCCTTTCTCATCATTTATCCCAGTATGAACTGCTTTGAAAAGCTGCACTGGATGCTGAACATAAATTGGGAAGAAATGTAAACAATTTATTTCACAAAAATTGGAGGATTAAGCAGATTAAAAATAAATATTGTAAGCATGATGTGCTTAGGTAGGCAAAAAATGAAAAACACTGCAAATCCAGTTGATTGTATCTGCTACTCCAGAATGCTCATTTTGCTTGTGGGTACTGCAGAATACCTCACTCAATGAATATGAGTATGTTCCTCACCTTTCTGCAGGTTCACTTCACCACGGGAAGAGAGTGGGACACATAGCTACAACAGACAGCGCAAGATAAGTAGAGAGAAAGGGAACAATGCAAATGAAAAGGACTTTCACCTCCTCAGGTGGAACTTGAGGTAGCGAAGGATCCCTCTGCTGGGCAGAAAAGTGCAGCTCATACATGCCATCAGCTGCCAATGGTGCAGGTTCCCAGTGCTGTTGGGATGTGGCATGTGATTCGTTTGTTTGATGAGCTGACAATACACTTCATCACGAAGAGGCTTCAGATCATGGCAGGTCTGAAGAATGCCTTGGATAATTGGTATGGGGTCAGACACCGTCTCAATCTCCTGAAGGGAGTTAAAGATCTTCACTGCTTCATCCTGCAAGCTGCTGTAACCCTTTTCTTGTTGCACTGGGGAACAATCACAAAGGCGACAAGAGGTGAGCATCTCCCTCTTCCTGCTGGCACAGCAACAGGATGGGCAACAACAGTGTGGTCTGTGATGGAAGAGCAACCTGAGGAGCAGCATTGGCTCATCTATTGAACTTACAATTCATTAACGCATCTACTTTATGTGTACAAATGCAGTTGTAAATACTATTTGCCAATATTTAACTTGTCACAACTGCAAATTCATTTCTGAATATCCCATACAGAAAAGAATAATTCTTTTCAAGGAAATTAATGTTGAAATCTAACTCATTTCAAGGAAAAAAAAAAACAAACAATACAAAACAAGTGATAAACTGATCACAAGTGCCGATCTATTCTTAGACATTACACTTCTTTGTTTGTTTCTGTGCTTTTAATATGTCATTTAATTTGATTCCTATATCCCAAACGGCAGTGAGTAGTTCTCCTCTTTCACTTTCTCTATGACATTCCTCCAGCCTTTTTTTTTTTTTTTTCTGATGCTGAAGAGTTCTTCTCCATTTAATCTCTTTGTTGGAAGCAAATCTTTCTGTGCCTTCAATAATCTTTGAACTTTTTTTTTTTTTTTTACTTCTGTATCTTTGTAACTGAAGGCCAAAATGCATTCTGTATTCAACATGCAAGTGCATGACACATCAATATAGCAGCATAAAGCTTTTCTCTTTTTTCTTTTTCTAAGCATTCAAACCTTAGCATTAGCTGTTTTGTTTCCCTGCTCAGTGTAAGAGCTGACATTTTCATAAAGCAATGTGAATTGGTGCTCGCTTCCCTAAGCAGAACAAGATCTCACAGACCCAAAACTGCTTTGAGTCAGACTGTTCTTCCCCAAAAGCATTGCTTTACGTACCTAGATTGAAATTAATTTCTGGAAATTCAGTCATTCTGCATTAAAAATTCTTCTATATGACACCTATACATCAGCAAATTTCAGTTGTAGCGTGCCAGACTGAGATCATCATCAAACATTGTCACCTCAGTGCTCGTCCCCTTTTCTACTTCAATTATGGATGTCAAACACTACCAGTGCTAGCACTGAAATCCTCTGACGACAACTCTCTTTTAGAGAACTGCATTTATTCCTATTTTTTGGTCATTTAAATATGGAATTAACTGATTGAAGATTTCTTATAATCTTGAAGCAATTACACTTGTTTAAAAGGCTTGCTGAAATATGCCCTGGGAATCTGCCCACGAGGATACACCACAACAGAGGATAACCTGTACCAGTAAGCCTTGGCAACTCTTTCAAAGAGCTCTCAGACATTTTTTGAGGTATAACTTGCTTCTACAAAGCCCTTATCACCTTGTTCCCTACTGCTGCTCTTTATTACAGACTCTCTGTTGATTCTTGAAGTCAGACTTACTGATTTGATATTCTCCAGATCTCTCCTGAAGACCTTTTATAAGAGAGGCATTAATTATCTATGTGTCATTCCTTTGATGTCATTCCTCTGGTGTCAGGGCAATTTTAAGCAAGATATTGCTTGTTGCTATTAATAATTTACCTACTGCCCTCCCAGGTTCCCTTACATAAGTGACCAGTTGGTCTCAGCAGCTTGTTCTACTCTTTCTATTGACTTGCTCCATAACCTCTACTAATGACACTTCAATTGCATCTTTGACACATCCCTCAGAGGAAGAGTTTCCTAACAGAAATAAAATTCCCACCCTCCTCCCCCACAGAAGGCCTCTCTACGCTGATAAACACATGCAAAAAGTCATCATACTCGTGCTATGACTCAGTGCCACTGTCACGCTTTGGCTACCTGAAGGCTCATCAATCTAGCTATTTTCTGTTCCTAAAGCATTTGAAGATTCATTTGCAGTCTGCATCAATTTCTCTACAAATACTATCCCGTTGCCAGATGCATGTTGTAATCCTGTTCTAGGACTTACACTGGAACCATGTGCAACTCAAGAAGGCAGGCTGTACATCTAGATCAGCTACCTTCCCCCATTTACTGTAAGAATTGTTCCTCAGTCACAACACTGCAGATGTAGAACATGTAGAACACATTATGGGAAGAGAAAGGCACTACTCCCTCCCTCCGAACCCTGCAAGATGCATTGCTCCAAATGAACTTCACCTGCACAGAGGGAGCTAATAGACCATTTTTGTTGTGCTCAGGCTCCTCAATGATCCTCAAAATAAGAGGAGATTGTCCCACAGTTAAAATACTTACAGTTGACGCTAACGTCTCCATATGGTAGTGGGAGCAAAGGGGAGTGCAAAGGGTGCTGGGTGTACCGCAAGATTGGGTTCCTCCTGTATGTCTGCTCCACTACTTCAAGGTTAGTGCTGTTTTCCTGGAAGAAAAAGCAAGTCCTCAAGTAGCCGTAGTCATTCCCAAGACATCCTTGTACATTTAGGATCAAATTAACCTCCTTTATTCACCTTTAGAAGTTTCACAGAGGGACTGTGTGATGAAAGCATAATACACATCTAAAATTAGTCTGTACATTATTTCTGAAAATAAAACGTAGCCATACTGGATCATACCAAAGGTCAGCAAGCACAGGGTCTTGACTCCAAATATAGGTTGTGGTTCATGCCTACCGCAGTCACATATCGAATGTATGGCATGATTCCATCCTGGTACATCTTTCCTACAGTAAACAGTTGATGGAAGTTCTGTCCACAGATCCATCATGTTCAGTATCTAATAATGATCCTGCCCTCTTTGAATTTGTCTGGTGATGTACATGTGTCTACAAGCATGCACATGGTGTTCAAAATACAGTTACTATCATACACACTGGTATGACACTTCTGTATTTTGCCTTATATGATTTCCTTAACACTATCCAATGTTCCATTTAACCTTGAACACTGAGTTAAGACTCTCCACGATGAACAGCATGGCTTACTATCTATCTGTATCTTTTTTAGAGCTCATCACAATGAGTATGGTTTTTTTCATATGCACATTACTTTGAATTTATCAGCTCTGAAATTCAACTGTTCTTTTACCCCACATACACATGTCAAAAGACACTTAGTAACTCCTCACAAGCAGTTTTAGTTTTGACTGCTGTAATTTAGCATTGCTAGTAGCTTCATCAGCTCACTATTCAATTCTCAAGATCACTTATGAATGCAGTGGCACAGCAATTAGCACACAAGCAGTTGGAAATGCTCTCTCCAACACGAAACCCAACTATTCATGCAAACCTCTGCAGCTTAACCTTTAACTAATATTTTGTCCATGAGAGGACCTTCCACCTGTCTCATTACAGCTTAACTTCTTAAGCGCCTTTGCAAAAAGATTTATCAAAGCTTTTTGGAAATTAAACTTTATGACCAGAATCACCACCATCCAAATGCTTGCTCATCCCCTAAAAGACCTGTAGGAGATATGCCAAATATGGCTTTTTGGTATTTCCCCAGATCCCCCTTGAATCTTTTTTTTTTTTTTTTTTTTTTAAATTTGGTTATATTAGCTGACTTCCATTTCTTCAATCCTAGGATGACACAGCCTAGGGTTTCACAATACAGATAGTGTGCCAGTTAAATATATATATATATATATATTAGATTTGATTATTTAGGCAGACAATCATTTTGTTTTCTTTTATGTTTTGTTATGCTAAGACTGCAATCCCAATCCTAGCCACACAGGAATCGGCATGATGCTACCTACCCTAATGTCACGAATGAGTTGCTGTGTAGGTGTTTCGATGGGAACTTTGCTGTCAATGACGCCTTGAATGGCAGAGGCCCAGCGCATAGCTTCATTCAGCAGCTTTGTGTACAGTCTGTACGAGTGCTTTCGCCCATGAACAATGATGTTCCAATAGCCTGTAGAGATACAAAGAAGCTAGAAGCTGAAACTTGTTTCTATTTTGTCTTCCCTTTTTGTCTATAACAGGTGTTTGAGGAAAACCTTTGCTGCTTTGATAGTAAAGTACAGTGTGTCTGGTTAAAATGGGCTGGGCAGACAATATCATTCCCAGTTCCTGAAATAGGCTTAGCAGCAGGATGGTCCAACAAAGCTTTCCAAGATAGCAGTATCACAGTGTAACATACATTCCCCACCAACCAGGCAGCTCATATTCACAGTTTGGATTTGGGCTACACTCAAAATCACTCAAAAAAAACCAAAAAAAAACAAAAAAAACAAAAACAACCAGTAACACATATCACTCAAATGTAGACAAACCCCTGTCATCTTTTGCTTCTAGCAAGCTGAGTGATGCAGCAAAAAACACCTCGGGTGCATGCCATTTCTGTTATTTAAGAGAATCACATTGATCCCAGTTATTTACAATGTTCATGGTATTCATCTTTGAGCTCTAAGAACAAAGGTTTATGTAGAAAAAATTTAGATAAATAATGACACTATTTAGTGATAAAACATCTGTGCTATGCATCTCCATCAGGTGTGAGGGAATTACAGTCGCTTGCACTCTGTTCTCTGGCCCTTTGCATCTCTCCTATGGTTTGTGTGGATGATGTCTGCAATCACAGAGCCTCAGATAGAGTCAAGACTGCATCACATCACAACACACATTACATTCTTGCATCCTCTCCTCTTCAGGCAACTCAAGACCTGGACCACCTGCTGAGCACTGCTTCCCTCTACTTACCTGTGTCTTTAAAGACCCTCTCATCGGGCTGCACTACAGAGCAGAGGCTGTTGAGCACAAGTGTGCCAAGCTTGGCAGCTGTGCGCTCAGATGACTTGTAGTAATCAAGGGCAGTGTTTGTCAGCACAAACCAGCGTTTCTTCATCTTCAGAGAGGACACCTTGTTGCTGCTCTGAACCTCTTTATGAAGCCAGCCTAGGACAGGAACACAGACATGTCAGTGGTTGCTTTTCATCTCAACAGCAAGCCTGACTCTTGCCCAGTGGCTGTCTTCACTCTGGGATCAGAATGCAAACTCCCCGCAAAAAGCTCCTACTACCAGCCTTGCTTTACTGGCTATAGTAGCATCCTGCACAGTAACTCTAAAAAAAAAAAAACAGACAGATTTTCATTGATCTGATCTACCCTTCAGCCCAATGTATTTTCTTTTCAGCAATCTATGACAGTTTGCCCCCACCATCAGGACATCTTCTGTCTGGGATACTTCTCTCACAAGTCATGACCATGGAAATAAATCATTTACAAGTCATCATGAGATGACTGCCTCCACCTCCAGCCAAGCTCTAACTAGAGACAGAGTTTATCTTTTGCTCAGCCTTACAGCATTACTCTGTGTCCATCACAATCAGGTTGGTTTGTTTAGCTGAGTACAGCAGCTCGCAAAGCTCTCTCTCCCTCCCTCCGTCTCAACATAACAGGTGTCAGAAGGAACAGAGCTTTCTGAGAACAAAAGCTGCACTGTCATATCATAGTCAGTCTAAACCAGCTGCTCCAAAGCAGCCATATCCCTCCTATTCCCTGTTGTCATTTGTTGGACAATGTGTTGAAATAGGCTATGGAACTAATACCAGAAAAATAAACGTACAAATAAATACTTATTCTTCCACTTTTAGCTTTCTGAACTCACTGAAGTGGATTCAGAGAAGAGCCACTGCCAGCAGAGCATGGAAAGCAACCAGCAACAAGCAGAAAGGCAAGGGGGGCAGCAAAACGCTGCTGCTAAACACTGCTAAGCACTTGGATTAGCTACAATCAAACCTCCTGCTCAGATCACAAACAGATGAGTTTCACATATCATAATTGCACACATTTCCTTTTACCTCTCACAAGGAATTCCTGGCCATCGACCTTAGATTCGCCTTTCGGTTTCTGCAGCAGGGAGATCCAGTGATGCATCTCCTCAGGGGTGTCACTGTTGCAATGAATCACTCGATTTGCTGTGATGATCACAAAAGAGTTTGGTCTGTGAGAGAAGATAAGCAATAAGTATCAGCCATGCCCATACAAATATCTCTAGTCATGGCACACTCAAAGCCACGTCCTCCAGTGTTCTGCAAGTAATGCAGAAAGTCTTTGGATACAAACTACAGGGAAGTGAAGAAAAAAAACAACAATCAAAAGCATCTCCTACGCAGCTGGTCTGCAAACTGATGAATGCAGAGACCCGTCAGGTAGAATTGAACATCTTTCTAAAACTATAATACATTCATTTGCTAAGAACCAGCTGTAAAATGTCCTGGTTTCATAAGCATAGGACTTTGGGCTGAATTCACGCTGGTACCACTGGGCTGAGCTAGTGCAGCTGATCTGCTTGCTCTTATTAAAAGTAGTGATGCAATAGCAAAAGCAAGTCCCAGCAGAGGCAAACAAAAATAAGCTGCATAAAACTACAGAAAATAAGCATTCTCCTCAGAATGTGTTTCACATATTCAAACACTGATGCTCCAGAAGAGCATACCTCAGCAGATCCACTAACTGCTCACCTTACTATTTGCACTCTCATTTTTTCCTTTCAGTAGAATGCAGATTAACTATAAGGAGTGTGGGCTAAATATTAGCAAAAAGCTTTTGATTAAAAGAAATCTTAGTTTCCTACCAAGATATACATTGTCTAAACTAGTTGCCACAAAGTTCCTGCAATCTGTGTGAGAAAGCAAACAGTAACACCAAAACCAGAGCAGAGAGGTAAATGGCTTAATAGCTAACATTTTACTTCAGTGCTGCAGAGAGAAGCTGGGCTCTGGCTGAACTGTTAACACTAGAGGAAATAATTAAAAGCTAATGCAAAGGGATACAAAATGACATTAAGATTATGCTATTCCCACTTTCTGGATGGGAGAGTACTGAAACTTTCACTCACAAGACAATAACACACTTGTGACCTTCATGCCTGAAAAGTAAGATAGCATAGAAAAACTCCAAGGGTTTCAGCTGAGCTTGTTTGTGAGACATACAAGTTTAACATACAAGTTTAAACAAATACAAATTGCAAACAAAATCCGGGCCTACCTACAAAAATATGTGAGGGAGTTTCTAATCTAAGAGGTGGTCAAGTTGTGGTACCTACCTGTCAGGGTTGTCTGAGGCACAGACAGAATCAATAAGCCCAACATCCAGGGTTCCCTGTACAGCGAAAGAGACAGGCAACAGGAACTGCTCACATCTTAAATTACAGGCATCATTCTTGGTGAATAACATTGGACCTGAAAACATTCTTATGAATTCCAATAGCTTCAGTAGAAATGAATATATGAGAAAGGCATGAGTGAGTCATCTTTGGCCCCTAACAGCATGAGAAGGTGGGCAAGGACTCCAGAGGACAGGAGGAAAGAGCTGGACATTTCCAGACAGCACTATGAAGGTCTGAAATAAGCTCTGCCTCCACATCTCAATGCCAGTAAGACACATTGCTCTTTTCGACTCTTTATCTTCTGTCTTGAAAACTATGACAAAAAGCATATTCCCACAGTCTCACCCAAAAACATTTCATTTCCAAGAGGTGAACCAAAGAGGTGAGGCACCAGTGATCAAGTTGATACTCACTACAACCACCCTGCTCCTCACTGCTTACCCTCTGTTCTACCAGCTTTGTGCAGTTTTCTTATACTGCTCATGAACTACAGCACTGCCACGTGCTGGAAAAACACACACAAAATAGTTAAATGCAGATAGCTCTGGATGTGCCCACGGACTGGTTGCACAGTAACTCACCACAGCATTCTTTGGGTTGGCCTGTTCATCTTGCATTTCCCTCAGCTGCTGCGCCGTAGCACTATGTACTCGGCTCAGGACATTAAACCAACCGCTGGCAATCAAAACAGAGGCAAAGTTAGGATTGGGGTAGCGAAACTAGGTCTAGAATATCATCAAAGAACCTGGAAAGCTGCCAGCAGGAACATTGCTTCATTCACAATTTCCTACAGACTATGCTGCACAACATCTCTTGGGCTGATCATACCGTACCCTAATGTCTTCCTTCCTTCCTATTTATCCATGAAAATTCTGTGCTTGTTCTCCAGCCCACTGACAGCTGCTCCCACAAAATGTAGTTTTCTACTTGCTATTCAAGGAACTGCTATTCAAGCAGGCAGCAGCCTCGCCAGGGAGCACATGGCAGCAGAATGAGAAGAGTGTACAGCCAGTGTAAAGATAGGGTCACTTGGGATCTTCAGGGACTCAAGTCCTACAGACTTCTGTAGGCTTCTTAACTACTCTCTGATCTGCTCATAAACTTGCAAGTCATATGGCTCTCTATTAATCACGAGGTTTTTATAAGCTTGTTTGGAGTGAAGCTATTTGTCTGTGAAAGGGCTTCTTATTACAGACATATCTGGAGTCTGAATCTCTGCTGCAGAACAATCAGATTCTTATCTGCAGCTTTCAGTGAGATTGGCAAATATCTACACTTCGTGGAGGGTTCTCAAACTGGATACTCTATGACATCTGCTGATCTGCTCTTCGCAAGCGTTGGTGTCCTCTCCCTCAGAACAGAGACTGCGGCAACACAGAGACCACATTTGAGTGTCACTTGTTCTGGCAATTCTGTAATGACATTCTGTAATATCAGGGCATGGTTACTGCGGTAGTGGAGGTTCTGAGTTAAGAAATCATCATCTCTCCAGCTATTACCCCTTGAGTTTGCTTGTTTCCCATTTGTATGGCTGCTCTTCAGTGTACTTCTGTTCATTTATTTGTGTCCAAACACTTTAACCCTTCCTCCCCCTACACCCAAACAAAATAACAGCAAACCCAAATAAGTCACAGAGTCAGATGAAAGTAGATAAGGAAACAGTTACACTAGCCAGGCTGACAGTGCAAAAGCCTTGCTAAGAGTGGAAGAAGGGTGTGGACGGCATAAGGAGTCAGGCTTAGTAACCTCTTAACTTGGCTTTCTATAACCCAAACAGGTTGTCCAACCTGCCCTCAAACAACTGTTTCCCACTGCCTGGTCTGGCCGCCAAGAAGGAAGGATATGAGTCATTTGTTTGCTTTGCACTGGGAAGATTTTATCAGATGACACTACAGACTCTGATAAGCCGCAGCATTTTCTCTGTCTCCTGGATAAAACCCAGCTGCTCTCGCAATCATTTACAGGCAACATGAATAGACTTTTTGTTTGATTCAAGATTCCATTTAATAAATAAATCAGCCATTAGGGGTTCCAGTTTATGTTAAGGTTTTGTGTGTCCCCTGAAGTAACCCTCGAAAACAGCATGCTCACAGCCACATGCAGAAGGTGGCAGTCCTGTGAGTGACTGATAGGCTAAACCACCACCTCAATAGCTGCAACAGGGAGCCCCCAGAGTAGAGGTGGCACTTCCCAGTAGATGATTCTTAGGACTTAACCTCTTTTTTTCTCCTGGGATTGCGTTTCCCAGGCTGCCCCATGAGCAGCTAGGCCAGATCTGAACCAAACGAACAAGCCCAACAAAATGACCCTCTTATACCTGGCATCCTCAGGTGACTCTGCCACGATGTGATAAACCCTGTCTTCCGTCACAATGTCCAAAGCATTCTCTTTTTCATGAATGTCCACAATCTCCCTGGAACACGGCAAATTACAAGAGTCACATGCTGAAAAACTTTTACAGGAATACACTGTTTCAGTTATGTTCATGTTATGACTTTTGGGATCCTCTTAAATAGATTTGTACACTAATCTTCTATAAAAGTAAAACTTAAGGAGTTAAATGGATTTTCTTCTAGCCGCCAACAGACTGGACAGAATAAATAACAGGGAAGTCAGTATAGATTGCTGTTTACAAAGTAGGATGTGTCGCTCTTCTTGGTACTTTATAGGGCCACATAAAGCTAAAAGATGACTAGCTTCTCCTTTCTGAGAACAGGAGCTGAGGAACTGGCTACTGTGACAAAAAGAGCATTGAAGGCTCAGGAAAAGGCATAGTATATGTTGCCAAATACAAATCCTGCTGTGAGCCTCATACCATTTCTGTGAAATGCCTGAGAAGCCAAGAAGCAGATGGAGACAGGGTAGGGTAGGTTGCATGGGGTATGTACTTAATTAGCTCCCCCTGGTCTGGCTTCATCCATGGTTTTTAAAGAGCTTCTGTCAGATTATGAAACACAAGACTGGGAAAGAGACTAACAAATAATTCCAGACTCCCCACAGAGTAAAACTAGAAGACCTAATTGTCTTTTCCTTCCCTTATATTTCTGATTCTTCAGTTCCTATGGGAGTTTTTTTAGAGTGATGAAATGGCAGCGCTGGACACTTCATTAACTATCAATTTAGACAGTAAATACTAGGGATCAAAAGGATTAATTCCTCACTCACTTTGCCCTTCTGATATCAATTGTCCCCTTCAGCTTTTCCTCGCTATCGTTCTCAAAGTACATCAGCTTGGATTCCCGAAGCACAAACCAGCGACGTTTCCAGTTGCGTCGTGAAAGTGTTGACATGCCTCCCCCTTTTTTATAGAGCCATCCTGACTTCAGTGCCTCCTGCTTGGTGCGGAACCACATAAAGGCCTCATTCTTCAGAACACACCAGCGTCGTCTCCATGGGTTCATGAGACCTCCTGCAAAGCAAGGGAGCAAGATCTCATCAGATGTGCAGCAACGGCCATTTCTCTGCTCGGTTCCTGCATCATGAGCACTTAAGTGCCACTGCAGTTCCAATTGCAACAAAGGAGCTGAGGGAGAGAATGAAGAGTATGCTGAAATTTGGACAGAGGGAATATAGAACTTGTGAAATATACATGAAATATATGCACTACCCAAATATTTTCATATGGTCTTCAGTCCTGTAGTTCAGAACGAGTCACACTGAGTGTGCACACTTCAGAGCCAAAGATATTCAGCCTAATCCTTGACACACACCTTCTAGCTCTCTGTATTACTTGCAAAGGAAGATAATGACTGTGAATAAAAAAAAATAAAAAAATAGGAAAGCAGGTTTCTTAATCCAGTCCTTTATGGTTTTGGCAGAAGCAGCTTACCCTTCATATAGAGATAGCTGTGAAAATAGGGTGGTCCTGAGCCATTGAAGATGGTGACACGTCCGTTACAAAACTCTTCATCTGTATCTATGTAAACATCCACTTCCTCTTCACTGTCCAAAAACTAAAAGGAAAAGAAGAATCCATTCTACTTGGGTCCTCTCAGTCACAGGAGGTCTGGAGCAAAGCAACAAGACTGCAGAATCACATGATCAGAAGGTGCAAAACACATACTCTCTTTATAAAAAAGAACATAGTAAAACTAAAGCTTGACAGCTTACCCATTAATGCCTTAAGCAAGAGTCTCCAGAGAACATGGAATTTTCATACCAGAAAGGGAGAGTCATTCAGCAGTGGACACAGTTAGAAAACTCCAGTTACCTGAAGGAGCAAACCTTCCTATTTCACAGCATAGTCCACAGTCCAAAATCTAATTTAACGGGATTAAGAGAGAATTTTTCGTTTTGGAAGATTTTTCTGGCAGACAGGTCAGCATGCTGAACAAGACAGAGCACTGCTCTATTCCTGGCAAGGAAATGCCTTGCTATGAATTTATTTAAAAAAAAACACCAACAACAAAAAAACCACATTCCAGAATAACTGAATCCTGAAGAACAAAGATTGAAATTATTGAAATAATAATACCGTGTTTACTTGTCCTTGTTCTCCAACTTATTGCCCTCAGCCATAAGAAAGTACCTCACATGTGGAATCCCAAATTGTGCTTTTCCTTGCCTTAAGTACAACTTCCTACGATGAGCTGCATTAATTTGATAGGAATGAAAACAGCTCTTTAGTTCTTTTTTGTTCACCAAACGTGCATTGCTTCTTTTTATTTTCCATTTCTGATCCCTCTCTGCAATCCCTTTGCCCTCTTCTTTGTCTCATTCATTTTCCACGTACTCATTTTTTCCTCTGTTCCCATTAAGCTTCAGAAAGCAGGTACTGCTGGATCAGCAGCTGCTGATGGGACCCTGAGCCAGCTGCAGTTACCTCTCCCTGTGGCTCGTGCCATGACACAGTGCAACTGGATTTTTCACGGGTCTTCCTCATTGAGGAAAACAACAAAATCCTCCAATCCTATTTAAATTTTAACAAGAATGGTAGAAACCAGGCGAGGCTGTGATAAGCACTGTGACAGGATGATTCATGGCTTGAAAGATTACTTGACAGTGATCTGTGAGTACCTGCCCACGGAGAAGGTACCTTTATTCAAGCAGATCACATCATAACAAATTCAGATGTCTGGCAGCTGACATTAGAGAAATGCAAGCAGGAAAAAAACATGTAATTTTTTCACAAGAAGTCAAAATCTGCCACTGCAAAAGAAAAACAAAGGAAGTAAACTGAATGTCTTAAGTAATTTTCTAAAAGACATTTTGTCATTCAAGTCCCTGCTTTCTGAGACATTACATCTGAAGGATTTTTATGGCTGATATTGGCTTCACTCCTGAAGTCTTTACAATCATTTGTGGGCTCATCTGACATCCTGGTTTACTGTGGGTTTGCTGTGACACCCTTAAGCAGCTGGGGGCACTCAGAAAGCCCAGCACCCAGTGTGAGACCTAAGCTGAGATGCTTTGAGTACAAGGCGAACAGCCCAGCTTTAGGAACAGAAAGCTTCCATGGGCTGTGTGTGCATTGAGACCCATGCCGATCTGCACAGTAATTCCTTCTGTCCTTACAATAGCTCAGTTTGTGCATACCAGCTGAAAATAACCCCTTGACTCTGAACACTAACAGAACTTCTTTAAGTGATGGGAACAAACCAAACCCCAGCCTTCCGCATTTCCTCTTGTGACTGCCCACCAGCAGCTCAGACTAATTCTGTGACATCTCTGTGGCAGGACAGATACCTCCAAGATATCAATTGCCTGCTTTTAACCTTATGCTGATATCTGGTGATGGAAGCAATCTAAACTAGCCTAGGTATGCATGTCCTATCTTGCGTACCATTGGCGCTGGACAGACTCAAGCCTGCTGGCCTTCAGCCTCTCCCTTTCTCTCTCCCCCACTTCTTTCCCCAAACTGATTGCTGATGTAAGAGAGTTACATATTAGCAAGTATGTCTACAGCAAGCAGGCATCAGTAAGCAAGCAAGGATGTTATAAATATCAACAAAGTCACACGCTAATGTCCAGAAAAATGAACAGAAGGAGATCCTTACCGAATCCAGGCTGCCCCGGTTGGAGTCCAGGCTGGTGCCGTGGGAGTGCCTCAGACTTTCCTCACCATTCAGAGCCTCAGCTGAGGCGCTGCCTGCATCCCCACAGCCATCCAACTCATCATGGTCATAGTCAGACTCCACATCTTGAGGGGAATTGTAAATTGGCTCTCCCACCTCTCCACTGTTACTCCTCAGCGTATCTGAGACAGTGCTGTAACTGCTTTCTGCTGGGTCAGAGAGGGCACTCTGCTCCCTGGGGCTACTGGTTCTTTCCATGGGTTGTGCTGGAGCAGGGGCAGCCTCTCCCACTTCCCTTTGGAGATGCAAAAGTCTTGCACCCACATCTCCCCCCAGGCAGTTATCACTGTTCTTCATGTCCTGCTGAGTGACAACCACCAAACTGGAAGTTGGCCGTACTTCATCATCAGCATGAAAACCCTCATCCACCTCTTCTTCAGCCAGTGGCGCGACAAGGCTGCAGTCAATGTTGAGTGTCCCCTCACTAGACAGAGAGCGCTCCAAGTTCTGCACGCTTTCATCCAGATTGCCAAAATCTAGCAGCTCCAAGAACTCCTGGGCAACCCTAGATGCCTCCTTTTCCAGCCTCTGGATCTCCTCCTCCCGCTGCCGATTGATTTCATTCCTGGTGTTTTCACAGATGATAGACATGTGATCCTCTTTCTGTTGCTGCAACTTCTCAATCTCCTTCTCCAGCCTTAAGATCTCCTCCATCTGACGTCTCTCTTCCTCCTGCAGTGGAATTTCTACTTCCTCAGTCTTTACTGTTTCCACCTTAAAGAATTTATGATAGTGTTAAAGCAGCTTCTTTAACCTACATGCGTTCCTTGCCAGGATCTTTCATTTCTCCCATCTCCTCTGCTTGCCTCATACTTCCCATATGTAAAAGGATGACACGAGGCATCCTCTCCTTTTCTGTCTGGCACCTGAAATCATCCATGGTGTAAAAGCTAAAAGGCAGAACTACTGATCTTCAGGTACTTCCTTTCTACCAGCAGCCTACCTCCTTTCTGTAGCTCACTGGGATCAGTGAATTTTTAGAAGAGCCATTCTGTCAGCTGCTAAAGTTACTGCCCTCTAAAATTTCAGTAGAAGCGTCCTCCCTTTTTGAGCTATCTCTGTCTCATACACACATGTAAATAGGAGAAAGTAACTATATACAAATATACATAAGCATAATAGGTCGAAGAATTGAACATTTCCCAAATACATCATGAAAACATTTAGAGATTTTGTTGTTTACTTGGTTTGGGATCTCACCATCAGGATTTGGGGCTGGAAGGGATATTTGCAATGAAGGAGGATTGTGCCCTCTCCAACCCCTCTCTAACTCTACCCTCAATTTCTTGGGACTCTTTGGCATCCCTGGGTGCCTGATGAGGACTTAGTCATCTTTTATTCTTCACACTGAAATAACTGAGGAAATTTCTAGCAAGTACACAATAACTGGAAGGCAGAAAATACTGGTAGCTTTCACCAGGTTTAGCAATAAAGTGAAGCCACTCTCTTCAACTGAGGATATTGAAAACAGACACACAGAAAAAAAAGTATAATAATAATAGGTTTTAATATACTTCCAAATAGGAAGACAGCAACGCAGACCACGCACTGCCCCATTAAGCCACAATCCATATTTTCTTTATGATTGCTCTGTTGCTTGTTCTCTACTCGACTCTTACGTGGACAAATTAACTTTTATACTCTAATCCATTATCTCTCCTGAGCAGAGCTGGCCTGAATCTCAGGAACAAATGCTTTGGGAAGAGGAGTAAGAAGATACACAGCTGTTTTCACACACCTCAGGGTAGGTGGTCTGCTCTTTGATGTATCAAGTACCAACAATTAGATCAGTTACCAGGGGTTTATTTTAGCCACAGTAGCAGCCGTCTGCACTCTTATTTTGGCTGTTACAGGCAACAGTCCAGAAAAGCAGATTGTGTCACAGCAGAGCACAGCACAAGGTCATGTAACAAGCTCAAGCAGTAGAGATAAAAAGGGATGCTGCATGTTCAACACTGAAATTTTCAAATAGGAACTATGCAAGCAGGTACACAAGCCTAGAAAAAAAGAACCAACACACCTTGTAACCTCTGTGCACCTCTGCCAAAGCCAAGCACCTGCAGGTTTTGAGTGAACAAAGCCCATTCTATAAGCAGTGCTGCCACAATAAAGACATGAGCTCTAGGCAAAGCACTGGCAATGAAGGACCCTTCACAGACACTCAGAGAAATCGTATCTAAAGAATAACTGCTAAACTTACCGGAACCACCTGGAGCAGAGCATTCAGCTGTTCCTTTTCTCTGATGAAGAAAAGAAAGATAAACACAAGACATGACAGTCAGACAGCTTCATTTCTCCTGGGGAAGGCTTTTAGAATTACATGGACACATCATCCCTCCATGGATAAGGGTTAGAAGTAAAGTACCCACTGTAAGACCCATTTAACAGCTTTTACAATTTAGTATAAATAGAGTTGTCTGTGGTTGGTGTGACCTTCATGGATACAACAGATTGTCGCCACACAGTTAACGTGCAGATCAATCAGGAAATTGGATTAGTTGAAACACGGGAAGAAGGACATGGGAAACAGTGACATATCAGTTAGATTCATGATAGATGTCAGCTGAATCCTCTGAACATCACGGGACATACTACATGGCCATGGATATTAAACGATGTTTTGCAAGCATAATTGATAGATTTCAGGAAACTCTGCTTTCAAACAAAACAGAATCACTGCAACCCCATCACTGAACTTGTGTTTTGTTCTGCGTTTACTATAGTAAATCCAGAAGAAAACTACTAAACATTTGCACTTGGTTAAGCAGCTAAGCTGGGGAGCTGCTGTTCTGAAGATCTGTGCTCCAGCTCCTGGAAGTTCTCAGCAGCAAGCAAAACCCAGCTCACTAGTAAAGGCTGTAAGACAGTTTGTTAGTAAACATGGGGCAGAGGAAAAAACTATCCCACGCTGCTGTGCCTCCATCCAGATCAAAAAGCAAGAGCTCTCCCCACAATCAGATTTTCCAGAGCAATCACACCACAGGCAGCTGAACTAGCAGCACAACCAATGCTGGGGTCATGTGAATGGAGTAGGGATGGGATGTGGCTGGAGGCAGACTGCCTGCCAGCAACTCCATGGAGCTACATTCACACTGGCAGTGGTCACCTGCAAATCTGTAATCCAGGCACATGCAGAACAGGAGGGCAACAATATTTATTTCCCAGGCCCTACGGTTTTTCCCAGCCAAATTCTACATTGCAGCTGCAAGTCACAAGGGCTCCCACCCTTGCACTCTCTCTCACACACAAATAAGCTAGGAAATGTTTACAGACAAAAGCTGACATAAGTGGGATCCAGATGGCTCCAACTTTACTAAAAATCTCTAGGAGTAGTCAGGAATTAAACAATTGCCTGAAATGATGTGAGGGTGCAAGAAGCAGCACCATTACAAAACTAGTGGGAAATACCACCTACAGTCTACACAGCAATTCCTTCAACTGCCCCTTGCATGTTTTGGAGCTCTGCTATTTCTTGCTACTTTCCATCCATCTCCAGGTGATCCTTACTCTTCCTGAACTGTGACAGCTGAACTTAGGGACAGCACTCGCACTGAATCCTTAGCAGGGCCTTACAGAACAGAGCAATCACCCCACATCTTACAGAAATAATCCTGCATGTTGACAATTCTATCTACAAATGTAACAAAGCTACTCCTATTTCCTCTTCCAACTTATTTTGGAAACATTGTAGTAAGACCATATTCAGCACTTGCCCTGGAAGAATCCCATTCATTAGGTGTCGCTTAACAAATAACTACTATTGTTTACTAATTAAAATGCAATAATACAACGCAGGTAAAATACAAACCCTACTCTTTTCTTCACCTACTTAAACCACCTTCCTTAAGGTGTCTTATGAGTGCTGTCACGGTACCAAAGCTGTTACTGAAGTCAAGATACCTACTACTCTCTGGGGCTTTTCCCAATCTGTAAGATATGACAAACTATTACAGAACAAAAAAGATAACTGTAACACTATTTGCTCTTCATGTGCCTACATTGGCTCTCACCTCCTGTATCAAGCACTTCTTAGAACTATTTCTTTCATTATTCATTTCAGTATACCCCTGAAATTGAGGTTAAGTTGACTGCTCCACAACCCTCTGATTCTCCTGGTTCTTCCTCTACTCCATGCTAAGAAGATGTCATTACGTTTAGAATTTTCCAGTTTTAAGGAAACTCCAAAGCAGGAGAAAAAGAGGAGCTACTGATTCAAACTGCCTCAGCCAGTATTTCTCAAAGTTTCCAAGTATTATTTCTACAAAGAAGTTACCTAGACTTGGTGATCTGATTTATATGAGCATCCTCTAAACTCTTCTTTCCCTGTTAATTGTACATCTGTGCTAATTGTACAGCAGCTGAGCCCTTTGGGAAGACAAATAAAAATAGCATCAAGTGCTTCCCCTTCTAAACATCCTAATTTGTTCTTCCTGTTGAACATTAGGCCAAATTGTTTCTTGTCTTCCTTTTACTAACAGTGCATGCACAATAACCATGCGTATCACCCTTCAGTTGGTTATCTCTCAATTTGCATCCTGATCTTTCTGATTCTCTGCATGCATATTCTTCTTGATTTGTGCTTTTTCGGTTGGTGGTTTGTTGGGGTTTTTTTGTTTGTTTTTTGTGCTTAGCCATATTTGCCAGTTTGGCCAGATAAACCAATTTGCAATTTGTAGACTCCCACCTCATGGAAGTTCAGGATTTCCCCACTTTGTCCCCTACTACCTTTCTCAGCTACTCATTGAATGAAGCCATTTGAGACCAAGTAGGAAGTGAAAACAAAGCAAGAAGCTTTCCTGATTCCTAGGAACACTGCCATTTCTTTGTAATGATGCTGACTCAACACATCTTTCATGGGCTGAAAACTAGAAGGCAAGAGCAGAAATACAGAGGAAATAATAAGCCTAAGAAATCCTTTCATCTAAAACCAGGTAGGGAGCAGCTCTGTGCAGCAGGACTTCAAACCTGAGAGCTCATCTGTGGTATTTGATCCCTGTAAACCAGGTACTGCCATTCTGAACTTGTACAGTTTTGTGTTGTGATGAGGCTGCTGTTGAAAACTGACACAACGATAAAATGGAGCTGTGAGTGATGTTCAACAAATTCCTTGACCAAGCAGTTCATTGTTGGCATCACTGACTTCATGCTTTGTCCCAGCAAATACATCACTCTGCTGCCACCTATGAAATCCTAAGTAATACCTTCTCCTTCTGCCATGCTTCTAACCTTGGAGTTTCATGATGCTTGTCACATACTGCCATGATCCAACCCCAAACCAAGCATATAACAAAACTCCATAGTAAGAAACATTATCAACTATTCATAAAATGCTCAAAATTATACAGGATTTACTTTTCAAATGTATCTAATCATTGTGTAATGGAAGCGTTACACTTCTTAAAATGTGAGATCGTCAGGAGGCACCCTGTTTGGATAGATGTATGTAACCAAGGAGTGAACAGGAAACATTGCATGAGGTGCAAGATTCTCAACAGGTATACTACACTGCCCCTGCTCAGACTGCCTCTTTTTGTCATATCAGCTTTTCCTTCCTCTTCCTGACACATCTGTGTCCCTGTAAAGAGGTGCACAGCAGCAGGAACAGGGTGAGCATATCTGTTCTCACCCTCTTTACAGTAAGGGTTGTGAGGCACCGGCACAGGTTGCTCAGAGAGGCGGTGGTGCCCCATCCCTGGAGATACTCCAGGTCAGTCTGAAGAGGCTCTGAGCACCTGATGGAGCTGAAAGTGTCCTTGTTCATTGCAGGGAGTTGGACCAGATGGCTTTCAAGGGTTCCTTCCAACCCAAACAATGATATGATTCTATGATTCTAAGTGTAAGAGCTGCAGTAGCAGTAAAGGTGTGCTGCCCATCTCATACCCTGACCAAACTTGTTGGACGCACCAAGACCCACAGACTCTGGTACTCTCACATGGCTATTTCCTTCAGGCTTTCGAAGAATGCATAAAGTTTCCTTTACTTCTGTGAAGGTAAAGAGAAAATTAGGCACCTCCATCTGATCAGTAAAACCTATTGCCCCAGACCCACTGCTGCACCTCAGCAGCTCCAGTACTAGGGAACGATGAGCACGAAAGACCATTTGTACCTTTCCTTCACCTCTTCCTCCTTCTGCTTCCTCCTACGCTCCTCCTCTTCTTGCCATTGTCTTTCCTCTTCCTCTCTTCTGATCTGTTCTTCCTTCTCTCGCCTCTTCCTCTCCTCTGCTTCCTGCTGCCGCCGGAGCTCCTGCTGCCGCAGGTGTTGGTAGAGGCTGCGAGCCAGGTGGCCACGCCAGTGCTTCTGCAGGATGATGGCAGAGGCCTTGAGGCGCAGCAGGCTCTTCTTCCAGAAGTACGCTCGGTAGTTCTTTTGGATTGTAACAACACTGGCTAGCACCTTCCGGTACTTCTTCCTAAAACAGAACCAGACACTTAATGCGATATGAAGCAACGCTCCATGCTTTTTATGCCCTAGAGTATCATCTTATCATATCTGTGGAAAAATGAATTTGGAACAGCATTGCTCAGGAGCGAAACAAGTTGTTCCTCAACTGCTTTTGCCCGAAACTTGTGTTTTCCTTACTGTTCTAGTCCTGCACCCACCAGTGGTGGGCTTCTGTGCACCTGCTTGTGCCTTCCAAGGAGCTAGGTCCATGGTAGGACCCAAATAAAAGAATCATTACTCTGTTTTTGTACTTGAGTGATGCCTCTGCATTACTGACTGCTTTTATCAAAGACCTGAAGAAGACAGCTCCTGGTGGAAGTTTGTACACAATGCGCAACCCAGGCAAATAACAAAAGGGTTACCAATACACAGAATCCAGACCCATTTATAGCTAGATCCAAGCAAACATTCAAAAGTCCAAAAGACCCAACCATAACGTCAAGAATAGAGGAATCAAAGGCCAAACACACCTGATGTGTGACTATGTTAGGAAGCAGCAAGTCAAAAATTTGGGGAGTCACACGGATTGTCAGCTGGATGCTAACTCCCAACACAATGCTCTAGAAAAATTAGACTGGGATTTGTATCCTTGCAGGCAGAATGGAAGGGAACAGTGCTGCTGTTTTTATCCTGTATTCAGTGTTAGCAGCTCTGTTTCAAGAACAGTGTAAGACCCTGCAGTGATTTCTGACAAAGCAGGACCAAACCCAGAAATCCTGGCTTACTGAGAGATTTCAGGAGCCTGCTCTGTTACATTAGGAAACAGAAGGCTACAGAATGCCTTAATCCCAGCAAAGCACCCAGAGGAGAACCACATTTGGGCAGTATTTCTATTTATTTGACAAGGGACGTAACAAGATTTAACTGACCTGAAACCAAAGTCTATTCAGGCTAGAAAAAAGCCACCATGTTTTTTTTTAAAGCAACTGAAAATATTCAGACACTTTCATACCTTGCTGAGGGAAATGATCATTGGTAATGTTTAAATCATAATCCCCTTAACTCCAAACTGGAACTCGCAGAGGGAAAACATGTTGCATGGAAGCTCTGGTCAGCATGATACAGTAATCCTGTATAGTCTTAATAGTCCTCGAAAGCATGCTAGAAATAGCACAGTATTCTTATATATCCTTCTCACAGACCTTCTGCAATCCCCTGAGGGGAAGGCACACCTCAGAATCCCCTTCCTGGCAATCAAACCTTCTTCAAACGGCAACAGGGACCCAGTGTTGTCAGCTTGCCACCTCCCTGCACATCAGATACATCAAGAAAATCAAGGGAGGGATGCTAATGGAAGCAGTGCCCAGAGGTCACACGTTTTCCACAAGTATCAAGTCAAAGGGAGGAAGCACAGAGAAAAGCAGAGGAAAGGGAAGAGAGAATGGGAGTTGGGAAGTTGCAGATAGGTTGCTCCTGGGCTGCAGCCCTTCAGCTCCAGTCCCTCTGTCCTCCCTGTGCCCCACACATGGGGCACAAACAGCTGCACCAGCACCCTTTGCCAAGGCAGCATCAGAAAGGGCACTCCGACTTCTACAAAACGCCATCTGCCAGAAGTTCTCCCCAGCGTGCCAAACCCTGCCCAGCTCCAGGCAGCTCTGCCTGCTTATCTGCCAAGTGAAGTGCCCTCTCATCCCTCATGACCACAGCAGACACCCCTCCTGCTGCCACACTCAAACCACCAATTTCATTTCCCTTGTCCTGCCTTTCCCTCATCCCCTTGCCAACCCACAGAAATTCAACCTGCAGCCCACGCTGGGGAACACAGCTTGCTCTAGAGATGTGAAGGAGCAACACGTGGGACATGAATCCAGCTCTGTGCGGGCTACGAGACCACAGAATCTGCAGCCAAGAGGAGCACTGCTGCCTGTCACACCCTGCTGGGCAGCAGCCACCTGCCAAAGAACTCAGCAAAGCAATAATCCTGTGTGCCTGCAGCGATGCATCCCAGAAAAATCAATTTCTGTGCTAATCCCACTCGCTCTGTCCAAATGCTGGGCACAAAGTAAAACAGAACAGAGGCCCTGACACAGAAAACTTACAATCTCATATACAAACAACAGGAAGACAAATGAGCTAGTTCTAAGGGGAAATAATAAATGAACGGAAGCCCCCATGTTGGCAAGGCAGGGCACAACTCTTCACACGCATTTACCAGTGCAGAATGAGCTACCTGGGGCTCTATGGAAGAGCTTCTGGAAGAGCTGTGCAGCCCAGGATCCCACCTCCCCTCAGCCCTGACTGACAGGTGTAGGAGCAGAGACTCGCTTGGAAAGTGCATCTTGCTGGGATTAAGTGTGCATGCCACAGCCACTGGGGAGTCAGCTGCTGGCCAGCTTCGGGGGCAGAGGAGGGGCCGTCCACCACAGTTGGTTCACCAAGCCCTCCCCGGTCAGGTGCAGAAGGGAGCGGCAAGAGGAGATCGCTGGTGCAAAGCTGGCCAAAGCCCAACGCTGAAGAGTTCACTAAAAGGAGAGGGAGATCACGAGGCGAGCAGGCAGGGAAAGACTGTGAGCGAAGGGAGAGCTGCGAGTGGGGATGAAGCAGTTTGCAGGCAGAGCAGAAACCAGCGCTGACAGCATAAAGGAAAAGGAGGGGACCCACGTGCAGGTGGGGCAGCAGAGCCCGAAGGCTGGGAAAGGTGGCACTGGGACAAGCGGCGGGCACCGGGATCCTGCAGGAGCGGCGTGGAGGGAGAGCGCGAGGATTCAAGAATAGGAAGCAGGAGATGTCCCCGGGCCGGTGAGGGGAGAAGGGCTGCGGGGCTTCGGGCTCACAAGCAGATGGACTGCGGTGCAGCCCACGGCACTGACCTTGCCATGTAGCCCAAGACGTGGGCCCGGATGACTACAGCAGCTTTCCTTAACTCCTCTTCCCGATCCTTCTCCAGCTTCTGCTCGAGAGCTTCCTTCAGGAAAACCTGACGCCGCGGGGAGGAGTTTCGAGAAACACAAAGAGAGGAAAGAAGTCAGTCCCGGGGGAGCCGGGAGGTCCCGGCTGCGAGAGCGCAGCGCCTGGGGCTGCCCGCAGCCGCCGCCGCCCCGACCCGGCCGCCCTCGCTCACGGCACCGCGCAAAGTTTGGCGGTGTCGGAGCTCGGCCCCGCGGCCAGCCCCCGCCTCCCTCCCTCTGCGGTCAAGACTTGAAAGGGAGCGGAGGAAGGAGGGAGAGGAGGGAGGAGGAGAGCCCGTGCCTGCGCCCGGCCTTAACCCTTTCCCGGCTGACAGCCGTCCCCGCGCGCCGCCTCGCAGCAACCCGCTGCCACGGGGGAGCGCTTTGCGAAGGAACTCCGCCGCGTTTCGAGAAAGGCTGCGATTTCCAGGCTCCGGGAATTCTGCGGTCCTAGCAGCATCAGGAGAGCCGAAGGGCCCTTAGAGGGGTGAAGCAGAGCGTACCCCATTCCCCCCGCTCAGCCCCAGCAGCAGCCGGGAGAGGCTCCTGGCTGAAGTCCTGCGCAACATCGTGCATTGAACTGAGCCCCGCTGGAGAGCTCCCTGAGTGTCAGCGGCTGCACTTGGTTTCCCACTGGTTTCTCTCTGCCAGTTTTGAACCTCTGCACAGCGCTTAATGCTTGCACGAGGGATGGAGTGCTATCTTAGAGACAAAGCAAGATAAGGGCTTGCTTGCAGGAAACGGCCTGACGTATCTGAGCTACTTTAAATCAGTTGACTTGCAGGGAGGTCAGCGCAAGTTGCCGAAATTCATGCTTTGCCTGTTGAGAAGGTCTGCAGCCCGCACGGAGCTGTCAGCAGGGTTAGCCTAGAATAAAGTTGGCTACGGCTGGTCCTCACAGGCTGCAGGTACAGCATCACCGCCATATGGCTGCAGTGACACGGGCTCAGATTCTGCCAGGGCCAGCAGCAGGACAGGCTGCAGGAGGGCAGTGCTGCCCCACTTAGCATAGCACAGCCACGAGCATGGGCTGGGAGCTGGAACTCACCACTGCACAACTACACTACCTCATGAACTAAAATGTCTTCTCCATCCTTGCTTTTAGCCTCATCACCTATTTAGGCTCTTTCTCCCCCTCAACTACGCTCACCACGTACTGAAATCTCTCTGAGTTATCACCCTGCTCTTAGCTCTTACCCAGGAAACCACTCCTGTTAAGATGGCCCAAAGAAATGAGCTGTTTGGTAATGACTGAGTAACTGTGGGTAGCCTTAAAAGAAGGTTCATTATCAGGGTACTGCCAACCATGAAGCTGGCACCCTTCCCCGCAAGTTGTACATCCACTCCTTCTGTCAACTCAATGATCTTTTAAAGACTTCTTTGAGGCAGAGATTGCTCTTTCAATTACATTCCAGAACAGAGCAGCAGTCACCCATTTCAAGAAGGCAGCCAGCAAAACATTGTCTCAGTTCATTATCAAATTGCAAAAATACTCAAGTCTGGCAGCAATTTGCTAGCAAACAGACTTCAAGCCAGTAAGGAGGGGGAAAAAACAACTTTGAAGCACGCAGAGTTCAAAACCCTACCCTAACCCTGCAGAGTTTTCTGTATATACTCATAGATGGAAAGGTTCATCTCAAACAACATGTGGCATAAATAGTGTCTGTCTATAAGCTAATGGCATGTTGAGAGTGTTTTCTCAGCCTCCTGCAGATAATGGGAGTGAATTTGAATCCAGAAATGTTTTGAATGCTTTGTGGGAATAGCTGTAAGGTGGCTGTTTCTTTGTCATAATTCACAGTCGCTTTCTGAAAACATGAGATCGCTTTCATCTGAGGAACGAACAGTTAGAAAAAGCTACAGGCTACTTTTATTTGCTCACGTTGCACACTGGCCAGGTTTACCAGCACAGTGCTCCTGAGCACAGAGGAAAGGGACGTGGGAGCCCAACACATCCCCAGTGGAGATGAGGGCACATCAGCACAAGGCTGATGCTCCATCATCATGTCTGCATCCAAGCCCTTACCTCTGCCATGCCACCGGATTGAACCTGCACTAATAGCTTTCATAAACATCAATTTGACAATTGCCAGCACAGCAGCTGGTCTATTCTTAATGAAAAAACACAAAGATCATCCTGCCCTTCCTCCCCCACTTCCTTTCCCAAGCTTCACAATCCCCTGCACTAATTCACAGAGTCCTTTCCTTCCTCCTCCAAACAATTGCAAGGGATATAATTATCCTTCCATTCATTCTGCAGGAAGTATTCTCCCTTCTACAAGCCTTGCTCTTCACCCACCCGTCCTACTCCTTCCTAGGTTATGCTCCCACTGGCCTATCACACTTTTTTGCAGCACTGTTCCTGACTCTGTACCCCAAGGGTGGATCTCACCTGGCTACAAAAGCTGCACTTGAAGCAGCCAAAGAGGCACCAAGGGCACACAGGGGACTTTTTCTCCAGGATGATAACCTCCACCACACACCCTTAGCTGGTAGCTTCACTTCACCCTTACTTAAAAGCCTCTGAAAAAAAAAAAAAATCACGGCTCTTTTCTTCATCAAGACATATTCTATCCCTTGTTATAATAGGAAGAAAGTTCAAGCTCCCTGTTTACCAGCTCTTGCAACTCCTTTCCCTGAGCAAAGCAGCTCTGCAGCACACACGCATGCCACACAGGCTTTAACACTCAAGTCCTGGGAGAATGGCAGCTACCCAAGCAGCACGGGTTATCTAGGGACAAGAATGACTGAAATGGTTCCTGGTTTGCAGAGACCAGCGAGGAGAGAACAGATTCCCAAATCAAACACAGAAATCACTTGAATCACAGGCAAGGAATACACAAATGAAAAAAGCTTCTTTCTAGAACATTACTGCAGTCATACAAAGGAAGGCCTTGGAAAGTGGACCATCATCTGCTCTGGATGTGGACTGTACACCACTGCTTATAATGCTGTCTGCACTGGATACCATCTATCTTGGCATATTCTTCAAATAATTTATTGGAGTATGTGTAAAGTTGTGTCAGAGGCAGTTCCCTGCTTCCAGCAATGTACCTCACAAGGCTCACACCTTTTTATGAAGCTGTCTCAAAACTTGGAAAAAAAACTCAGAATGAATCCCACAGGTCCCTTTCCGTTACATGAAAGATAATGGCACGTTTCCAGGTGGTTGTCTGGAGAAAAAAAGCCACCATCACCATGAAGGCTATGGCAGAAGTGTTAAGCATTCACCAGAAGAGAGGAAAACCTGAGTTAAGCAAGTGAGAACAAGCATTTGAATGCCTTTTCCCAGAAAATAAAAGTCTCAGTGGATGCAATCACATCCCCTTGTAGCTTGAACAAAGCCACGCCCTGCCCCACACTGAAGTACCTTGGTTTTACCCAACTGCCATTCTTTCTTGCTGCTGTCATAGGCCTGAAGAAAGCGTGCACATATAGCCTTGTTGTTGTCTGAGAAACTTGGTACCTTCACAAGCATCTTGTACCTAGGAAGGAAACAAAATCTCATGAGACTATGCATGACACTAGCCCTCACACCTCCACCCCATCTATTAACATGATTCCTATGATCCTTTTCCCATCAGTCCTTCTCCCTCTGAGAGACAGATCCCAGCTAGAACCTCCTTTCTTCATTTGGAAATCTCCCTTCCAATCTGGAAACCTCCATTCCTCCTTCCATTTTTCTGTTCCTACCACGCTGGCAGTTACTGCTGCAATCCCAGTAATAAAAGACCAACTCAAGTGCATTTTTCAATAAAGAACAACTGTATGTCTGAAGCATATGCCTTCATCATGCAGAAGTTATTTTGTTCAGTATAAGGGTCACCTATAATGTTCCAAAACACGAAGGAAGCCGTGCTCAATAGTCTCTCCCAGATATAAATTTCAGGAAATCCTAAGTGCAGACAACCAAAAGTAAAAATTACTCTCTTCAATATTAACCATCAATGATACTGCCATTCACATTTGCTTCAGCCTGCCATATTAAAGGTCTTAAGCTTGATACAGTCTCTTTACATACTGTGAACAGCTGGTTCTCACAGAATCACAGCACCAAACCTGTGGCAAAGTTACACACAACCTGAACATTCTTACTTTTACCCTAAAGGCTAACAGTCTCCATAAGTACACTCAAATGGATCTAGGATATGGTCAGTAAGGGCCTGGTTAGAAAAACATCACACAAATTATCCATATCAGTAATGGCAAGGGGAACAAACTTCTGAAGTCATATATCTTGGCGCTGTTACAGCTTGTGATACAGTGCCAGCAATTACCTGCTGAGAAAGTCCTGGAAAAGGCACCGGATAGGGAAACCTGCTCGCCGGACTTTCACTGTCTCCAGCATCCCTGAGTACCTGAGCTGATTGAGAACCACATCCGGATTGAAGAGGTTTGGTGCCTGCATTGTGATCCAGATTGAAAAACACAACAGAAGAGAGACAAAGTGTTACCATGTATTACTTCTTTGCTGACCTGCATGGTTCCTCCGAGCACAGGTAGCCACAGCCTGTATATCCATTTCTAGATGGTTAACTCTGCTTATTTGGGCACACCAAGAGAAAAGGGTGAGCTTTGGCTTATTTGGAAAGCAACCTCTCAGCACTGCATGGTGCAGGAAAAGGGATGACAAAAAGGAATTGGGCATATCCTGCAAAAAAGGTCTGCAGAGTGCAGTCACTGTCAGTAACTCTGACTCAGATGTCTTTGCAGCCATGCAGAAGATCCCATCAGCCTTTTAATGCCAAAACCAAAGACAAACTGCAGATTTCTTCCTGGCACGCAGCTCCCAGCAGGCTTTTCTCTGCCGTATCACACACAGTTTCAAAACACACAAAGAAAATTATCAGCTTGGGGCTCCCCACCCAACCTATTTAGCTGCAGAACCTCCTGCCACGGTTCGCAGCACAACGGGAGCCAGCCTGTCTCTAAGCACAGTGACTTGCTCACAAAGCATCCACCTCCTCTGCCTCGGAGCCAGGGAGCTGCAGGAGATGCTTCCCACCACATAAGCTGTGCATTCCAGAACAAACGTTCTGTAGGCACCACAAACAGGAGTCACTGCTTCTTCTACCACAGCAGTGGGTTCTGCACAAGCCCAGTTCATCTTCCAGGATTTGTAAGCACAGGAGGAGGTGGCGAAAAGCTGCACCTTATTCAGCATGCAGGATTTTTAATCTGATAGGTATATTTTTCCTCAACCATAGAACAACTAGAAGGGGGGACTGCTTTTATTCCCTGTTTGGTCTGGGCAAGCGTTGCTGCAAGTGCTCATGGGTGCCTTCACCACACACATGCATTCTGCTGGATGAAAGACTTGCCTTTTCTGTGTTTGGTTTGATGCAGCGGATGAAGAACGGGTTGGAAGTGCTAAGTGTTGCCATCAGGGAATGGAGAGAATCCTAAAAAGCAGCAAAACAAAACACAGGGGATGGGTGACTAAAGGAAAGGGGTACATCGGATACACTTTTCATGCAGCCCCCCACTCCTGATATTTTCCTCTGACTCTGCCTACCAGAACCTTTTCTTACATCATGTTCATCAAATAAAAGAGTAAAGCTGTTCTACCATGCCATCAGTAATGTTACTGAGCCTGCCCTCAGTAACCCAGGCTGTCCCTTCCCACCCAAAACATACCCACAGCTTGCCATAACACTGCGTACATGGCCATCCTTGCTCTCTGAGCTTTATAGCCAACTCAAATTATTTGTACACATCTTTCAAACTTCAAATAAAGGAAATTGAAATTGTGAAATTAACAAGAGTGTGCAGACAGTCTTAGTGGGAGATTCATATCCGCAAGGTCTGCCCAAAAAGGCCTTATTGGGATTGACATTATGCCTGTGAAAGATGGAGCCTGAACAGGACACTGAAGCTGAAGCACCAAACCAACATGATAGACTGAAGAACCTTAAGAGCTTCAGATAAATAAAAAAATTGATATTCTTTTTCTCTGCCACTCCACTCAGTCTTAACATCTCACATTTTACACTATGCAGAGAAATCCTTGGGGCAGTGGCACTGTCTTTTTTTAGCTCTACCACATTCCTGCACATTTCCAGAGCTGGACACAAAAGGAGGATGAATGACTCTTCTTGGCTGCAGGCCTCGCTTTACCCATCTGCTCCTCCCCAGCAGCCTTCTGCTCTCTTGGAAAACATCCTACCCTGAACTGGGAGCTGACAGTCGGTCTGCGCCTCTGGGTGCCCATCTTCAGTGTCTCTTCATTGCAACGGCTGCAGACTCTTTCAAAAAGGTCATAGATGAAGTCCAGCCTAAGGGTGAAGAAAAGAATTAAAGATGACACAAGGCATCTGCCATCCGTGAGTGTATGGCTCTCATTCTTGGGTACTGCCCCATCCCATTGGGAAGCATCCTGCAAGGTATTCCAGCTACACTGTGCTGTTCCCCCTTCAGATCAGCTCTTGTGGCTGTACCGGTGGTGCTCAAGACATGTTTATGTTGTTGCAAGTACAGCTCTTCTGGAACCAGAGAGATCCTAGGGCTACTCACAGTGCAAGTCATCTCTGTGGGTTCTTCTACACCGTTTTACCTCTCCTTACAAAATGGCACAAGCACTGTGACTCTTATGACTATTTCTAGCACAATTTCCCTTCCTGGCTTGCTGAAATATCAAGTCCTTTTGCAGAGCTGGACAGTAGTGACCGCAATTCTGGCTTAAAGCCCTATATAAAATGTTACCCAGATGCTGCTGTCTGAGTAAGGCAATCAAGAGCAGCTCATTCTCTCAGCTCCCTCAGTTTGTGTCAAGGCTGCTCACAGCACAAACTCTGCAGCAGGGCAGACACAATCCTGAAACAGCCTCATCAGTTTGGAGACCAAAAGCAATAATTATATGGACGAGGCATGTGGTCAAGTCGCAGCAGAAACATTTCTGGGCTGTACCACCTTACTTAACACCTCTCTCCATCTTCAAGGTCCCATCTCTGCCTTGCAGGACTTGTTCACAGTTTTAAAACAGCCCATTTCTCTAAGGTCACATTGCAGCACTGGGGTATAATACTGGGGACAGTGCCTGGTCTCACAGCAACAGCTCAGGTTGGAGGGTAGTATGGTTAGGTCATGTTGGACTCAATGATATTTAAGGTCTTTTCCAATCTGAGTGATTCTATGATTTTATGAGAGCCCGTGACTAACAAGCAGAGTGGCCTATATGCAAAGGCAAGAAACTCTTTTCCTTGTTCTGGTTATTAGGTGAACATGGCTTAGTCCAGTCCAACAGATGTGGGCTCCTCTCAAGCATAAGGGGGGCATACATACCTGCTGTCTTTCAGCATGTTTAAGATGTCATCTCGAAAGGTGTCTCTGTTCTTCTCCAGAAAACCTCTTACATCATAAAGCACCTGCAACAAAGATAGAGCTGCTGGAACAGGGCAGTACAAGTCATTAAGCGCTTCTGCATTAGCATGCCAATATATAAGACCTCCAGCAGAGCTACAAAGTAATGCTGCAGGCACATGTCAGAAGCTCAATTCTTAGGATCAAAGAAGGAGTTCCAGAGCTCAGCAGTTACAAGCAGAAAGGTGGCTTTTAGCCATCGATTTAAACAAACAAGAAAAACCAACCTCAGAGCCAGGAGCTGAGTGTAGCAGCTGCAGAGATATGCCCTGCAGTCAACAAGTGGGGAAATCCTCTGCAAGGTGCGAGCTACTCCGTTTGTGTCAGGAATTATCACCAGTGCCATGTAGTGCCCTGTGCTCCCAGCTACCACTGCTCAGCAGCTGAGAGTCTATGAGAATCTTAGCCCTTCCTTCCTCTCAGACTTAGAGGATATAGCGATTGAAAATGACATGCTATTTCAAGCCCGTTGCACCTCCTATGCTCTGGTATGAGGCATACCCACAGCTCAGAGAAATTCTTCATTTTGGAAATCTAAATATTCCATGACCTCACACCCAGGTGCAAGCATCTCACAGATACACTGTGAACACCTACCTCACCAGCATAATGCCTTATGCCAAACTGATGATCTGTCACTCGAGGTTTCACATAGTAAGGATTGCTCTGAAATGAAAAGGAAAATGTGTCTTAATGTCATTGTAGGAATAAATAGGATCAGTCAGGAGCTTGGCCGTGACTATGGCAATGCTGAGATGGGTAAGGACCTTAGTTGTTGCAGAGCCTGATCACATGTGCAGCAGTTATCTGCATCTACATTGCAAATATGTTATTCCCATAAGATGGAAAAATCCAGCCCTTCAAGGCATTCCTCATGTGAGCAAGGGCTTGCAGAATCAAGGTTGGGCAGGCATGCCATGGATGAAATGTTAATTCTTGCATGTCTGACACCCATGAAATCTTGGCTCCACACAAACCACGTGGTGCAGTACATGGGATCAGGATGCAGGGAAGATGGCAGCTTTGCAGAACTCCTATGTATTTTTCTTTGTCAAAGGAGGTACATATCAATCTCCTGTTTTCCTCTATATTTAATCTTTCTTTGCACCTCTCTTCCTCTTTTTCCACATTAATTTTCCTTTCTCTTCTTAGCTCTTCTAATCTCCATTTTCCCCCCTCCTCTGTTTTACATGATAACCCCTAGATACGCAAGAACAGCCACATTACTTGAGATCAGTGATCCATTCAGCTGAGCATTCTGTCTCCAGCATTGGCTATGTAAAGAAAAAGGCAAGTGCATGGTACTTCTATACTCCTTCTCTCTACAACTCCGATTATTTCTACAAGGTCTGTCTGATTAGTAACCCCGAGTAGATTTCACTGCCAAATGTTTGCCCAGCTCCCAGCTATTAGGTTCGTATGTTTCATCCATGCCTACAGTTCTCCAATTTCCTTCTCCCAGCTACTGCTATTCAACCCGGAGTCAGAGGTCTGTATGGGAACTATTGATCATGGCCTGAACCTCTGATTGACCACATGAGGCAAGCTGCAGGAGCACAAGTGAAGGCAATTCACCTGTGCTACCAGAAGGGGTGGAGCCTGGCTGCACCTCTCCTAGATCCCATTTAAGTCCTGACTGCCACTGAGGAAGGATCTCTTTCTGGAGATTGCTCCTTGTGGAGTTTTACTGCGAGCCTATGACACCGGTGAGTATTTCCATTTATTCTGATTGTCTTTCCATCACAATAATCTTATTAAGCCTAGCCTTTGCTCACCTATTGATTGTACAAGGTCATATTCTCTTAAATCTCAGCTTTTATGCTCTTCCCCCTTAACCCTTTTGCAATCTATAGAAAACACAGAAGATGGCTTTTTCTCCTGCAAGGTCCATCAGGCTTTCCAGCAAGCGAGCGGATGCCTTCTAACGCTCTTCCAGCCTACCACAGACACTTGACCAGTACAAAGAACACTTAGTCTTCTGAAAATACAAACTCCAGACCACTGTCTACTTCACTCTTCTTTCCTCCCTGTGCTCCAGCTCCTCACAGAATTCTTCTCTCTCTCCTGTGGGCTCTGGGGTTCCACGTTAACTGCTATCTCCTCAAAGCAGATAGAGGTGATACTATGAACAGCTTAATGAGAAGGCCACTTAATGTACAGAAATCACCAAAAATAGCAACCAAAATGTCATGGGGCATAAAAGAATGCAAAATAATACTGACAGTCTCATGCTGCTGTACAGTAAACAGGCACCTTCTTACCAAGGGAACAGCTTTCTGGTTTGATTATTTATCTCAGAAAAGATTAGGGAAAACACCTAGAGGAGTTCAGAGACAAACAGCAGAAAGAAAGAGGAGCTTTGAAATTTCTCCATCTGGAGACAAACTGAAGAGGTTGGGACAGTTCACAAAGAAAATACAAAATAAGCGATATATTAAAATTATTGATATATTAAAATACACAAAATACCAATGAGAAGCTAAATCAGGAATTCTTATGCTAAAGGTTGAGGTGCATAAGGGAGAGCTGCAGTGGACTGAATTGAAGGCATCCATTTAAGTCTAAAGGAAGGAAATATTTCCAACAAAATATTTCATGAGAAAAATGAGAATATCTGCATCTATGCCAGCAAAAAAAAGTCTGATAAAGGATATAAAGTAGTATGTTTTCAGGCTAGGATGAACCCTTAATTAGGGGAGTGGGTAGCCTACTGGTCAACACAGCTATTGCTAAAGTAGTGAATTATTCTGTAAGTGTCTGCTACAGCATTTTATTTGCTTTGTTTTCAGTCTATTAGGACTCTGTTCGTCTGCTATGATGAACAGAGTGCTGGCTGTACTGGAGACAGGGTACAGGATTGCTACAGTGATCTCACTGTGGATGCTGTGTCCACAGGATAATTTTTCGACCTGCAGGAAAGAGCCATCCTACTCCTGTTTCCAGAACACAAGAAAGAGGAGGAAAGAATGTAACTAATTAAGAACAATAAGAGTTTCCATTAAAAGTCATGAGCAAAAACCATCCCCAGCCCCAGGAGATAGATTTGACGTGCTCTGGAGCAGGCTGCTGTGAGTCAGTTTGCAGAAGAAAACCACCCACGCCATGCGGCCGCATCCTGTGCCCACAGTGCTGCTCCACGTTCCATCACAGATCAGCAGAACCCAACCTCCATCCCATGCCACAAAGTCAGACCTCCACCCGCAGCCTGCAGCATGCACGCTCCCTCTCTGTGCGCAAGAAACCATCTGCAGGTTCCTTCACTTATTACTGTTGTTCAGCACAGCCTTATTAAGCACTTGCAGACTCGAGCCTAGGGCATTTCAAATTTCTTGCACAAAGCACATATTTTACATCAACAAAACCTTCACTTTCAGCTTTGAAATGCTGATGGGGCTAACATACTGATCATTTGCCTGTCGGGTTATTTTCTTACTTACCATATGCTGGCTGTGAAGTTTTTCCAGAAGGGTGTTGTCTGTGCCTTTGGGGAATCGACTCTCTTCATTCACCAAAGCCAGCAGACCCAGTTTCTGCAGCCAAACAAGAGACAGGCTTTCACAGACAGCAAAAGCTTGAACTACATAGCACCAAGCCAAGAAACAGAGATTTGAACAATGTGGTGAGCAATAACCCACAAGTTATACCCAGCAAAGCTCAAACTGAAAGCATGGATACGCTTTCTTGAGCTGGGACAAGGGCTAAAACAGCTCATGCTCCTGGCAAGTCATAAAGGAAAGAGGATTTAAGCAGCTACTTGTTTTTAAAATCAAGAAACCCTATGGATGGCCCCAAGATAATCCACAAACACAACCATGATCCCTGGAATCTGTCCCAGACAGTTGCTCACCTTCTCAATAAGGTCCAGGCACTCCGCATTATCCATCCAGTCAATAGCTTCCCAGTTTATCCCTTCCCTGACAGTCAAGAACAAGCAGAAAAATAAGTGAAAAGGAAGAACCAGAGCCCTGAGCTGCAGGAGAGAAGTGGCTGAGAATGGCTTTCTCAGGACTGAGGAGGACTTGCAGGAGCTGGGCTGTCCTGTGCCTAAGAAAGACACTTGGGAGGAAGACAACAGGCAACAGGTGATTTTCTGATACAGAGGTCCTCCAGGTAAAGGATAATGTTAAGAAGACAGTGAAGGTGCTCCCTACAAGCCTTCAGCCCAGGTGTCATACTTTCTGGTCCACAACATTCAGAAACCCGTGGCCAACAGCTGGGAGCAGCCGAGTGGAATCAGTTCTTAAGAATGGAAAAAACTATCTACCTCCTAAATACAAGAGATAATCTTATTGCTTTAATGACAAAAATTCCAGCTCACAGCTTTAAATGCTTGCAATAATGGGCGTCAGAAAGGCTATATATTTTTTACCAAAAGGCCTCTTGGGTTTATTCTGAGAGCATTAAGTACTTCCAGAGTTGAAGGAAGTAGAGATTTCTGAAATCAGCGCAGTCACCATTGAGTCAAGTTGTCTCAGGTATCACAGATCACTTGTCTGACTGAATGACAAAACACATAGGGCTACTTACTAAACCCAAAGAAGCTGAGCAGGTACTGTGGATGATGAGCTTTAATCACATCACCCTACAACAACTTGAAGAGTAGTCAATAATAAAATGCTCTCATTCTTCCCAAAGTTCAGTCATGGAATTTAAACTCCTATGTAATCATCAGAAAAAAAAATCTTTTGTCACAATGCTACCATTCCCAACACAAGCTTCCTGAAAGAGTGGAGTTGGCCTGAGAAGTGAGTACATAAATAGCCTTGCAGTTTTGTAATCTTTAGAATTTCATGAATTGCCTATTCAGCTTCTCCTTTTACATGGCTGCTCTCATTTGCCCTCACTGACCCTACTCAATTGCTTCATTCACAAACATAAAGGCTTCTGTTTCAGAGCAAGAATTGAAGCAGTTCTCTAGCAGGCTCCTCTAGAAGCTGCAATAATCTAGAGCATCCCAGGTACTTTACAAAGTACAATCCAGCATGAAGCTCACAGAAGAAAAACAACTGTGCAGAAGGCCCCATGCTCTTTAACCTCAGGAAACAGTCTGATTAAAATCTCCTTGCTGAGGAAAAAAGATATTTTCACAGGATTGGAAACTCTAGATCAGAAAGAGCTGTCAGATAGCTACCTATCTACCAATAGGTAGCAATGAGTGGGTGAGTCTGGGAGTTGCTGTTACACCATACATGATACTGGAAGTTGACATGGGTTTCTAGAAAGACTGTGGAATTTCATGGAAGAGGGCAGCACTGTGTGCCAGACACAAGGTACATGAAACCACAGCCAACTATGGTACATCTTACAGAAAAGTTGAAAGGAGAAATGGGAAAACACTAGGAAAAAGTATCTGATGCATTTCTTTGTTCTTCCACTCTCCTTTAAACATCCATTTTCAGCTGATGTTGGAGAGAGGACAGGTTTTTTGACTAACTTTGTGCAGCTACTCTTCTGATCCTATCTTCAGCAAGTGACAGAAACAACCAACCTGACTGTAAGCAATGAGCTCAAATGGAGAGGCACAGAACAGGGAGACATATGTGTTCAGACATACTATCAAGGTAAAGTTTTCACAGGTCTAACAGAAGAGTCTAGTATATAAAGGGCTACAACTTTCAGGAAACCCATATCATGCTGTAATCGATTTGGACTGTGTTTCAGGTGCTGGGGAGGGTTTGCTGGCTAGGCTGAGAGCCTGGCAAAAAGTCACTGCTCAAGCCAAGTTCTTTCTGGGCTAGACTCAGATTCATGAGAGTCACCGTTTGATAACGGGAGGGCTCAAAATCCTACAGTACAGACAGCTTTTGCTTGGAGACAAGTGACTTGTGCTGGCAAAAAGCACACAGATGGTGCTTAGAGATACACCAAAGTCAGGGCTGCACCAAGGCTCAGCTGCCTTTCCTGCTTGGACAGCACAAAGGAGGAATATAGTCCTCCTTTCTACCACCCATGAAAGCAATAAAGGCCCTGCTCCTTTATTTGTCACCTGTTGTACTCCAGCTGCTCCAAGGAGAAGATATGCTTGTTGAAATATTCCTGGAGCTTCTCATTTGCATAGTTAATGTTAAACTGCTCAAAACGATTCACCTGTGGAAAGAAACAAAGATTTTAAAACTTGATAGTCTTGTCCTTGCTCTATCTCCTGCAACAGCTACAGGGAAGGTGCCAGGCCTGGAACAAAGCCAGAGAGCACAGGGACAAGGGTGTCAGGATGGACATGAGAAAGACAGTATGGAGAGGCCCAAGAGAACAGTTTTTGTAGCTCATGCTTGGTTAATGCAATAAACCTAAATGATAGTAAAGGATGCTAGAGGCAATCACATTTCTTCTCAAGACAAAAGAAACACTATTCTGTAAAGGTTAGGCCACTGGGCTTTCTCTTCTTTGAAATGTCTGAGCAGTCACTAAATAGTTGCTCACCATACATTCCTCATAATTGCAAACAGGAGCATTACACACCAGATTCTCAGCAAAAGGCAAAATGGATGTAACCAGACAACGTACGTGTAAGACTTGGACATCTACTTTGCACGCAAGTGCAAAGCAAGCAGGTATAGGTAATACTACTGAAGTAGTATTAATTGTATTTGCTTAAAGTTTGTGTCACAAACCATACCTTGAACATCAGCGTGCACAAACACAGGTACCAAAAATGGGCAGCTAAACAGATTTTGCCACTCCCAGAGGGAGGAGACAGCAGACAAGTCCCCAAATGCCCTATGCTATCTTACACAGGATACAAACCTACAAAACATCCTCCCTGCATCAACTGACCTCTCCAAAGCCAACACACCCTGTGAAAGACAAAATCCTGACCTGGAAATTCTCGAAGCCAAAGATATCCAGGATGCCCACTGACTTAAAGTTTTCCCTGCCTTTGATCTTCGTATTAATCTTGCTAATGAGCCATGAGAAGCACTGGGAATACAGTGCCATGGAGAGGGAGTCCCGGGAGTCTGCTGCCTGTAAACACAGAGAGGAAAAAACGAATCACAGAGAGAACAGAAGGCATGAGGGGCACCAGGAATCTCTACAGGAATTCAGGTTCCTCTTTCGATGCCTCAGCCTCTGTATATGTACAATCAACATTCAAGATTGCAAATAGGCCAGACATGCACAAATGTACCATGTTTTACCTTTAGGTAACTGAGCTTGAAAGGCTGACGGAAGTAGCAAATAAATAAATAAATAAATAAATAAATAAATAAAATCACTACTATATTTTGGAACAGGTGCTGGCGTAGGGTAGGTGGCTCACAACTCACATAACTCACAACTAAGAGCCCACAGCAGTCATTTGCACCACTTGAGTCAGTATTCGCACTGACATACAAAACAGCATTAAAAAATAAATAAAAATATCATAGAAATCCTGATTCTTCGGTTCAGTACCATTGTAGAACAGTCAGATGGTGTCAGCTCATTTTTTCAAACCTGGCAGGGCAGAATCTAATAGAGTATTCTGTCACCAAGTTATCAGGTGCCTCTCCAAAACATCATCATCTCACTGGAAGCAAACCATCAGCCAGGACACATGTCCCACAAGGAGGTGAGTGGAGAGACCTTCCTGGAGCCAATCCTACATCCCATGCAGTGATCATAACCAAGAGAGAAAAAAAAAGAGCTTAAACTGAGAATGCTAACAGGGAACGGATAATTGTGCCTAAGTGTAGGGGTGAATGTCCAAAACTGAACTTCTGAACTCTCACACAGAAGGAACTGGAATGGGCTGGTTGTGCTTTTTGATAGCTCTTGGACTAAACAAAAGTGGCATGCCCCAAATCCTTCAATTAACAGAGAGACATGAGACAGAACCACAACATAAGAGGCTGATCATATGCTGGGCTTCCACACACAGGCTATTCAGATCAAGAAACCGGGACTTATGGTTCTGGGAAGAAGCGGAGGTCAAAAAGAAGGGTTATCAAAAGGAAGCGATCACAGAGAGAAGAAGGGAGCCAGGAAAGACCCAAGGTAAAGATCCTGACTGGATGAACCTGAATCCACCCCATCCCTCAGCTTACTCCCAAGGCCCACCAGCTGGATCCTCCTTTCCTCCCAGTCTCACTGGTACTCTCCCTCCTCTCTTCTTCTGGGGTAGCATCTGCTCTCCAGCAACCCAAGGTCTAAGGCACACAGCAACCTCCCTTCTCCATATTTCAAAGCGCAGGCATGTAAGCCTTCTCCAGGTATCTCTGCTCTCCACCAGGTGATCTCTCTCATGCTTCAAGACAGGGAAGGACCCCAAGCCCTCTAGCACCTTTGCCTGCAGAATCCAAGTGGGGCCAGACCTCCCCATCCAGCTGTACAGCAAAACCACATCCCCCACAACATGGCATGAGATTCTCAAAGGCTCCTTTCACCCTCCCAGCCCTGCCCGCCTTCAAGCGGGTTCATCCATTCAACCCACTGAAATGTCAAAGCTCAAATGGGCAGCAAGCCTGCTACAGAAGAAGAAATCCTTGGCAGCAGCATCATCACATTCCCACAGTAGCAAGTGGGAAGAGGCGAACTGTGGGGAAGTGGAGGCTAAGAGCTGGTACAACCCCATAGGCCTCCTGGTTGGTGCAACAGGCTCACCTAACAAAGGCACCTAAGCCATAGCATCCACTTGTAGCAGGAAAAGAGGAGACTTAAAAAATTACTTATGTGTGAGTATTGAAGGAATCAAATTGTTTACTTTAGAGAAAAAAATGAATACAAAGTGAAAAACTTATAATAAATTGAAGCTTGTAAAGTGAAGAGCTTGTCTGGGGGCTGTTTTTCAGCTCCGGTCTCCAGTGCAGCTGGAGCAAGTGTACTTAAAGAGGCTGTGAAAACACCTTTGGCAGGAAATCAGAAGCAAGGTTGGACTGACATCTATCAGAGGGAACCCAGAAACACTGGCTTCTCTGCCAGTGCACGGGGCAGATCAATAACTCTTTGCTGTCTGTGCTAGCCCAAGATTTCCATTACAGATGTTTATTTTGCTATAACACAATGCTTATTCTGTCCTAGTAGCAGTAGCCCTCATTTCCCCGCACCATGCCTCTTATTAATGACAAAAGATGATTTTCCAGTTATCTATGTAAGGACCTAAAACACCAAGAGTGCCCTCAAGTGACTAGTGGCACCACAACTTACAGCTGGTAGGAACAACGCTGCAATAAGCCACAGAGAAATACAAGAGATGAGCAGGACTGGCTCCAGCAGGCAGTACAGGTTTGGAGACAAGAACACAGAAATTTGGTGAGCTCTTCTGCCCATGTGGATACACAAACAAGCTACTGTGGGGTAACAGCCTAACAGCCACCAGATGGTTTATGGTAACTATGTGTCAGTTGTTACCTTCCAATAAATGCAAGATAACCTGGGAGTTCCGCAAGGCAAAAGCATGCATACGTGCAATGACCACAAAGCATCTGATGCACCCTCTGCACAACAGAAGCACAACCAATTCCTGGTGGCTGAAGGTGATCTAAAACTGGTATTATGCTTTGCCTGCCCCCAAAACCTAAAGAGCAGGAGAGGCAACAATGGGACATGATCTACTGCTAAGGGCAAAAGACTGAAGGACACAGCTGAGAGCTCAATGGGTTTAACAGGGAACTCTGAACCTGAGTGGGTGATAGAAGGCCTGGAAACACGGAAGCAGCAGAATACATTAGGATACATACCTGCTCCACAGTGAGGGGGGAGCTGATCTCTTCCCCACGCAGAATCATGGATCTCTGAGTTAGGACTTCAGAAAGCTGGAAGGCATCTAAGCCCAGGAGGTCACTGGCAATGTTCAGCACTAACAAGAAAGATAGACACACTTTTTTTTCCCCTGCATGGATCCCCACCAGGGCAAGGAATCCACATTCTGCAGCTCAGCATGGAATTTACAGGGATTCCTCTAAGGCAAGCAACTAAGCCCCAGCAAGAGGAGCCCCTTTACTTAATTCTCCTTGGCACACCTGAAGCTGTGCGCTCACATACCTACTATAAGGCAGGGTCAATTCCCATTAGGGGCTGCAGAGAGACACGGGTTAAAGTCAGCCCTTCTGCTAACAACAGGAAGAGCAGAACACGGGGTAAAACTCAGCACCAGCAAAATATTCACTGAATGGGAAAGTACATTTTCCTAAAGACACAATAGCGCAGCATGAGATTGCTGAACTTGCGTGTCCAGAAGAAATTAAATTAATTTCAGACATAAAGCATTCATGATATATATTCATTACCTCCATTTGTCTAGGGACTCACTTTATCAGCCCAGCTCAAGCCAGCTATCTGTAACAGAGTGCAAACTAGCAGGTGCTTCAGAGGAAAATCTGAAATAGATTTATCTACGTAAAACTGTAATATGATGGAAAGTACCACAAAAATAGCAGGGTGGCAAAGTCTTTGGCTGCAGCAAACAATAATGAGCCCAAACACAGCAACCACAGACACAGAAACAAAGGAGAAAATCTGCTTACCTTTAGAAAGGCCTCAGATAGACAGGGATTTCCAATGAGATACCCTTGCCTCCACTGCCAACCCTTAAGTGAGGTTTGGGAAGAGATGGATCCTGGCTCCATCCCTTCTGGTCACTCAATGCACTGCATACACCTGAGCTCCCCTGGGTTGGCCCTTGCCTTCCCATTAGGTGCTGGTGAGAATCACTGGTTCAGGCTGTGATTTAGCATTTCTGCTACAATCTAAAACCCCTCCTTGCTCCTATTTCTTCTTGCTCTTTCAAAGCAAAAGACAAACTGTGAGATTGTGAACTTGGTTTGAGAGTATCCAAGCCCAACCAAAACATACTGTGCTTGAAGCCATGCCTCCTGTGGGAATGGAGGCAAGGCTAAACTGCAGGGAATCCTCTGGCAAAGGCACTGTTGGCCAGGATAAGGAGAAAGAACTGCAGAGTGAACTTTGTTGGGGGTCTTATGGGTTTTGCACAACTAACCAAGTCACAAGGGTCTCACTTACCTGCTTTGGTTGTAACCTGGGCCCCACCAGCTGTCATAAACTCAACATTTCCCAGGTGAAGAGTGCCAGAAAGAAGTTTGAAGATGTCTCGGATCTCTTCAGAGCTGAAGTCCACCACCTTCATGGCAGTCTACACAAAACCACACAGCCAGTGTTGGCTGTAGATACAGCCAAAGTGGAACCACCACACTTACACCCTGAACTCTCTTCTCAGCTGACCTATAAATGCCATGTTGTCATTGAAAACCTCTGCTGTATTGGAGACACTTCTTTCCCTTAAATCACATCTAAGCAGGAGCTATTGAAACCCTGAGCTGCCTACTCTCACCTTGCCTATCTGGTTCCACCTACATTACTAGAGCCTTTGGGCTGATAACATGCCACTTGTCAAACAAAACGTGATTTGCATATTCATCCTGATAAACTCATGACCTCTGGTAAAGTTACAGATGTTGACAGAAATCTGTGTGGCATTTCAGAATATGCCATTTGCAGGGGTGATAAAACTAGAACATCTCTGGAGAATGACTAAGTGTTCCCTTTCAAATGGTCAATGAGAGGTTTCCAGGATCAGGACATCTAGAGAGAGCTCTCAGGAATCACTATGGGGCAGAGGGGTGAGGATCATATTCCCCAGAGTCTCCATCATTCTAAATTAATATTCATCCTTGACTGCTTCCCAGACTCTCCCATTCCTGTACATTAAAAACATTCTTTGAGTCTTGTTTTTACCATGAGCAGGTAAAAGAGCAGGTAAAAGAGTTCAGAGGTTGCTGAACACCATATTTTAGTGTAGGACAAATCAATTCTGCCTGTGATGTCCAGGTCCTGCAGCACACTTAGCCCATGAGATTGTGCCTGGGAATCTCAGGAGTATTAGAACAGAACTCACCATGACCTTAGTGAACATTTCTCCATCATTCAAGTTCTCATCATTCACACAGCCAGACTGGCTCAAGTACCGATAAGTCTCTGGCTCAGCGAGGGAGAGGCTCTCTGCAACAGCAAAGGAAGCAGGGGAAGAGAGAGAAAAAAGTTTATTTAGCAAACAGCCTTTTCCTTCTACTGTCTTGGTCCCCTAAAACAATGGGTATGGTCACCACAACGGGTATGTTCATCTAAGCAGATTCCACATGCCTCAAAGGGTGCACCAAGACAGTGACGGCACTGGGCGAGGGGGTGTGCAGGGACAAAGCTTGCAGTGATATGCAAAATGATTTAAAACGGTCAGACCCCAGGCTGCCTGCAGTCACAGAAGCACCTTACCATACTGAACTGACTTGGAAAAAAGAGAAAAAAAAAGATGAAATTCAATCTTGTTAAGCATACAGAAAAATAGTCTTAACTATATACACAATGAGCAATGACCTCTAAATTAAGTATTTCCACTTGGTTCAGAGAGCCACAGTAATATTTCTGAACATGTCTCAGTGCTGAGCAGCAATCAAAAACTGATTACTGAAAATTGCACAGAAAGAACACAGTGCAAAACATAAAAAACTGAATTAGGTCTCTGCGCATATATTTGGCACAACCACATCTTGAATGCTATCTGCAGATCTGATCCCCCTTTTCAAAAAGAATAGAGGAGAACTGAAAGATCTACAGAGAAGAGAGAAAAGGATGATCAAGAGATAGGAATGCACTACAGACAGGGGAAGGGAAGCAGCCTGGGATGCCAGCTGATGAAAGGGAGACAGAGAAGAACAATTTGCTTAAGAACAGAATATATTTTCTGTGCTTTCTTAAAGTACCTACACGATCCCCACTGTTTCCCTTTGTTGCCAAGGCTTTACAGGCTGGACTTGAGAAGGGACTAAGCAATACCCCAGAAAATAGAGTTACCTTTCAGCTCCCCACTCACACCAGCCAGCAGAGCATAGAAGATGTGGTAATTCCTCTCTCCAGGGTTCTGGTGTACCACTCTGTTCTGAAACAAAGAATGCAAGCATAGTCAGAAGGAAGAGGCTGCACTTGTGGTTGCAAAGGCGGAGGGAAGATGGGATACAGGTAAATCTCTAGGGCCAATGCACAAGAGAGGCTGCCTCCAGCTCAACAGTGATGTTGCGTGAACGAGCTGTACATCAAGATCTTCTCTTGTGCAGCTGTGCTGCTAAGCATGTAACTCACTGAGATTGTGCCCATGGGGAAATGGAACCTTGCGGGTTCTGGCCCTGCTTTTCAGTGAGCCTGCAGAATCTGAAGTAAAAGTAAAGTAAACTGAATCAGAGCACAGCTGATGATATTTGGAGTTGTACCACCAAAAGCCCCTCTATGGAACCAAATTACTTGCTCTCTCCTTTTCCCCTCATTAAACCTGTTTTCTTAGAGCCTCTCTGGACTTTCTGGTTTTTATAAAAGGCATGAGAACAGGCTTCAATAGATACAGAACCTCCTATTCCTCCAACCACCCTCTTCCTCACTTGGTGCAGTTGTGGTAGTAACATCTGAAGAGCTGGTGTCTGCATGCTGCTCCCAGAGGTGGAGGCAACAGCATTGACACTGCTTCAACATGGCTATGGTAGAGGTGACACCTACCTTTTCCAGTAAATCTGAACCACACATCAAGGAGAAAGCATTCAAATGATATATGGCTATTCCTCACTTTTCCCTTTCCACAGAGGTATAATGTGCCAAAGAGAAATATAAAAGGGCAGGGTCCGATAGAATACAGGATCTGCATAATGGTGGGGTAATCTAACAAAAGATGAGCCATACCATGGCTACCTAGGGAGATCAGAGGGGCCACTCCAATCCAAGAGACTGCATTTCACATAAGTCTTGCATCAGATTGCTGGGTATCTGCAAGAGACAGCTATCTTTCATCTACCGACAGCACAAAGAGCAGAGACTAAACAATCCCAGCCTGTTATTTACAGCAGTAGTAAATTCATCTGGCTGCTGCTCCAGTGGAAATTGGTGTGGTTTGCAGTGATCGGCAGCTTTGAACACCAACATCAATAAATGCAGCTTTAGCTGCCCTATGTAGACAAAAGATGTGTCACAGCTTTTGGGATAGGGCTACGTGGGCAAACAAGGAAGAAAGTGGTCATGGCACAACATAACTGGACTACATCCACCCTTTCCTGTCCTTGATTAAGGTTTCAAGGTCCACTGGAGATGGGCACCCCAAAAGGAGGAGATGTATTTGGTGCTCTGAATTCCTGTTGTTCTCTGCATCCAAATATTGTGCAAGAGCTACTGACTTGCATTGGTTTTACCCTTCTAAATAATCACTAAATGGTGATGAGCCATTTCTGGACCCACCCCGAGATCCTCCTCCTCTCCACTCCCTCCAACCATTCCTGGTCCACCAAAGAAAAGGATACAGTCAGTGACTCGTCCGCCCTGGATGTGCCCGTGCTGAGAGAAGTGCAGCTGGATGAACTTGCCAAAGCGACTAGAGTTGTTATTATAAACCGTCTTGGCATTTCCAAAGGCCTCCAGAATTGGGCTGTAAGAAACAATGCAATGAAGACGGCAGTGGTGATGTGATACCATTACAACAAAGCCTGTGTCCAGCCTTCTGCCATTCGTACAGCACAAACTGCTGTGTGAGATTTATTTGTTAAAGCACCAGTCTGGACAAGCAGGAAGAGCTCAAGGGCAAGGGAGGATGGCAAAAGAAATTTGTCATCACGTGCTACACAATTTTAAACCTTTGGGATTGACTTAATTAAATCAGACCCTGATCAGTGTGAGCAGATGGTGTTCGTTCCATTGAGGGCTTCCCCACCAGTATGGCTTCAGAAATGGCAATATCCTGGCAGGTTGTGTGCTTCATACAGCAGCACCCCACAGAATGGGCTTGTAGTTTGTTAACGATGGTCAGGAACGCCATCTAGGGCAAACACTGTAGCTTCAAACCATCTCTTTTTTTCTTGTTTCTACTTCCTCTTTTGAAAGAGAAGCCAATTTCAGTAATCTCTTAAAATTACAGGCAAATATCTTCAAACAAACAGCACTACACTGATTGGTCGGGTCCTGGTCCTGTTACTTAAAAACATGATTTAGGTTGACACAAGTCATGCGATTTCCAAGCTGAAGCAGTACATACAAATTATATATTTGGGAACTTCAATCTAAGAGAGTTACATTATCCACTTCAGAAAAAAAGAATCTATCAAACTTCGGATGGGTGTCTCTTGGTCACCTTTCAGTCTCCAGGAAGATCATACAGATGGGAAGGGATGAGTTACCATGCAGTTTGGTTCTTGCACCAGGGAAAAACTTAATACCATTCAAGGTGACACACAGAACCCAGGATTAAAATATTCCATTTTGCAATGCAGCCAATTTTAAAATAACCTGAAAGCCTGACAAGCACGGAGCCTGGAGATCCTACAAGCACGGCCTGGATGTCGTCATGCTCGATTTTAAGATGTACACAGCTTTGAACAAAAAAATGACTGCAGTTGTTACCCTGAGAAATACGGGCTTTTTAAATGTCTCCATCTGTCTGCTGCGTGGTTCTTCTTGAGACGGATGCAGATAGGGGATTATTCAGAAGTTAATCGTTATATTATAGAGCAACAACTAATCACAACAAGTCCTGAGTCGTGACTGCGCCATACTTAAGAGCTTTTATTTTTTTCCCAAAGGTTTCCAGCTGCCCACATTGCCCTGCTGCAGGGAGGGATGTTATCCATATCCCCTCCATCCATGGCCATAGGGCACAGTGCCACAGGAAGATGTGAGACCAGGGCTGTGCCATGACTTGTGGGCCAGCTCTCGGTTGGGCATGGCAGGGGAGCTGAAGGTTGAAGAAATACCAGCCTTGCTGGAGTATTGACCCTGCTCAGGGCCATCAGCCCAAACACAAGGACTGCCCAGAAGGTAGTGCCTGCAAAGTGATGGCTGCAGGTATGGAGGCAAAATGCACCTGCTCTCCAGGATGGCTTCCTCCACGTGTGTGCTCTTCTCAGAGGCCGGCGCCCCAAGGGAGGTCTGGCTCATGGCTGATAGGAACTTCAGCAGCAGCTTGGTGCTCTCAGTCTTTCCAGCTCCACTTTCTCCGCTGCGGAGGAAGAGATGCATTGCACTCACAGCTCCAGGACAAATTGAAGTAACAGCCCTCCCACCCATGGCAGTAATGCAGCCAGAGAGCAGCTAATTCCCCCCTTTCTGACCTTATCAGGACACACTGGCTGTCGTGACGCTTCCACAAACAGCAGTAGCACTCGTTAGCGGTGGCGAAGATATGGGGAGGCAGCTCACCCAGGCGGTGCTGCCTGTACAGCTCTATGGCATCCGCACTGTACAGACCAGGGATGGGCCTGTAGGGGTTCACTGATGCCAGGATGGAGCCAATGTTGGTCTGAGGGGAGAAAACAAAACACAGCTAGGAAATAAGGCTCCAGAAAAAAAAAAAAATAAGACTAAAGGAGGGTCAGGGGACACCTTCATGGCTCCACCCACTGCAGGGGGCCTGGATGGGTTCAAGCAGCTCCTGAACAAAGAGGGGACATGAAGACAAGAGACATTAAAGTGTGTCATTCTGCTGCTGCTGAAAAAATGCTGTTTGGAGTAGCTTAAATCACATGGTATAACCAAATCAAGATTGACAGCTGAAGGGTAAGGATTTCAAGTCAAAATATTGTGACATTTTCTCAATACTTTATTTTGAAAATATTTCATTTGAAAATATTTCAATTTAAGAAAAGAGTTTGTAAAGTTTAAAATAAAATACCTGAAACCAATTAATCCAATTTCAAACATTTTCTTTTGTGAAGTCAGAAGGAAATTCATTCTGGTTTTTGGTTCAGCCAGCCAGCTCAAATCCATTTATTCTCAGAGCTGCAGTACAGAGCAATGGTGCTGTCTCCTAGCAATGAATCCACAATGTGGTCAATGTCCAGTTTAAATCCTGCTGCTGAGGTGGGGACCTCCTACACAGGGCTGCTGCTCCACTCCAAGAGCAGCCATTCTCAGCAGGGTGTCAGATGAAACCCTTGGTGCACTGCATAGTATTACTGCCAACCCATGAACTACAGTCATCACATACAGATAAAAGAATTTGCATGCAACCATTGAAGAAGCTGTAAGTGGAACATTTGGTGATGAGAAAGACACAAGCTTTCTCGCTGTTATACTGTAATAACAAACTCTGAAGCCAGAAACCAGACTAATAAGATGCAATAGTCACCAAATTATTTAATAGTTATTTAGTACAGCAGCAATACAGATCACCAGGGACAAACCATCACCTGAGACTCACTGCATTACCAGCAGTACCCACATAAGTGGGCAAGAAGGGAATAAGACCTGAAGACCCTCTGACACAGAGCCTTGTAGGCAGAAATACAGTTCACTGGTGACAGAAACAGTAAGAGAGCAGATTACCTTTGGTGCAGGCTATTGCTGTGCTCACATTTTCTGAAGAAGCTTAATAGAGTTGGAATAAAATTTCTTTGGAAATGTTCTCCAATTGCCATTCTCTCCCTCCTCCTTTTTATTTATCGTTATTATTTTAAATACTGGTTCTTCTGAGTTACCTTTCCTTCAGGTGATTTTGTTCTCCAGAGAACAATGATATTTCTCGCCTGTTTCTGATCTCTTTGATTTCCTTCCAGACATTTTTTGCCCTGACCGACAGGCATAACTCCCCTTGGTAGAGCTTCACCTGCAATCTTGGCCTGCTACATTCTAGCTGTGAAGGAACATACTAAATACACACTGCGTGCAGGCAAAAAGTGACACCACATTTGAACACTAACACCTTTCCACACGGCTGGAGGAGGCACAGAGCTAGTGCTGATGAGGAACAGAGGGGCAGGGCTGTGGTGACATGGTCAGAGGCAGCAGTGTGCCATTTCTGGTGCCAGGCACAGTGAGAAGGGTACTTCATCCTCCTTGTCCCAGTGTGGGAGGTGCTTCAGAAACCAGGTCACTTTATTGACCATTTCCTGGAATACAGGTGCATACAGTTCGGTTGCCTTAGGAACAGTTGCTATGCAACACAGATTCACATTTTTCCTGTCATAATCTGAAAAATTCTGAGTACACACAGAGGATGGACAGCCAAGGTAGGGACAAAGCAGCCCAAGGCAGTCTTCACAACATTCAGCCTAAGCAGAGCACGCTGCTACCCAGCAGCCTCATCCTTGAGCGCTCTCCCTCCCTCATCTCTCCTCTGATGCCTGCCTCCTTCCTCAGGGCCTGGAGAGAAATCATGAGATGTGCTGGTATTCTGCTGTGCAAGGAGAGCAGAGCAACTCAAAAAAAACACAGCCACTTGTAAAAGCAGGAAAGTAGGCAACAGGTTTGCTTTCCTAGCTGAGTTCAGGAACGATACCCAACAACAGCCTGTTGTACTTTCCTGTCTACTTGGCCATCTATAACCTCTGAACAGCAACAACATGGAATCTGGGCAACATGTGTGCCAGCTAGTAAGTGACAGATGTTCATGGTGAATACACAAATCCTACAGGTGAAGGTCACATTTTGGAAGTTCCACATAGGCAAAGAGGCCCCTATAGTAAGAAAAGGATCTCATAGGGCTGATGGAGCTAGCAAGGCACAAAGCAGAAAAAAACCACCCCTTTTTATCCACATGAAACAATGCTCAGGAAACAACTTAAATCAGTGTTTCCCATGCAAACTGGCAACCTCAAAGAGAAACAACACTTGTCAGCCAGCAGAGCCAAGGCTCAGCTCAGCACTTACATAGATGTTACCCTGCTGATAGCGCTGGTGCAAGTTGAGCAGGATGGCAGCTTCGTGCAGGTCTCCCAGCATGGACATGTCTTCTACCCCACTGACGCTGCTCTGGTGCATGGGCAAGACTTTTTCTATGGAAAGGGAGGCCTTGGGGTACTGGAACACCTGGAGGAACAGGGACAAGAACAAATAAGAGCATGTCACCTAGGCATACAAGTCTGATTTCCTACAGAAACAAGTGGTTTTCTTTGTATTTCAGAACTGGAAAAGGAAATGAATAAGGCACAGATCCGTTCCCTATTTTTATAGCAGATCCTCCATTCTTGTTCCTACCTATTGGAGTTCCTTGGCCAGAATCCACACAGCACACTCCCTGCCTTTGCTACAGAATTGTCCCCTCACCTGGCACTGCCAGGACAGGTCAAAGCAGGGCTACCTGGCTGTTAATGAAGTCCACTTGGCCAGAGCAGGGCACCACATAGACAGGTATTGCACACTGTGCTCAGTGTGAGCAATGGTGGCAGCTATTCCCAGCAGATCAGGAGCAGTCATGCACAGAAGCACAGGTGGGATCATGTCTCTGACTGCAGCATGGTGCGGGCTAAGCTTGTTCAGATCCCAAGATTTGTCCTGGGACAGACCTAGAGTCCGGTGGCTGTGTCAAGGGCAAAGGAAGGCAAAGCAGTTGAGAAGCCAAAGTAGAGATCTCCTGTGCATATGCTGGCATGTATGCATTTGATGTGACCTTCAAAGTGACACTATTAACCTCTATCACCACTCTGGAAGTATCCTGTCCTCTATCTATACACTTTTTCTGCCTCATTTGCTGCAACCTTCTTCCTGCTATAGTTTCCTCCTCCTCAATAGCCCATACTTCAGCTACTGGGTCATCCTCCTCACCTCCCTGCACACAACTGAGATGAAACTGTCTTTCCTCTCCACCATAGCCATATCCTAGTCCTCTTTTCCTCCTCCTCAGGCATGATGCTGGCATTTCACAAATGCTATTTCAGTTGCTTCCCACTCTCAGCTTCAGCGTGTGCCATCTCCCACCCAGCACCTCAGGCTGCATTAGATGGCAAAACCCAAGATAGAAAAATGAGATACTTCATACAGGCAGCCCACAGTAATCCTTGCAAAGAAACTGGGCCTCTCCCTCCCTTCTGGGGCACCGTTTCATCTTCACCCCTGCTTGTCAGCTTCCCCAGGTGCCGCCAAAGAACCCTACAGATCCCCTAGAGAATAAGCACATCATCCATAGCATTGATCTAACTGCTTTCTCCCGCCCTCTCCTTGCAGGCTGCTGCAGCTGCTGCAGAAGGGCAGCCAGGCAGCTGGAAGCTGCAGACAGAATGAGGTCACCCTGCCCCCTCGCAGCATCATCCTCATGGAGCTGGGGCTGTACCCAAGGGGCAGGGAGCTCACCGGGAAGCAGGATGGGAGAATGGGACACCTAAATTCAGAATATGAGCTGCAGAGGTACGATGTGAACTGGACCATCAGGAGGAAAGCCACCATAGCACTCTCAACCCATGAGTCAGCAAACCCCTGCCTCTCTTCTCTCTGCTGACTCAGACAAATCTCGGAAGGGGGCAAGTCCAAAACTGCATGACATGACTTGTCCTTGCATCTCCCTGGCAATTACCCACTTACCACCGCACTGTCAGCAATTGTGGCCATTGGGCCAGACAAGAAACAATAAAAAAGATGTCTGGGGAAAAAGCTGAGTGCACAAGTGTCCCAAAAGACCCCGGGTGTTTAGAGTACCTGTGCCAAGAGGTTGCTATGCATGAAAAATAATTGTGTGATGGGTCAGAGCTTGTTTATTTCCTCCTGTAGACAACACGTGAGAAAATGGGACCCTGAAGAGAAACTGGCCCTGAATGCAAGGCTAAATGATTAGCAGGACTAGATCATCATCTATTAACCCTGTCCTGAGATTCGTAGCTGGCTTTATACATCATGCCCATCTAAAGAAGAATCTGGTCCAAGACCCTTCCCACCTCCAGCTATGCCACTGAGAAGACCTTAATTCTCCCACTGCTCAGTTCCAGACCCTTCTATCAGCCCAGACATCCCCCCCCCTCCCCAGCTTTGCATATGTTGGGGCTGGGCTGGCTTGTGGTCTGCATGGCTGAGCTGACTCCTCTGGCTGAATTTGCCTAAAGCAAGAGAGAAAGCACAGACAAATTGATCTCTCAGCAGAGATGCCTCTGGAATCCCCCTTTCCCCACAACAGTTAATGTTTAAAAGGGAACATTACATGCATTAACAAGATCTTTATTAATTTGGGAAGAAAATATCAGCTTTTTGTCTTCTAACTACAAGCAAGCCATCAAATTACTACACAAGCACTTCACAACACAGCCAAAGATTTCCACTTTCTCTCCAGTGATGAATTGATTTTGTCTCAGATCAAGCCCACAGTCAAAACAAAATGACCAGGACTTGCTCCAAGTCCCCACAGTGATCAGGAATAAAGCAAAACCTGGCCAGCAGACAACCCTATGTGGGGATTGCCAACCAGGCCAGGCTGAGCAGGTGAGGAAGGTTTCCTCCTCAACCCCAAATCTGTCCATTAAATGCAAGGAACAAATATCCCGCTCAATATCACAGTTACATTTATCCATAAAGCATTGGGCTGCTCTGTTTCAAATGTGTTTTCCAATCTCTTGTGTTTCATAAACATCGGCTCCTCCTTTCCTTCCAGGAAGTCACATTTCTGATGGATTTGGTGATTGAGATGTTTTTGAGGAAATAACAACAAATGGCAAAAGCCCTATAGTGTAATACTGGAAATCCTACCTCAGAGCTGCAGGGAAGCAGGGCCAGAGAGTGAGGGATCAATTAGCCCATCCAATCCAAACCAAAATGAAGATGTTTTCATTTGAGCTTTCACTACAGGCAAGATAGCCCAGTCAGTTACCAAGCTGACCCAAACTGACCCAAGAGGGCAGGCAAAGGAAGCACACAGGACAGCTCTCACAAAGGGCACTGAATAGAGAAAGCCAGCATGTATGGCCACCAGGTGCTATTCCTGCATAGGCATAGAGTACAGCCTTGTGCAAATTTCCACTTACGGTGCCGTAATCGGAGGTGAAGCGCACGTTTCCATCGGCACACAGGCCAACAGTGCATGGCTGCAGCTGGTCCTGCTCCCGCAGCCATACCCTGGCACCCTGCAGAAAAACAGAAAACCTCCCATTAGAAAGAACTGGAGCCGGCAGGATTTGCACACAGGGTGCCAACAGACAAGGCCAGCCAGAGGAAACATCAATCTTTAGGAAAAATAGAAATGGAATAGTGGGTTAAACTGTCTAAACATTTTCAAACTTAGAACAGCCAGTCATCAAAAGTCATGCTATAATAATAATAATAATAGAAAATGTAAATAAAGCATGTTTACAGTTTCATAACACCCACACATCACTTAGGTCAAAGTGCTTTCAGAAATCAGCCAACAGTAAGCAGACTTTGCAGAGCTGTCTGCTTTTCTCTCTTGCAAGAGTTTCCTTTCCTTGGGTAACGGACACAATGTGTTTCTCCTTAAGTGGCTCGGCATCTCCAGCAGCAGGCTTCTGGCAAAACATACCTGTGCCTGGCTGAGGGTGATTCTCAGCCAGGTGTTTCCAGACAGAATCACAGAATGACCCAGGTTGGAAGGGAGCTCAAAGATCATGAATCTCCAAGACCCCAGACCTCAATATACAAGCTGTGTCACAGAGAACGATGTGAAAGTGGACTTATCTGGGATGAGCAAAGGGGTTAAGATGTGAACAGGGATTAGACTTTCCAGTCACACAGCAGTACGGCCAAGACAGCTATCCATGGCCTTCTGCTAAACATCAGCGCCCTGTGGCCACAAGATGCTCTATCACCCTGCAAACGGTCTTAAATTTTAGATGTTTTCTTGGGCTAGGTAACAAAAAGGTTACGCAGACCAAAATTAGTTTATCTTTTGATAGAGCTTTCACCAGAATCACACCACGACAGTGTGGTGCAAGGATGCAGCCAGTCAGCACCTAAAAAAGGCAATAAATGGGTTTACTTAAAGGTCTGTCACCTGCAGAGTGGTGCAGATCTTCAGATGCAACGTGACTTGCCCACATCATGCTTCTCCCAAAATAAAAACCAATTGAATCACAACAGGGAGGAATGGAGCAAGCAGATCTCAGCTCTCCTACAGAAGCATTGGGGTGACCAGCCTGCTGGGTCAGCTTGCCCTGCCCTCCCAGCCACAGCCGTGGCCTGTGTCATGCAGAATTAAGCATAACAACCTGTTCTTTGCTTATTGCAAACCAATCTGTCCTGCGTCTTCCCATCGAAATCACAAATTTTGCTTTGCTAGGTATTCTGAAAAAGCCATTGTGCTCAACTGTTCACTAATATTAAGGACTTTTTCATCGATTCACAAACCTATGTTCTTTCTAATTTGTTTTCTATCCCTAAGGTATCGATTGTAGAAACCCTTACATTCTTCTTAAACACGTCAGCACCATTAGATTTTACAGGCTTATTATGTTTGAAGAGATTTGATACGGTATTTCTATATTGCATTAGAAGAATGTGGAACAATAGTTCATTGTCCTTTATTTTGGTACCTTTTTTCCTTTCTGTAGACGACATGCCTACTGGCTAACAACCTCCAGCCCCTCCCAGTAAGGGAGCTGGTTTTAATGGCATGAAGAAAACTGACTTAATTCTAACTTTGCTGCAGCATTCTGCAGATCTCCCACTGAACTGGAATGCTTGAGGCAGTGACCTAAGGCACATGGGCAAGGCACAGTTGAGTATCATCCATTTCCCAAACTGTACACAGATTCTGCACCAACACGTTAACAGCAACAAGTGTTAGTGAGACCTTTTGCACCAGAAGTTCTCAGCTATCATCACAGTGTCAAGAGCAAAAAGTCGACATCAGAAAACTGTGAAGTTGTTCCCGGGGTTCCCAGCAGAAGGCAAGATGAAAGAAGGCCTTTTAATGCACCGTACGGCACTACAGTACTGCACCATTTAGCATGTGCTTTTGGAGACCCTTCTCCCGTGTGCTCCCAAGAGCAGGAGGCCATGTGATGGAACTCCCCAGCACTGCAGCATTTCAGCAGCCTAGAACTTGCCACAGTTTACTTCAAGGTTGCATTTGTTTTCACAACAGCAATTACCTCTGCCCAGTAGACTTGCACTCATTTACGCTGTTTCCAGACAGAGCTGAGACGTTCAGAATAGGAACCACAGAGCAAATTATCCAAACTTCTGACCGGCACTGCCCCCATTTCCTGCAATCAGCCCTTTTTTCTAAACATTCCCCTAGGCACCCTGACTAAATACAGAAGCAGATGGTGACACTGGAGAGGCTGCCCTCACACCAACACCAACCATGCTTCGCATTGATCCACTGAAAGGATTAAATTGAGCAGAAAACTTAAGAACTGCTAGGCAGCAAGGCTGAGCTTCAATGGGAGAAGCCCTCAATTTCCTTCTATAATGAGAATAGCTCTTTCCTTCCCAATTCCTTTATAATTTTTTTTTACTTTTTAATAAAAATGAAGCAACAGTAGCCACTGAAAGAACAAAGTACTGATGTGCCAGAGTTCCTGTGCCACAAGCAAGTCACCTGGACATCAGACCTACCTGCAAATACAATGCTACTAGAGGCCCTGGCAGCACACTGCTTTGGGCAACCACCTCCAATCACCACTCTAAGACTCAAGAATCAGCGAAGATTTTCAGCCATACATACTGCAGTGTATATACATACCTCTGTCCTGAGGATGGTGAACCCATATGCACCCAGGCTTGGAAGCTGCACTGTGCTAAGCCAGCTCTCTTCCTGGCCTCAGTGGGCTTCGTGGTGGTACGCCAGGCAGCAGCAATGGGGCTTAAGGGCCTGTGCAATCCAGAGAAAGCCAGGCTCGAGTTTCAATAAATGCACTTCTAAACAGATTGATCTGGATGATCATGAATAAGTGATAGGATAGATATGGAAAGACTTAGCTAATGGATGAAAGATTAATGGGGAAGGGGAGTTTATGACACCCTAGATCCATATGGGAGGGAGCAAAGGAACCCTGGGGTGTTTCTGGTGTCAGCTTGAGATGAAGTCACAGGGCCAGCCCCTAGGTTAGGGCTGACCAGAAGGAGCAGGGCTTGGTGGCTCAGGAGACCATGGGCAATGTGAGATGGGAACAGAGAGATGGCAGCAGCCGGCACAGCGCAACTGGGGAGAGCAAGACCCTTTACCATGGGCATGAGATGCACAGAGGAGGAGGGAGACAGTGTACAACCTTCCCAGCTTCACGGCAGGTGCTCTCCAGTCCCCACCAAGTTCTCACTGACCAGCTAAGTGCTCCTAGCTGAGCAAGGGCTGTTTCCGCCCTTCCCTCTAGTTGGACATTGCTCTGGGTGCCCTCTCCCTTCTGCCAACTAATACACAGTGAGGCAGGCCCCATATATCCTACACCTTTTTCCATCTCATAACATCCTTGACTTCAGTAATTCCCTGCCATGCGGAGCTGTACCTTCTAGTCCCACATTAGATGGGGAAGCACACTTTTTAATCACCCTTATTCAGATGAAGCAAAAAATCCCTCCTCTCGGTCAGAGGTGGAGGAACAGAGAATTCCAATCCACCTTCTCTGTCTCATCCATTACTTTCTGCTCTTTTGCCATGTCTCCCCCTATTTGTCATATCATTAATAAAGAGTTTTTGAATGTTTCGAACTCTTCACATGAGACACGTTCCTGGTTTTTGCTCATCCTGAGTGTGCTTGCCTCAAACACCACTAAGAACACAAGTGGAACATCTCTGCACTGGGATGCATTTTCAGCCCTTCTGAAGTAATAGTGAAAGAAGAAAAAAGGAAAACAGTCCTCAAAAGTTAATAGGCTGGGAAACAGTAAAGCCAGTAGAGTTCGTGCTTCACTATTTTCTCTTTCAAAATCTCTGGGGAAAAAGACATGTGCTGGTAGCAGCATCCTATTACTAGCTGGGGATGGCAGCATTGTGAATAACAATGGAGGAACGCACAAGTTTTTAATAAACATTCCTGGAAAGTATCCCCTTTGCATCATACTGAGATGCTGCTGAACTTTCCCATACTGGTGAATGGAAAGGATGTGAAGCATTTTAAAAATCAACAGGTCCGAGCGTTCCCAGAGATCTGTCCCATAAAGTCCCTCACCAGCTGATACTCATTTTTGATAAGCCTGGAAACGCGGAGGAAATTCCAAGAGACCGAAGGGTCAGAGCCTCACTGAGGGCTCTGCAGGGTTATCCCAAGCAACCACGTGCTGCTCAGTGTGACAGCCTGTGGGGAAATAAAGAACTTTTTGCCTCCAGTCATTTGAACTTCAAGGTACTCCAGCTTCAATCGTTGTGCAGCACTGGTCAATGTGTAGAAAGACATCCAGTCAACCAGATTGCTGCATTCTTCAATTAGTGTACAAGCATAAGGGGCAGATGGGGCAATACTAAGTGAAGGAGTTTCTAACAGTTCTCTGCAGTGACAGGGTCAGTACTACTCTGTGTTCTCAGCAAGGACATAAAACCAAAAGCAGTGCTGATAATGCCAACATCTGGTAGAGCAGTGAGTGAACATGAGGATGAGGCTGTGAATTCCAGGCTTGTTTGGACAAAATGGGATTAACATACAGCCAAACTAAAAGGTCAGATTCAGAAGGAATGCAAGGAACACTTCAAAGAGAGGAATTTCTTCTGGAAATCACAGACCCAACAGGACTGCGAATTGCTGAAGCTCCCAGGACATTTGGTTGCAACCAGAGCTGATTCGTGTCTCGGATGGATAAACAGGAGCAAGGAAGTTTCCTGTTTACTTATGCTTTGAGGTGTGAAAAAGAAGGCTTACAGAGCAAATGTAAAAAGCTTGGTCATTTCTGCTATTCAGAAAGATCCCTTGTAATGCAAAAGAACTGGTGAAAATGCTAACTTCGTTAGGTAGATTAGTCAGAATCAGGGCTGCCCTATCTGCCCCAGACACCCATAGCACAGGGGTGAGAGCAGCATGGGCCCAGGATGGGGGCAGCCCTCTGCACTCAGCCTGCTGCTCACCTGGGTGGGCAGGGAAGGAGCTCCTGCAGGCTGCTGCTTGGAATGGAACAACTCTCACCCAGCAAAGGAAAGCAGGACCCAAAGGCGGATGTGGCTGCCAGACACTGCAGAAATGTAACAGGATTTATTTTAAAGCAGGGTTGTGTAACCACTTGGAGAAACTGCAAAAAGCGGGGGATCCTCTAGAAAGAAGACTTTCCAGAGAGCATGATTCAGCCAAATCCCAATCATGGACTCAGTACGAAGGTAACAGGACTAACATACAGCCCAGTCCTAGCCCCAGAGCCCTAATTTCCACCTCCTCACCAAAGACCTCAGCCAGGGAGTCTTTCACCTACTTCTGTAGCTCTGGGATGTGATGGGAAAATGCATCTGGGATGGGGGGATTCTGCATGTAGGGTCATCCATACAGCACTGCTTTCCCTGATGGGTTCTCTGTATAGCTCAGCAGGAATACGGTGACCTCCTAGAAAAGTGGATCTCAAGAGCCAGGAATGCTCACAGGTCACTGCCCTTGGGCACTGATACTTCTCTTTGCTGAACCACTCAGAGCAACTGAACAGAGAGGGGTTGCTCTGTGTCACATTCTCATTGACCTTGAGCATTACCTATGTAATGGTCAGCATTTCTCCTTCTCTTTCCAGTCTCTTGAGATCCTCCTTTCTAGAAGATCACCACATTCTCGCTGAGCTACACAGAGGCTGTTGGGAAAAGTGGTGCAGCCTGCAGTCCTCAGGGGAGGAGGGAGGATGCTGGGAATCCCCCCAACACAGCAGCCCCCTGCTGAAGATGACGCCCTATGCACATCTCCTTTCCAACAAGGCATTTTCTGAAGCCAACAGTAGTTAACACACAGGCACTCAGCTCACTGTTATCTGGAAAGACAGCACATCGCTCATGCTCAGTGTCACCAAAGGCAGCCAAACCATTTTCCTCACTGCATATGAGTCTATGGAAGGACCCTGCAGGATGCCTGTGCCCACTCCCCCCACAGGAACCCCACCTAGTGAGGTGCAGATGGATGTGGGGCCATGCTGCTGTCCCTCCAGCCAAGGCACAGGCAAGGATGGGATGGGAGCGGCGTCCCCTCTAACCCCGGTCATGGCATTCCTGCTCCTCGGGGAATATCGGAGAGCGAGTCACATCCTCTGTGTCACCCACATCCTGCCAGATACGCAGGGAAACCACCACCCGCCAACCGCAGCCCTTGCCTCCGGGGCTGCTCCTCCCTGTCTGGCACAGGATGGGCTGCAGCAAGCAGGACTCAGGCAGTGGGGCATGGGCACAGGCCCCTGCATGGACACAGCCAGGAGAAGCAGGCTGAGCCCATCATCAAGGCGATTATCATAGATAAACTTCAAAGAAAAAGAATTCCCTTGGTCTCTACTGCCAAGGGAGGAAGGAGATAGGGAAGTTGGAAGACCCAGAGCATCCCCATCTAACCCAGACCCCGACCATGTGTCTCAGCTGCTATCTGAACACTGTGAGTACAGGATGGGAGCCTGCTAAAGCAAGGCCAGCAGCATGCTGGCTTTAAGCTGCTCATTGTGAAGGATGACATCCACCCCTTGGGACGATCTTGGCTCCTGCTGCAGCGGCAAGAGGTGGAGCAACTCCCTTCTGCTCAGGCATTGCCCTCCCACCAAGAACCCCCAAGGAGAAGGAGGAAGAGCAGCCGGGATGCAGTGCATGCCGAGCATTCTGGCTGCACGTTCCCCGCTTCCACCACCCCTCCTGCAAAGCAAAGCTCGAGGCTCTCCCACACATGCCCGTCGTGGCTCTCTAGCCCCGGCCACCCGGGACCCCTGCTGTCTTCCATTTCCATCAGTCACATTCAGGCACCTCAGTGGCTATTCCTGCTGCAAAAGGCCATGACCGAGGGGTGGGCATAAAGACTCTGGTGAAATGGCCCTTTGGGAAACCTGGCCTCCATCTGAATAGATGCAGGCTGCTCGGGCTGCCAGAGCAGCAGGTTAATCAGTTAATGGCTGCAATGAACTGGGCGCTGCTGTGCCGGCCCGGGGGCAGTCCCCACCGCGCAGCCCGGAGCAGCCACTCCTTCCCTCCCAGACCTGGGAAAACATCTGCTCCGATAAGGGCGCTGCTTCCTGGGGGATGGGGCGGCCCCAGTCCATTAGCTGCTCCCCAGGGGCTGCCCCATTCCCCGTGCACCCAGAGGAAGGCGGGAGGTTGCGGGGGGCAGACGCTTGGTTTAACGGCTTGCAAACCAACGGGGGTCGGAGGGGGGTGGGGGGGGTGTCTGACGGCTCCGGACTCAAACACGAGGTTCAGCCGCAGAGCCCAGGATGGTTCCATCACCTCACAGAGCCATGAACCAGGGGACCAGCACGGGCTGCGCGCTGCCGTGACCAAAAGCAGCACCAGGCTGGACTGGAAACATGGTGAGGAGAGAGGTAGGGAGGATTCGGGCAGGCCTGGGGCACACACGGCGCCGGACACGTGCATTAGGACAGAAGGCGCGATGCCCCACGCACAGGAGCGCAGCCCGGCGCTGCCGGGTACCGGCGCGGCCGCAGAGCAGCCGTAAGACGGTGACCGGGCAGCGGCACGGCGAGGCCGAGGATGGAGGCGGACGCTCCCTCCCCTCCCATCACCTCACGCCTTCCCGATCCCTCAGCGGGCTCTGGCCCCGTGCCACGTGCGGCAGCCGAGCCGTGACACGCACACGCAGGCAGCGGCAGGCTCCGGACCCTTCGGTCGCTCCAGGGGATTAAAGCAGCACGCGAGCCTATCTGGGCAGCCATGACTATCATGCGACAAATCCTCTCCCCGCTCCTGCAAGGAGCCCTCGGCACGAACGGCCGGAACCGCGCATCGCGTGAGCTCCGGCTCTCTCCGCGCAGCCGGCCCTTGGCACACCGGGCCCGGGTGGCGCTCGGCGACCAGATCGGAGAGCCAGAGAAAAAGTGAAAGTTGGGCTCCCTTGATACGGTCAGCGCAGCATCCTTCTCCCCGCCGAGCCTGGCCCCGCCATTGCCCTGCCCCTGCCCGCCCGGAGCCCCCACCTGGCGGAGCGAGGCGTCCATCGGCGGCACGGAGCGGCTCTCAGCGCCGCATCGCCGAGCTGGGCTGGCCGCGTCCCGCCGGCACCGCTCGCCGGCACCGCGCCGTGCTGCTGGCTCCGCCCCGCAAGCGGCTGGGAGCGGCCCGGCCACCCCTCCGCCCCCCACCCCCCCTCCGGGCAGCGGGCACGGCGGCGGGGAGCGGAGCGCTGCGGGACTCGACGAAGGGCGTGGGGCCGGAGGGGACAGCGGGTGGGGACACCGCTGCGGGCAGACAGATGTCGTCTGGAACGGGGAACGTGGTGCGGCTGATGGGAATGGCGCCGTGCAGCCTCTGCCATAGGACAGTCCCTCTCAGGCAGATGCTCACCTGCCCCGTTCCAACCACCTCCATCACTCTGGTCCACCTTTGCTATCCGAACGTTCTGGTTTCCCAACATGTCAGTGGCTGTCAGCGCACCTTTCACTTCGATAGCAGATCACTGTAGAGCCCCCTTGGGCATGACCGTAGAATCATAAAATTGAGTTCCGTACCCGTGCTGGATTAGCTTAATCAGCACCTCTTTCCCTGTCTTGGGAAAACATGGCACAAGGCTGTGCCAGCCGCTCAGCTCCAGCCCTTATCTCCCATCTAATACTCCTATCCGCAAGGCCAATTACCCTGCTGGCTGAGGGGATTACATCAACGCAGCGCTGTCCTTGACTGTCCCCTCTGCAGCCGTGAGTTTGTCATCGACTATTCCTCCCCAGCCATCTCCCCTCATCCACACAGCCCCCCTGCAGACCCCTGTCTCTGCTAGGTGCTGCTCACCAGGAGGGCTGGATGCACAGCAGGCCGTGAGTCAGCTTCCTGTTGGCTGGGCAGCTGGCAGGGACACAGCGGCAGGAATTCCTCCTGGACACCAGGCACATCCTGCTTCCCTCTGCCACGGACCTGGCACACAGCTGGCAGCATCACCCCGGTGGCTCCTCAGAGCCGTGTGAGCACCATCCTGCAATGGGCAGTTCCTCCTTCCCATTAACCATCCCTGTCCCCAGCAAGGTGAGGATGGCGATGACCAAAGCCACACAAAAGAGCTGCCAGGAAGCTGTGTGGCAGGAATCAGCCCAGGGTCCCTGGGGACAGGATCATGTTCATGCCAGATGTGTCCCTGCTCCGGAGGAATGTGATTAAGGCTGCCTAGAGAGGCTCTCACAGGGCAACATAGAGCAGTGCAGCACCTGCTCCCCCGGAGAGCACAAGAGTGGTGTCAGGAGCACCTCCCCTGGCTGCACCCCAGGCACGTGAGCTATGCCTCTCCTGCTGCCATGGTAGTGCTGGCCAGACCAAGTCCCTAAGCGGCTGTCTTCCTGCAGATAGGGCCCCTGGTCATATTCCCCCATCCTGCTATTCCCTTGCATGCCCCGGCTGAGGTCCCTGGCCCTGCTCCCATCACACTGGTGCGCATTTTTTTGTGGCCAACATGTGGTTTGCACAGCTGGGCTAGGAGAAATGCAGCCCTGGTGGTGAGATCACTGAATGGAGGAGCTGAGCTACACAGGGCTGTAATTACAGTAGGAACACGCAGGGATCAGGCCAGCCAAGCACATCCACCTAATTTCCTCTCCCATTATGCCCGCCCTGCTTTTGTTTGACCCAGACCTCGCTATTAACGGCGCGTGTGCCGTGAGCTCACAGATGGCTCCGTTACAAACAGTCTCGCGGATCCTGCTAGAGCACGCGTGTGAGCAGGGCTGTGCTCACACACAGCATTGCTGTGCAGCTCATGCTTCAGAAAGGTTTCAGCCAGCTGCGGGCATTACTCCGGCCAGGCTGTTCCAACAGGCACCCGCAGCTCTGCCTTTGTCTCCAGCTGCAGGAAGGCACAAAAGAAGAGATATCGCCCTGCCAGCGCCCAAGGTCATGGCTGAGGTCTGGGGGGATGGCAGCCAGCTCTGTAAGGCCGGGGCAGGTTTGAGCCTGCTTTTCCCATGGGGAGGGAGGTTTGTGTCCGTGTCCAGGTGCCTGCAGCTCAGCCCTATCTCCTCTCCTCAGAGCCTTTCCCTGGGCTGGTGATGCCTTATTTCAGTGCACGGAGGGCAGAAAGGGGCAGAGCGGGGGGCTGGGGCTGCAACAGGAATGTGTGGAGTTCAAGCAAAGTGTGATTCGCTTGTTGTGATTTTTTAATTTACTTTTCTAAAGTTTGAGGGACTGGAAAGCAGACAGCCGGGCTTGGCAAGGACATACAGAGATATGGGGAAAGGGGCAACTTGTCAGTGGCATTGGCCCCCAGGTTTGCCATGGAGCTGATCTTGGCCATTGATGTTCTTAACTTCCCAGCAGCGCAGCCATGCGAGCAGTGCCAGCACTATATCCCAGCAGAGATGTGCCAGCCCCTCCTGGCTGCAGAGAGCAAAAATAGCTAACTAAGAAGATAGCTTGAGCATGCTTGGACACAGGTGGCAGAGACAGAAAACCAAATAGTTTCTATAATCACACAATGGTTTAAAATAATACAGCTGATAATTTGGGGAACAGACTTCCTATTTTTAGGATTTCTTCAGACAAGCAAGGCTGACAGCTTGCTTTTGTATATGCAGCCAAGGTAGGAGAAGTTGCAAGTCAGACTGTAAACATAAGTGAGCAACTTGCAAGAAGCAGGAGGACATCTGCCCATTCCAGAGCATCCCAAAGAGCTGGGCACAGGCATCCAGCTGCTCCACTTGCATGGTGTATTACTGTGGCTCCGGCCCTCAAGATGAGCTCTGATCCCAGCTGCCAGCCCTCCACCCCTACAGAGGCTTTCTACTGTGCTTCGTGAGATCAATGTCTTTGTGGAGCACGTGCAGCAGTGCAGCAGGCCAGCACAGCTTTGACCTGCATGCCCTGTACAAAGTGCTGCTGCTGGTGCTGCTGCACAGCCCCTCGGGGTGGCTGGACAGCTGGGAGGACCTGGAGTGGCTCTCCAAGCACCTGCCCAATGTGTGTGGCTATGTGGGCTGGCTGGGTTCCTACCTGCAGCATCTGCAGGCCATGAAGGAGAGGTTTGACACAAAGGTAGTGTTCCTGCTCTGTGATCATCTCTATGTGCATGAGGAGCTGCTCCCTCTGGCCTCCATCCCACACCTGGCCTCACTCCTCTTTGCCCGCCGCCGCAACTGGGCACTGCTGCTGCAGGGAGGGATGCTCTGCGAGCGGGTGTTCAGCCCCCACAGTCTGCATGATCTGAGTGGCTTTGCCAATGCAGGGCCTGTGGCGAAGGTCTTGTGGCTGATTCCTGACATCTTCTACCAGGGCCTGGCCATGGCTGAGCTTGCCCAGCAATGGGTCCATCTGCACCGGAGCAGGTACAGCCTCTGCCCACCTCCAGGCTCCGTGCAGCCAAGCAGTAAGGTCCCCCAGCCCCTAGACTCTCTCATCCCAGTGCAACTTTGGGGAGCAGGGAGCAGTGCTGGGGCATTGCGGGCCTGACTGTGGGAGAGCCGGGAGGAGCTGCTGGTCCTGCTGCCCCGTGCTGAGCAAGCAGCCACCCTGCACACACACATCCACAGCATCATCCGGTGCATCTGCGTCATGTGCCTGCAGCTGCAGTGCCAGGGGATGGAGCCCGGGGATGCGGGATGTGGGGAGCATGCACCTCCAGCTGCCCCAATGGAGGAGCTGCAGAAGCACCTGGAGCTGGAAGTCAGGCACCACTGCAGCATCCTGGAGGCTGACTGGCTGCTGGAGCTGGAGGTCAGGCCCATCCTTATCCACAGGATCAATGCGGTAAGTGGTGCAGTCTGGCTCTGTGTGAATGCTCCTGTCCAGACTGTCAACTGTGCTTCACATGCAGGAGCTGAGCACTCCTTCTGCCTCCTTTTGCAGGTTCAGCAGCGCTGCCAGCACCTGGAGAAGATGCTGTTGGGCCAGGAGTTGGTTGTCCCACAGAGGGAGCAGCCCCGGAGCAGGATGACCACCACCCCTGCTCAGCCCTCTGCCACCTACCCCATGCCAGCAAGCAAACCCAGCCCCAGGAGCAGCCAACAACACTAATCACATGAAGCAGGGTGATATCCTGTGCCCCACAGCAGCACCAGCACCTACCCCCAGCTGGAGCCAGCTCACAGGGACCTGGAAGAGTGCTGGGGCAGGGCTGCAGGCTGTCTGCCCAGATTGGCTCACATCTGGGAAGAAAGTGTGGAGGGAAAGTGTATTTAATGATGTTTCCTCTGTACTTAGATTCTTGGCGCGTTTCTGCAGGCTGGGTAAAGAGATGAGTTTGCGTGCTGTTGAACGTGCATGCACAGGCTTGTGTGTGTATGGCTGCATGCAGGTGCAAGTGCTTGTTCCTGGTTAAATATGGGGCTCCCAACTGCTATCCCAGCAGGCAGCGTGGGGTCCCCAGCACAGCCAGCTCAGCCTCCTGCAGCCACTAATGATGGTGGCGAAGCCCATATCTGATGATGGGACAGTCCTCGCTCCCACCGGGTTTGTTCCCTCACCAGCTGCTGCTACTGTGGGCAAGCAGCAGTTTTGGCTCAGGGAATTTTAATCAATTTAACATACCCCCAGTTAACAAACTTTTAGTTACTGATTCAGGTGGTAAATGAGGAAAAGACTTCCCTGCTTCTTGCTCTCCAGCCCCACTACTCCTTCACTGAGTACGCATCCATCCCACCAGCTCTGCCCACTGTATCTCCCCCATTCATCCAGGAGGCAGGGAGCCAGACATGGTTCCTGTGAAGTTTATTGGTGCAGCTGTTTCCACTACAGTCAGAGGAGTCACAATGCACAGCGACAACAGCCTCCTACACTACACAGGGAGGACAGGACGCACACGGCCACAGACACACAGACACCCTGCATGGGCGCGGCGGTGGGGCTGGAGCCTGCTGCTGGAGGGGCTTTGCTCTCTGTGGGTGTTTGTGCAGCCTCCCGGGGAGGTGTGGGACCCACCTTCTCCCACAGGAGCCGGGCTGATAAATGGGAACCAGGGCAGCAGCTTGTCCCAAATCTGATGGCTGATCAATGTTGGAACACGCATCCCATCTTCCTCCACAAGGCCACTCTGGCTCCTATCATCAGGGCATTACATCAGAGCTGCCCATGTGCCAGAGCTGCTAGCTGAGGCTGCCTGCTCTGAATGGAGGCTGCTGGTTCAGGAGATCCTAGGACACATCCCTGCCAGGCCCGAGGAGGCCAGGGCTAAGTGCTGGACACGCTGAATACTGCTTCTTCCCAGCTGGAATGGACACGAATGGTCACTCCAGCATGGGAGTTGAAATGGGGCCAGGAGGTTCTGTGACTTCAATGCTGGGCTGTGAGGAGCCAGAACCAGTGATCACCGCACAGGGAAAGAGAGAGGACCCACAGGACTATTTCATGCTCCAGCACTACATCTCTTGTATAGCTCTTAAATGTGGTTTGTGCTCAAGGACAGGGAGATGGGGATCAGGACCTCTTGTAACCTTTGTTGTTTGTTGGGCATGCACCTAAGGCTTCAAGGTACCTGTTCATCTCCTCCGAGTGCTGTTTTCCTTTTGGGAAGAGTGTTGGGAAAATTATGAGGAAACAAATACCTCCTGAATGCTGGGCAAGGGTGGAAACCAGTCCTGTGAGAGAGTGGCCTCCAAATGAAAGCCTGAAGGACAGGACCTGCAGAGCACCCCTCATCTGCAAGATGCCAGGATACAGCAGTGCCTGTCCCAGTGGTGCAGGGGAAGCTGTGACAAGCAGGGAAGAGCACTGGTCTCTCCTTGCCCCTGTGCTGGAGTACACCCTAAGGGATTGGTTGGCAATGTCTCCCAGGGTGCAGGGGACAGCAATTTGGCTGCAAGAACAGAGAGAGCAGAAGCAAGGCATCTGTTAGCTGAGCATAGAGGCTGGTGTCCTCACCCAGCCTGTGCGGAGTCCACCGTCCATGCACAGACAGCATCAGGCCTGTTCCTGTGACTGCCCAATAGTGTATTGTGGCACGACACCCAAGCCACAATGGAAATGGAGTGGGACACAGTGGTACCAGCTGGCATGGCTCCCCTTCACCACCCAGAGACTAAACACAGGCTGCCTCCAGCAGGGACAGGGCAGACCCCTGATCCATGGGCACTCTAGACCCACACAGCTTTGGGATGTGAGAGGCACCTCTCAGCCCCTCAGGCCTGAGAGGGGAGAGATGAGCAGCCTCTGCTGAGTGAGTGATGGGGCAGCAGGAGCAGGGGCTGCCTCCTGCAGAGCTATGGAACAGCCATTCATTGGTCCAGGCAAGATTGCTTGACTTGTGGCAAGTCTCCCACTAGTCCTCGAGGGGACAAGCAGGTGTGAGCAGCCTGTCCCAAGTGCAGGGAGGACAGGCTGCAGTTCACACAGGCATGTGCAGCTCATTGTACTCATCCCGGCCATCCTCATCAAAGTTCGGCTCTGCATCCTCCGAATCCAACTGGGGAGAGACAGAGAGCAGGTTTTGAAGGCCACAGCAGCCCAACGTGCCAACAGTGTGCAGTGAGCTACGCAGTGTAGCTGCACCAGCTCCAGGAGCACCAGCTAAGCTCTTGTTCCCTCCCTCCCAACAGGCCCCTTTTCTGCCCCTCATGCCCACTGATGCTTCCCTGACCCAAAACATTCTTATTCTGACAGCGTATGAGCCCTGGGGCATTGGTTCAGCACAGCAGCTCCTCCCCTGCCAGCAGCACCCAGGGACACCGTGCTTCTGGCTGCAGCTCCAGAGTGCTCTCCAACAGGAGCTCAGGAGGCAACACCTGAGGAGCTGCCAGCACCCTGAAACTGATTAAATGCTCCTCTGCCAAATAGCTGGTGTGCTGCCCTTGCTGCTGCCTCCAGAAACAGGGTGTCTCCTTGATGAAATAGCCACAAGTGAGGGGAAGGATGGAAAAGCAAGCTTTTTCTCATGTCTCTGTGTAGCAGGATTCTCTGTTTCCTTCTGGCTGCCCACCCATCCCACATTATATTTTCAGGGCTACAAACTCAGAGGAAGCCACCACCCATCCCAGACCACCAGATACAGAAGGGAAAGGCAAAGCTTTGGTGATCACCGATCTCCAAACCTTTTGGTCTGCCCAATCTCCTCAACCTCACAACAGTATTTTGAGCTAGACTGTAAGGACAGCTGTCTGCTTACGGCTTTGAGCTCCCTGTCGTGGAAGAAGCGGGGCAGTACAAAGCGTCGCAATGGCACTGTCATGATCAGAACGAAGGGAAAGGCTAGAGATGCCACCGTAGATTTCACCACCCAGAGCAGCACAATGCAGGCCAGTTGAATGCAAGTGAAGAGATTCATTCTCCACGTCTTTACCTAGGAAAGTAAATCCAATCTAAGAACACATCCTCCCACAAGGATCACCAAGGGGTCATCAAAGCTAGTATCACCAAGAAGGCACCATCCTCCCTTGCCTCCACTCTCCTGCAGCTTGCTTCACTCACCTTAACAACATAGATGTGGTCGGGGTGGTGCTTGGATGGCATGAAGATCAGGAGCAGTCGCTCGTAGAGCTGGATGCCCGTGAGAGATGTAACCCCCATGTAGAGGAAGATGCCAAAGAGCACAGCCAGCGGGATCTGCCGTAGCATGTTCCCCATCACAATAGACAGGCCTGCAGAGACAGAACTTAGAGCACAGCTCATCCTATGCCAGCCTCTCTGCCCCCAGCCCCCCAAGAGTTCAAGAGGGGTCTGGCTGGAGAAGGGCCAATGTTGGGGGAGCTGCTGTGAGGGTAGGTGGGGGCAGTCCCTGCAAGTAGGGTAGGGTCACAGGCATGATGAGGTCTGACTGGGCAGCCCTGACCTTCCCACTTCATCCAAGCAAAGGCTCACCGACAAGGGCAGCAATAAGCACTCCTGTCACACGCTGCTCCTTCACCTCCTCGATCTTGGGCTTCTCTCCTGGTGCAATGGCCTTGCTCATGACTGTCAGGGCATTGACATGGGTGACGGAGCGCACTGTTGCTGCTGTCAGCCATGGCAGTCCAAAGAGTGCACAGAGCCCCCCCATAGTGCCAATGAGCAGCAGGTCCAGGTGGAAGCCAGAGCCTTTCAACAGCTTCCTCTCCTTCTTGCTCACAATCAGCCTGAGAAAAAAGAGCCTGTGTCAGTCAGGCACAACTGGATCACAGGAAGCGTCAGTGCCCAGGGACAGCAATGCAGCTGGGGAAACATTCACTCCCTGAACAGGGCATACATGGGGACAACAAGGAGATGGACAGCCATAGGAATGGCAGAAGCCAACCTCAAGTTAGAGGTTTCCTCCTGTGCTTGGTTGAGGCAGATCTCCATCACACTGTATCCCAGGGGGAGCTGAGAGATGATGGGAGAACCCAAGAAGGTACAGCCTAAAATAGGCAGGACCCTGCACCGGCTATCCCACTGGGATGCTGGGTGCATTTCCATGCCAGTGCACCAGTGGCCATCCCAGCCTTGCCTGCCCGAAGGTTAGTGATGGTGGGTGTTAGCAGGGGAAGTACTCACGTAGTGATCTGTGTCTCCATGAAGATAAGAATGAAGACCAGGAGAGCAGGGATGGCAGAGGCAAACATCATCCACAATGGAAAGGTCCCATTGCTGCCCATGGGGTGAATGAACCAGCCACGCTTGTGAGGAGATGTGACCGACAAGCCAGATGGGACATTCAGCTTCTGATGGTGTAGCCGCAAAACCAAGCAGTTATTCATCAATGCATACATGCCCACTAGCTTTGATCCTCCTGGCCACCCTGGTCTGAACACCTCTAGTGATGGGACACCACCCTGACTTGAGTTTTTCATGGGTTATCCATTTCAGTGTAAAAAATCCCATGTCCCCTATTTCTAACAACAGCCTGTCTCATTTCCTCTTTTAGCTTCTGGAATTCACTTGGGTTTTGTCCAAGAGACCAGCATCTATCTTCTCTCAGGAACCTCACCCGCATGTCGGGGCTTGCAGATCATGTTTAAAATGCTCCTTGACCTCTGCTTGGATAAACCAAGCATCTTGGACTGGTAACTCTTCTCTGAGATGGTTTTCCAAACACTAAGACTTTTCTGAGACATTTTTCAGTATTAATTTCGCAGTGTGGGCCATGGAACTGGCCACATTCTCTGGAAATGACCTCACTCTTAGCATGTTCAGAGGGCATATCAAGTTTGCGCTCCCATCAGAGACCACACAGACTCCTAACTATCCATGGGCCCAACCATGCATTCACCAGCATTTAAACTCTTGGCTCTGCAGTGCTCTACAGCAGCTCTTGCTATCTGTCTGCATGAACACTGCAGTGAGAGTTTATGATTTGCATTTATGTTAATCAGCATAAGTATGAATAATATTTCTGGAATGCTTGTACTTGAGCTAAGCTGTGTAACTAAGTACTGTTTTCTCAGGAAGCTTTGTACATATGCTGAGTTAATACTGAAATGATAATGCTTTTGATATTAACTGTAGAAGCATAGAGGAGTACGAAAAGGATGTAACAAAGCGTATGATTTTACTATTGTCTGATAAAGCCAGATTTTACATTGAGATTTAAATTACTAAGAATACACTTGCAATCCATTAAGCCTTGGGCTGCCTTTATAAAAAGCTTGCATGCCAAACAGGAACTGCCTTTCACCCTCTCCCTAACGTTAGTTGAAATAAATACCAAAGCAAAAAGATTTAACAGTGCATCTATTAAAAAAGGGGGGTGGGAGGTAAGGAAATCTGTGAGATGGGTATGTTTCATAACATTTAAATTTGTGCAAAAGCTGGGAAAGAGATCACTGTGTTTGAGATGAAATGATGAAAATATTTAGTAGCCTACAGACAAGGAGAGCATATACATGTAAGTACTAAAAATATGACTGAATACACCACTGAAACTATTCTATGGCATCATTTTAAGCGTGAATAAACTGGTTATGTCTTGTTAATCAAATATGAGGTTTTAGAGTTACTAAGAGGGAATTAACTGCACTGGTTCTCTCCGGTTCTCTAAAATCTCCTCTACTAACAGCAGGAACATCAGAGGGGTACTGAAGCACTTATAGCTCTGGTTTCTATCTCAGATAGACCCTCAGAGCCTCCTTTCAGTGTGGGATAAGGTTGAGGGAAACATTTTGTTTTGTTTTGCACTGTTATGACTAATGAGGCAGGAAATGTAAATCCCCAGTTGCACAAGAGCAGGCCATGGTATGGCATGGATCACTGCCTGTGCTGGAGGAGGGGCTCTGAGGCAGCGCTGGCACCCACCTGCGTGTACGTGTCTGTGATGGTGTAATCCACCAGCACCATGACTAGGATGGAGATGGGGATCCCGAAGTCTCCGATGATCCGCCGAGCCTATGGAACAAACACCCTTGCTGGCAAAGAGCACATGCTGGCTCCTCACACCCACCATACCAAGGGCCAGATGGGGTAAGCACTGCTGTGAACCTGAGCACTGTCATTGAGCAGGACAAGAAGTGCAGTGCTGGTCCATGGGGCTGAGCATCCCGCTGCCCCATAAGGCACAGTTCGCCAGCCACTTCTCTGTGATCAGCCAGTTGTTCCAATTGGCCTACTTTGTTGGTGCTCAAGGTATAACACAGATGCCTTGCATGTACAGAAACGTCAAAAGGGAACAAGCTGTAAGCTTGTCCCCTTTTATTCTAGTTAAACAGACATGTATCCAGCCAAAGGAATTTTCCCAAGGCCCAGGGGACCTTTCAGAAAGGCTCACTGGAGCAGGACAAGGAAGATACTATGATTAACAGCCAGCTCTCACCCACAGCCTACGGCCAAGTTACCATTCTGTCTGCATGGCTTTTAATCAATCATTTGTGTTTCTTTGGGTGATGGTACCACCATCACATGGAGCAAAGCAGCACTCCAGGGTGCAGTTATGATCACATAAGGCTGTGTATGGGAACTGCTGAGTCACGGCCTGAACGTCTGATTAATCACCTGAGGCAAGCAATGAGTCAGCCCTGGGAGCACAGGTGAAAGCATTCACCTGTGCTGCAGGAAGGGGTGGAGCCTGGCTCCACCTCTCCTAGACCCATTTAAGAGCTGACTACCAGCAGGGAAGGTTCTTTCTCTCTTTGGAAGATCCACTCCACTGGAGTTTCCTGAGCGAGCTCATGATACAGGTAAGCCTCCTATTTATTCTCTTTGTCTTGCCATGCCTAACTCTCTTGCTTATTTCATTATTATAACATCTTAATATTATTTGATTATATAATATTCCTTTATATAATTTTCATTGATTATACACTTGGGGAGCCAGGCAGGCAAGCCGAATATACTAAAACTTACACTATGTCCTTTTTACACTATGTCTTTTCTTTGGAATTTCTGTAAATGGCTCAAGGGGGAGAATGCTACCCCCCTAGATAAAATGATTCCAGGGCAGATCCCAGGATTTGTGGGATCCCCTTATTATGAACTGGCAGTTATCATTGAAAAATGGGGTCCCCTATGTGTTGTGGGAAACATCTCCCCATATTGCCTAGCAGATTACTTTCAGGGACTAGGCGAAGATATATTAGTCACAAAAGAAAGGCAATTAGCTGCTTCTACAGTGGCATGGCCTCTATTAAATGCTTTAAATAATGCTGAAATGAGGAATAATACGTTAGTGAATGAAAATGAACTTTTGAAAGATCGTATTGAAAAATTAAAACAGGAACTTGGCATATTAACAGGAAAAAAAAAACCAATTCTATATCTTCCAATAGGTTAAGTTCGTAATATTTCAATAAACAATGACCAGACTCCTGAATCAACAGACTGTGTTGACCAGGAAAATAAACAATCTAAATCAGATCTTGAATCTCCAATTTTGATGGATGCACTAGAAGTCCGTCCTGTTATAACTCAAAAAACAAAAAAGGTACAGGACAGACTGGTAGGGGTGCCACCTGATCAGTGGCCCCCTGCTCAGACCCACTTGCAAGTAACAGCCCGGCCATACATGGCAACAGAACTGATGGACTTAGTACAGTGATTTAGGCAGAAACCTAGAGAAAGTGTGCCAGCTTAGTTATTAAGATTGTGGGATTCTGGGACAGAAAGTGTTCTGGTGAATGGCCTGGAAATAGCCAAATTGGCCACTATGACTGTCCATCCTGCTCTCAGACAGAGGTTATATGCAGGTAATCAATAGAATGGTTAATGGCAGCCTGCCGTATGGTATGGCACAATAAATCTGATATTCTTTTACATACAGGGATGTGGTCCTCCATGGAGGATGTTCAAAATTATATCCGTGAACTAGGTGTAAGGGAAGCAATTTATGAGGACACACTTGATGGCCCGGATCTGGTCAAATTCTCAGTGGGGATGAGAGACCTAATTTTACAACAAGCTCCCTCCAATCTGTACAGTACTCTGGTCTCTATATTAAATCCCCTAGTGGCCTCAGAAGCAGTTGTCCAGCAAGCTGCGCAGTTAGTGGCCAACCTAGGAGAAACAACGCCTGCAGAATAGGCGCAACATTCAGTCACTAGAAGAAGCCGAGGTCTTGCCAGTGACTAAAACCAAAATGTCAGCTACTTGAGCTCCTCAATCAGGACCCATAAGGGTCTCCCGAAAACAAATGTTTAATGATTTAATTTGGGC